AATAAGACAATAATAAAAAGATTGAGAATCAAGATGGCGAAGGAGTGAGTGGAAGTCACACTGACCTCTTCCCAGGACCAATCTGGAATTACAATTAAATTGTGGGGAAATCACATGGAAGAAACAACTGAACAATAGTGAGAGAAGAGCCTTTAACCATGGACAGACAGAAGAATCAGCTTTAGCACAACCTGATTGGTAAGGAGTACGGTAGAGACTCAAGAAGGCAGGCAGGGTGCCCACAGCCAGGGCACCAGAAGAGTGGGGTCTAAACCATAAGTGGGGATCTCCAGCCTGCAGCAACAGAGCCCAAAAAGTACACAAATAACAGCCACCTGCCAAAAGTAGCAGGGTTGCTCTCTGTCAGAGACAGGTGGCTGGAGACACAAAGAGCTGTTTAAAGGGCCAGCGCATAAATTTTTGTTTGCAGCCACTTACCCTGGTCTCCAGCAAAGGTTGAGGCAGAGTGGACTAGACACGCCTGAGGAGAGACTGGGGAAGGAGGCTTTGGGAAAAGAACTGAGAGAGTAGCCAGCAGGATCCTGGTGCTGGCTCATCCCCCATACAGCAGCAGCCATCTTGCTCAGGCAGACCACTCCCCTGAGTGGCTATTGCGTGAGAGGGCACAATAGCCCCACTGGGAGGAGGGACTCAGCCCTGGCCCCATGGTGCTAAAGCCTGACTGCTGAGTATGCAGTGCCAGCCACAGATAGTAGACCCCCGGCTAAAAGGGCGCAGAGTGGTCTAGAGACACTTGAGGACAGACTGGAGACAGAGGCTTTGGGGAGAGGGCAGAGAGAGTGGCTGGTGGGATCCCAGTGCTGACTCTTCCTCCACCTGACGGCTGCCATCTGGCTCAGGCAGGCCACTCCCCTGAGCGGCAGCAGTGTGAGAGGACCCAAAAACCCCGCCCCCAGGAGGGACTTCACCTTGCCCTGTGTTTTCTAAGCCAGCCTGCTGAGTGCAGAGTTACTAGATTAACAGCTGAAGGAGACAGCCACAGACAGTAGATTCTTGGAAGTCTTGAACAGACTGCCTAAGATCAGACAGAGTCAACATCTGACATCATCAGAGGCAGATCTAGAAAGAAAAAACAGTGGTCTCCTACCATAGAGGTTCACACCACAAAGTCAAGAAGTCAAGACAGATCAATTTAAGAAGCAGAAACAAAAAAGAAGAGTCTCACAAATAATGGTAAGACAAAGAAACACCCCCCAGTCAAAAGGAAAGGAGGAATCCTCAGAAAGAGAACTAAATGAAATAGAGGCAAGTAAACTATCAGATATTGAGTTCTAAACAGCTGTTCGAAGGAAGCTCAATGAGCTCAGTGAGCTCAGAGAGAATTACCAAAAACTACAGGGAAACTACGAGGAACTTACTGCAAACTATATCAACATGAAAACGGATATAGAAACTATCAATAAGAGGCAAGAGGAAATGAAGGATACAATTTCTGAATTGAAGAACACAGTAGAAGGAATCAAAAGCAGGCTAGATGAAGCAAAGGATCGAATCAGCGAGCTGGAGCAGGGTAGAAAAAAGCTCTCAGAAAAAGCAAGAAAATGAAAAAAGACTCAAAAAGAATGAAGAGGCATTTAGGGAAGTGCAGGACAACCTGAAACACAGTAATATCTGTATAATAGGGATACCAGAAGGGGACAAAGAGAAGGAAGGGATAGAGAACCTGTTTAAAAAAGTAATGATGGAAAACGTCCCTCATTTGAGGAGAAAAAAAGTCACACAAGTCCAGGAAGCACAGAGGGTCCCATTCAAGAGGAACCCAATGAGGCCCACTCCAAGACACATCATCATTAAAATGGCAAATATCAAAGACAAACAGAGGATCCTAAAGGCAGTAAGGGAGAAACAGGTAGTAGCATATAAGGGTGCCCTGGTAAGCTAGCAGCTGACTTCCCAACAGAAACACTACAAGCCAGAAGGGAGCAGCAAGAAATATTCCAAGTAATGAAAAGCAAAAGCCTGCAACCAACACTGCTCCACCCAGCAAGGCTCTCAATTAAAATGGAAGGTGAAATAAGGAGTTTCCCAGAAAAACAAGGCTAAAAGAATACACCTCCACCAAACCAGCACTGCACAATATGCTAAAGGGACTCCATTACGAAGAGAAGAAAAAGAGTCTATGAATACCCAGTCCCTCTCACAGTCACCAATACTTGATATTACCAATATTTTTAATACTTATTAATCTGATTGTGACAATGATGTGTTATTTTAATCGTTCCTTTATTATTTGTTGAAACTAAACCTGTTTTTGTATATCTCTTGCCTATTTCTATTATTTTTAAAAAGCTTTAAATGAACTTTTGGTATTCTTTATCCATTTTTTGACTAAATGTTTGTAGAATTTTTTCCCTAAAAAAAATTTTTTTTAAAAAACCCAAGGAATTATTAACCCTTTTTTAGATGTTGCAAATACTTTTGTATTCTATTACTTAACTTTCTTTGTTGTGTATTGCTATACAGTTTTAAATGTTTAATATAGACATATTGTCACTATTTTACTTTATAGCTTCTGTGTTTGAATATTTTACTTCAGGGTAAGAAAAATATTAGTTTGTATTTTCTCCTAAAACTCCTTAGATTTTACATAGTGATTTTAAACTCACCTGAATATTTCTTGTATAATGTGTGAACTAAGGCTGTATATTTTTTTATTTCAAGTAATAGATTTCCAAGCACCTTATTTGTTGAATAAGCCTTATTTTACCCATTGATTTGAAATATAAATTTAATCATATATTACATTGTTAGATATATACATTTGTTTCTAGAATGCTCATTTTATTTCATTTGATCTACTTGACTATTTCTGTGCTGGTGTCATGTTATTTTAATTGATGAGATTTTATAATGGATTTAAAATTTTTAATATTTTATAATGGATCTTGACATTTAATAAATAAATAAATCTGCATTTTAAAGAAAAAGAAAGAAAGGAGGAATTCCTACCTTTTGCGACAACATGGATGGAACTGGAGAATATCATGCTAAGTGAAATAACCCAGTTGGTGAAAGACAAATACCATAGGATCTCACCTATAAATGGAATCTATTCAACAAATAAACTAACGAACAAAGTAAGTTCGTTAGAGGAGGCCTGGAAACATGGAGGAGACTGAAAGTGACCAGAGGGGATGGGGAAGGAGGACAATGGTGGAAAGAAGGGTAAGGAACTAGAAAAAGAACATGCATGAATGACCCATGGACATGGACAGCAGAGTGGGAATTGACGGGGGGGAGGGGTGTGGAAGAGGGGAAAATTGAGACAACTGTAATAGAATAAACATGACTTAAAAATTAAAAAAGACCAATACAGCATGATTACAATTATATGAGGTATCTAAAGTAGTCAAAATTATAGAAAGGGGGGCTGGAATTAAAAGGAAATTGTTCAATGGGTATGGAACAATGAGGAGTTGTTCAATAGGTATAGGATTTCAGTCACAAGATAAAAAGGTTCTAGCTTTTTGCCTGGTGGTAGTATTGTAGCGAATGAGGTTTATTAGAGGCACGATTTTTTTCCCCAATATCCCACTGTGATGGCTTGAAATATACTCAACATTGGCAATTTTTGAGTTTCTATGGAGACTGAACAAAAAAGAAAGATAAAAAGGTTTGAAAGATACAGTACAACACTGTGCATGTAGTTAACAATACTCTACTGTACACTTAAAATTCGGTTGAGAGTAGATGTCATGGTAAGTGTTCTTACCACAAACAAAAAAAGAAAAAAAAAGAAAAAAACCACAGAGGCCAAGGGACTCGTAAAACATCTACTCTACCTCGATGATTACTGTGGTATTTGGGAACAGTAACCTACTTTCTGAATAAAACACAAAACAGGTAGTATATAGTTTATTTGATACGCGACAACAGGAACTATTAGAATTTTTTTCTCATAATTCAGGACATTCATTTCTTGAGTTTGGGTATCCAGCAAGAGGACTGGAAGGGAGTTATACATAAGAGGAAAACAATGACCCTATGACTTTCATTTTTTCTGTGCAACCTCCACAGCAAATACTGTGAATCTTGATCATTAATGTATTTTAAAAGGTTAAAATTCAGAAAAAAAAAATTCTGCAAGATTGAAATTACATGAATCAAAACCAAACAGAATCTCACGTCTGAACGGCTTCCAACTGTTCAACTGGGTGAAAAAGAAATATGTAAAGTAAGGAAAACCATTTTCTGAATCACCTAAGTGAAATTCCAATCTCTCACCTTCCTGCATATTTACCAGCACACTCCTCGCTTGCTCTAAACTTTTCTTGTATAAAATGTAGCTGAGTCATTTTGGAGATAGGGTTTATTTTGCCTGATAGATACGAATTCAAATTCCTTTTCTAAGAACCATCTGGGGCCAGGCTGCCCTGCCCAGTACATGCCCTCTGTCCTCCCCAGGCCGTATCCTGCTACGCCCAGCTTAACCCCGAGATGACAATGTCTCCCAGCCAGGAAACAGGCCGTTGTTGTTCAGAGAAATGGGCAACCGCACGCCAAACGCCCCCTTGCACACAATTCCTGAAATGTATTCCTGTTTTCCAAGGGCGTTTTCATATTTTGATCTTTCCACGACGCTTCCTTCCCCCACGAGCACCGAAGAGCGGCCCTACCGATTCAGACCCTCCCGGAATACTACACTCTGCTTAGAGCCGGTCAGCCCGGTCCAATTAAGTTGTTGAAAGTAAAAAAGTCTGAAAAACCGTCAAACAGGAAGAAAAAAAATCCCCAGAGCTCAGTGTAGACATTGGAATGTACCATTTATTTCGAGGGGAGGAATATCCTTGGTGTGAAGTAATTCGCAGATCTTGAGCCACTTACCGGACCTTGGATGATACACGACCTGGGAACGTGAAACATAAAGGCGGGGTTGGACACAGGCTGGGGGCCGAGGACGCAGCGGAGACCCGAGCGGGCGGCGCCCCGGGGCGCGTCCCCCGCAGGTCCGCTTGGTGCGATCCCGGCGGCCCCGCGGGCGGTGAGGTGGGGCGCGCAGGGCGGTGCCCGCGCAGTCTGCACCATGGCTTATCCCGGGCACCCAGGCGCCGGCGGCGGGTACTACCCAGGTGGGGTAAGTGCAGCCCGCGCGGGCTCGCGGCCCAGACGGGACCCGTGGGCACCCGGGACGCCTAGAGAACACACTTGGTGACTTTGCTAAGGCGGCTCCCCGGGCGCCTCCCGCCTCCGGCTTCTCCCTGCCCTGGATCTTTCGGCCTTTCTTTGGCTCCCTCCTTCTGTGTGTCCCCTCTGCCTCCCCACTAGTGGACTGGGACCCCGGAAGCCCACCCAGTGACTCTCGAATACCTGGTGTGAAATTGTGCTAATTGAGTCTTGGCTTCCTCCCCCTCCCTCTGTGGTTGTTCTAAGAGCAACAGCGATTTTATCTACAATGGTCCAGAGATCTACTTCTCCCTTTGAAAGTGAGAGAAAAAGGTCAGCGGAAGACCGCCAGAGTAAAAGTCTTCCGGGAGAAAGGCCCCCTCGCCCGCGCCCGGGATGCGCGTGGTCGTGGGAAGTGTTTGTTTCCAAGACAGGATGTTCCCTCGCGGCCAATAGCCCAAACCAGACACACCTTACCCTTCCCTGGCGACACCTGCCCCAAAACTCTTTGAAACTACCATAAAACCCTATAAAAAAATTTAAGATTGGTCTTAAAACTGCTTGCCTGGCTTCCATTTACCTCAGTAACCTGAAGGTTAACAGGGGGTTTTAAGTTGCGTCACTTAACGCAGATGTCACCGTCAGGACTTTTCATTTTGGTCCAAGCCTCTCGTTTTTAAATTTTACTGGAGTGAGAATGAAAGGAAGGGGCAGAGGGACTGCAGTTAGAGTGTGTCCAGTGGTGGGGAGGTGAACACCTGGCTTTGCAAAAAGACGCGCCGCGGTTAAAGAACGAAACTTGGTTCAGCAGAATGAAGCTGAATTTGTGTTTTCTGTTTTGCAGTATGGAGGGGCTCCCGGAGGGCCTTCGTTCCCTGGCCAAACCCAGGATCCGCTGTATGGTTACTTTGCTGCGGTAGCTGGACAGGTTAGCCTTTCCCTTTAATATTAAAGAGTCACCGCAGTCTACATTTGTATTAGTCTTTGTTATGGGGGCCAGAAAAACGACCTTTTCCCTGGAAAAGAGTCACTTCTCCAAAAGAAAAAAAAGAGAGAAAGGAAATTTATTGACAGTTACTTTTTCTGAATATCCAGAGCAAAGTAGGACAAAGTGTTACTAGTATTGTCAGTTCAATTCAAAACTAAATTTGTGATTGAACTAGGGTCAGATTGAACAGGATAGGGGATTATTAATACCCTTTGAAGATCTGTGGGCAGTTATCTTTAGAACTGAATTTGTCAGTCTAGGGTGGTTTCCAGAGAAGAAATTGCTGATCTGGTGAACACTTCGTACAACTTAAAGGCATGTACTAATAAGTCTGTTGCCAGATTTGAATGGACGCTTTCTTTGGGTTGAATTTGATTGTTAATCAACCACCTCCCCTAAGGAAGTAGGTATTTATGGTAACCCACCAGCTTCAAAATAAGAAAGTTAACTGCTCTCGTCTTACTATCAGGAAGTTAATCTTGTGAGCAGTTTCTCTTTTGATGGAGGTGCTTTTACTAGGTCCGCTCTTCTGTGTCCTTGCTCAGTGTTGTGGCCTGTTGACCCAAAGAGATGATTAAGGTCCGCTCCCTAAGATCCTTCACTTCTTGACATTCTGAATTGTACGACTTCTGGCGGTGTACCCTCAGGAAGGACACTCCCGTAGCTCAGGAGGTTACTGTGTATGCTGTTGATATAACCCCTGTGTGTCCGGAGGGGATGTTTGTTCACATGCATTCAGCTTAGATTTGTTTTGATCAAAAGTTAGAAATAACACAACCTTAATGTGGAAATGCCATAGGCTATTTGGGATAAAAACCTAAGACCACCTTTTAGAATAACACTCTAAGAAATGCAGTTTGAGAAACTGAATGGAAAATTGAGCCTGAAACTGAAAGGGCTTCCCTTTAAGTATCTGCTTAATCTGTTAATGATCCGTATCTTTGAAACCACAAGACACAGCAAAGCTCAAGACTCACATTCTTAGATCACCTGCGCCTTCAGCCTGAAAGTGACCCCACCTGCTTACCTTTCAGCAGCCCTGGCCTCTGTCAGCATATCCTTCGTCTTTCAAATTATTGACCCTACTCCTCATTCAGAACTTAAAATACCTAGGGACTTGAGAAATTAGGTATTTTATTTTTAAAACCCTATAAATAATATATACCTAGTTCTGACCTAGGCCAACCAATAAATAGGCACTTGGGGACATGTATCTTCCAGGTATGTGTAGTCTGTGATCTGAAAAACCATTTACCACATCATAAACAAAGGCGATCATGACGGTCTCTCTCCAAACTAAGTTTTTTATTTACTGATGTCAGCTGTGTGCCCTGCTTTCCCCTCCCAAAAAGCTAGAAAGAGGAATAAGATTTTAAGCCCCTGCATAAATTATTTTATTTGAAAATGCTTAACTTTAACACTTTCCTAGTCAGAGTTAGAGAAGAGTAGTCCAGGACAGAAACTGGTTTTATTCATTCATTAAAACATATCAGGTATCAGTGGAAGAAACTGAATTCACCTTTGTGTTTTATTAAGAGAGGAACCTTACACTGAAGGATATTTATGCCAAATGTAATTCAGGAATTTAAAGGAAATGATGAAAAGATATTGGTAATACTGAAGTATAGGTGTAAGCAGCTTTCTGACTTTGTTAATTCTTGTGTAATACTTAAAATAGAGTCTGAAATTGAATGCCCACTTAGATACTAAGAAATGCATATTTTATGGCCCTAATAATACATTTGCAGAAGAGCATGTAACAATTTCTTTCTTTCATCATGAAATTATTTTTGGAAGTAGAATGAAGAAAAGAATGCCTATTGTTGAAATGTAGTCCTTTAAAAAAAGTTTCATGCGTGATAATACTCACTTTCTTGGTTATTACTGCTGCATTGAATACTGACAGTAAACAGAACTAGAAGGTACAGATTACTATTGTGATTTCTCTTCCTGTGTTTTCAAAAGGATGGACAAATAGATGCTGATGAATTGCAGAGGTGCCTGACACAGTCGGGCATTGCTGGGGGATACAAACGTAAGTTGACAGCCTCGAAGTTGCTCCGGAAGTACTCTTGCTTTTCACAGTGTAGCTGTTGCTCGTGATTACAGCCTTCAACGTTTAGAATTCCAAAAGCTAAATTCAGTTTATTTCAAAATGTGAATTTGAAAACATTCTTAATAAATCATTCCACACTACCTGCCAACTTAATGGGTTTCTTGGATTTGGGTTCCATGTACCTGGAACCATTCGAAACAGAAACAGCTTACGTGGCCTCCTTCACGGAGGACGGGCTAAGGTGCTGAAATGAAATCTGCCAGGTCAGGTGTCTTTAATGGCAGGAGAATGTCCAACCTATAGAAAAGTTTTAGAAGAGTTTCCTTAAGCCAAAATGTTGAAGATATGCCGAAAGCAAAATCTCAAGGGGCAGTGAAAATGCTCTGGAGAATGGCAGAACATGGGGGAGTTCCTCTTAGGTATTTTGAATCAAGGGAGAAAACACAAGGAAGGTACACGCCACCATTGGTGGGCGGTTAAGGAGGCTGGAGGAAGCAAAGTAGGGAAATCTCTAGGATTAGATAAAAGGCAAAGTGGAAAAGCCTGTAATTGGACATTGGTGGGTACAGGACAGTTAATAATTAACAGTGACAGCGCGGCAGAGCTGGTACGTGGGGAATAAGGTAACAGTGAGGGCTCCTGTGGTCTCCTGCTCTGGCTTCTGAGTAACCCTGGATGCATAACAATGGACAGGGCTCCCGCAAGGCAAAGACTGACCTTTGCTAAGGAAGATATATGCATGGGTCATGGCTACGCACTTTGACCTGCCGCGTTAGGAATTTAGGATCAATCAGACCATCCTCTGTGGTTATTTTGGGCCACTGAGAATGTCAGGCCTGCCCCCAATAGCTTGTGAGGTTTATTACATAGTCCTTTTTTCCACTGCGTTCACAATAGCCAACATTTACTGCTGTTTGCTAAGAGCTTACTTTGTCCCTAGCCTGGTGGCCCCAAGGGCTTTGAGTTGCTGGTCTCGGGCACTTGGTCCCTGAGTAGCCTGCCTGCACCCCTGGTTCTGGTGGCTGGTCCTGTCGTCCACCCCCGTCCCCAAGGCGCTGGCTCTGCAGCCCGCAGGTGGCACCGTGAATGCTTGCCATGACACCCCCCAGGTCCTCCCTCTTTCTTTCTTCCTCCCAGCTCAGAGAAAGCCTTCGGGCTAAGTAGGACCTTCCCTCCTAATTTCTAAATTCTCTACACTAGTCCCCCTTGCCCCCTCCTCCCCAGTTCCTCAGATCCTCAGACAGGATCTGCTGCTTTACAATTTAGTACTTACACCACTTCCTGCCCTTGGGGCTCTGCTGCAAGAGCTGCAGATAGAGAACCATTGCAAGATGCTGCGCCCCATCTGGGGGCTTCTCATCACCCCCACGCGCAGACCACACGCCTCTTTTCAAATCAGATCTTGACCATGACAGATATGCAGCTTGGACAATAGTGTCTTAACTAAGGTGTTTAGCAGCCTACGTCTTTTGCCAGTTGTTAATTGGGCAGGACATCACATTGAAGCCCCTCCTGGTAAACTGTGGATTAAAATGCTCAAACAGAAATTCACACCTGAGGATTTATAGTTTCTTTTTTTTATTGTTTGACATGGCTTGTTGACTAGCTGGCTCTTTTTAAACTACTTGCATTTCTATTTTTATCCTTTGTGTTATGTAATTTCATTACCCTATTAATGTTCACTAGTTGGGAGGAATTAATACAAAATAGGAACCTTTTGCATTTCCGTCATTTAATCTTGACCTAAACAGAAGAAGCACTTTGTAGACTATGGGATTTTTTAATTGTAGGCAATACATTTAAATTGTTAATTGTTAACCTCAAGCCACTGGGTCTAGTGAACAAAGTCTAATAACAGGTTCACAAAACGGAGCTATGGTACGACGTATGCTATTATCCTACACCCTCTCAGTAGGAGAGGGGTGGTAGGTGTTAAAATCTGACTGACAAAGTGGCTTGTATATCCCTGGAGAACAATCGCTTTAAAAATTTCTGTTGAGAAGGCCATGCTTCATGCGGCCTTCGATCATTGAGCTTCGGAGAAGACATTTCCCGATCATCAGGATCACGTGACTGAATTCATTTGTTTACTTCGTCTGGTGTTGGTGGCTGTACTGAACCACAAAACCACCTGCTTGAGAGGTGTTGGACTGAGTTTTGTAATACAGGTACATTCATGGGCCTTTTAAACCCAGCTTCCAAACTAAAACAGCAGAGACAGGGCCTGGCGGTATACCCCAGCCCAGCACCTACAGACACCTTTTTAACCTGTTGAAAAGGAAGCGGCCAGACCAGAGGTGGAGTTGACGAGGACAGTTGCTCTGGTCTATAAGACTTTAATTCAGTTCCTCCTTTTCCCTTGAGTGTAGTTGTTCCTCTGGTGCCATTGAGAAAAACAACCTGGGAGAGGGCTTCCCTGCTAGGTCTGCCACGTTGTGGATTTCTACTAGAAGAAGAGGTGTTTGAGGCATTCTAGTGAAATGAATCGGAGGAAGAGAGTAAAGGTAAAAGTAGAGTAAAGATCATTTTGAAATTTTTAAAATAGAGTTAGTATTAATGAAAGCTTTTTCTGGTGGGAAATCAAGGAATTTTAAGCAACAGTGTCCTCGCCCAAGCTTATGAGATGTCAGCATTCTGGTCCTGTGAACTGTCTGGAATGGCGGCTTATCTGTTGGTCACTTCGGTTCACTGCCCGTTGCATTCACTCCCTTTTAAAGAACCCTCGCAAAACATGACCAGATTTCTGTTGTCCCTGAAAAACAGCTCGAACTTGTCACTGTCCTCTAAAAATCTTGAGTAGCTCCATGATGCCTCTAAAATAAAAGCTAAATGGGTTTATCAGGAATTCAAGATCCTCTAACGTAGCCTTATTGAAAGATACCCGCTTCCTCCCACTTCCTTTGCCTGCCCTGACTTTCCTGCTTCCCTTGGCTTATGTTGGCCCCTAGCTCTATTTGGCTGTCACCAAATGTCCCCCACCTTTCTGTCATTCAAGGTTTGGCTTAAATGCTGCCGCTTCTACGAAGTACTTCTTACTAGGAAGAAGCCTCAAAGTCCTCACTGCATCCTACCCAGAGCACTTATTTAGCACAATTCTAGCAAGCGCATTTATCTAGTTTCATGTAAGAGCTTATGGTGCATGAAAAGGAGTCAGGATATTTTAGGTAGGAGGTTACTGTTCAGTGCCTGACATTAAAGGGAAAAGAAAGAAAAATATGATTAGACAATCCTATTTCTCCCCAGTTGTAGTCAACTAAGAGTAGCAACAAAGCACCCCTACCTTCCTACTCACTGTGGTGTATGCAGTATGATGCAGTTCATTATGGTGACTTGAACTTACTATGTTACAGTTTCAAAGGTAAGAAATACATTTTTAAAAGACAATGTGATAGAAAGCTTTAGGCCTATCCAAGAATACAGATAATTATACAATGAACTTCTGTGTACCCATCCCTCAGCTTCAACAGTTTATCACTGTGTTGCCATTCTTGTTTCATCTATGAACCTGCCCCCTTCTTCTGAAGCAAATTCCAGATTTCATAAGTCATTTCACCTACAAGTAACTTCACTGTATACTTTTCTAAAAGATAAAGACACCTTTTTCCCCAACTTCAAAACCATAATCATACCTAAAAAATATTATTGTAACAGTACTATGCAATGCTTTTATAAAAGGTTACTATAAAGTTGTTAAAATCAAATTTGGGTTCCAGAAGGAATCCTACATGTAAAAATCTGCTTTAAAGCTCCATATAATTTAGTTCCACATAGATTGAATAGCATATAAAAATGCAAGTGTATAAATCATAGTTCTAATTAATTTGAAGGTTTCTAATGTAATGTGAATTTTTTAAATTATATTGATATGTATGTACTTTTCTTGATTTAACAGCTTTTAACCTGGAGACTTGTCGGCTTATGGTTTCAATGCTGGATGTATCCTTTACCTTCATTGCTGTTTATTTTTTTCTTGTCCAAAAAAGAAAAATCCTCCCTCAAGGAATTCATCTAAGAATTAATACATGGGAAACACAATGACAAATGACCAAAAAATTCTTCCCAAACCATTAGCTTTTGAGATAGAATTTGGAAAAAGGAAGGAAGCTTAGTAAGTAGAATGTTGGTTGTTCAAGAATTTAAGGAAGCATCCAAGGAGGACCGCTCAAGGCTCGAGTGGGCATGGAGCTTGTTTGCTTTGACAGGGATGTCTCTGTGTAGGTCACCCCGGACCTTCACGCAGGGGCATTTTCACAGCATAGTTGTGGGCCTCAGGTTAACAAGTGCTGACCCCACAACTCCTTCCGTCCCACCTCCTTTTCAAAGGTGAAAACCCTGGTCTGGGAGGGCTACCAAGGCAGTATTAGGGCCTGGAGCGCCCCAGGACAGACCGGCAGCCTAGCCCGGAAGGGACGCCCAGAAGGTGCCGCCCCTTCCAGTAACAGGGAGCTTTCTGCCCGAGGCTCACGATGGCCATGTCAGTCCTTGTAATCACATCACATAGATCATCTTTTCCCCCCACAATGAAAAGATGTTCTCAGAGCTCTTTCCTCATAGGCCATGTTTACTATATCGTTAGCCTGTCTTTTTATTATACCAACAAGAACGTGTAACATTTTTAACCTTTTCAGCAGAAAGAACATTAAATTCCCTCACCTTTGATTTTTGACTTAATCATTAGAAAGTGTTGCTCCCCGCAACAAAAATGGCCACAATCCTTAATTACAATTCAGAGAGATCTGTCAGGCACGATGGGTTTCAGTGAATTTAAAGAACTCTGGTCTGTACTGAACGGCTGGAGGCAACACTTCCTCAGTTTTGACAGCGATAGAAGTGGAACCATAGACCCTCAAGAGCTGCAGAAGGCCCTGACGGCAATGGGTGTGTGTGGGGAGGTGCAGGGGTTGGTTGTTTTTTTTTTTAATTTCTAAAACTAAGTGCTGCATGAAAGCGGTTTCTGTGTTCTAGAAGTATTGCGTGTTCACAATTCAAAGAAATACTACCAGTGTTCAAAAATCGTGCTTGATTATTTCTAACGATCTTTCTGTAGTCCTTGAACTTTTTTTTGGCTGGATGATTTTTCGTCCTTTCAGGATTTCGGTTGAGTCCCCAGGCCGTGAATTCAATTGCAAAACGATACAGCACCAACGGAAAGATCACCTTTGACGACTACATCTCCTGCTGCGTCAAGCTGCGAGCTCTGACAGGTGGGCTCCTTGCGGTGGTGTCACCCCAGGCCAAGAGGACACACGTTTTCATGGCATTTTATTTCTCAGCACTTCTGAACTTCTATTGTCCTAGTCTTTTTTTTCTTTTTAACTTGTGTCTTTTTATCCAGTGCCATTAAACTTACCTCGCAGAATAATTTTTTTTCAGAAATCTTTTTAGATTTGTACATGATCTGCCCTTAAGACAATCCTAACTACATTTTACTGAAATGTTCCAAAACATAACAAATTATTGATCAGAGTATGAGCATTATTCTGTAATTTCTCCCTAGTATTTGAAATATTTGAAAAGAGTGAAATTACTCATTTGTGGCTCTCTTTCCTATTTCTCCCTGATGGAAAGTAATTTAAAAGAGTGGTCATCTGTTACAGGTCTATTTCTTAAATGATGAGATATCAGTAATCACTATACTTTTCTACTCCCTCTATTCTTTTTTCATATCTTTTCCTGTTCCATTCCTCTTATTTTCACTCTTTTTAATATTGGGTTTTATAATTTTTACTCATCCTAACAAAAATTAGTGTGCAGGTTTTTTTTACTAAAGTAAATCCTTTTCAGTAGGGCAGAACTCAAATGAGTGGAATATTTTGTCACAGCCAATTTTTCATAGTAGAGACCCCACTCTAAACAATAGGATATTAAGAAGTTTGCAATTCTCTGCTTTCATCAAAAGTAATGGCCTCAGAAGGTGCACCGTTTTTACTGACTTTGGGGTATTTTCTTCCTTCTTCCAGCTCCACGTTGAAAAAGACAGCCAGGTTCTGCACACTGTATTACTTCATTGTATATTATTTCTATTGATATTCATATAGCTGGCTTCTCTGCTTAGTTTGATTATGTTGGCTGGTTGTATAACTTAAATGTTACTGCATTGTGAACCCAAAGCCAAAACACTTAACTATTGTGAGTTCATATAAGATTTAAAAAAAAAAAACCCACAAATTTTACTGTCGTGTTTTACAGACAACTTTCGAAGACGGGACTCTGGTCAGCAAGGTGTTGTGAATTTCCCGTATGATGATGTAAGTCTCAGTCAGTTCAGAACTGAGTAGATGAATAAGATGTACACCAAACGGGCATCCCTTTTAGAGTTAACTCTTAAGAGCATCTCACCAGAGGAATTCAGGCTTCGATAATCAGAAGGAGTTACCATTAAAAATTTATTAATTTCATTTATTATTCTTACTCATACATCGACCACTCTTTGCATTAAAAGACCTGAGTCAAAGACCAGATTGTCCCACTCGTTAGCTGAGTTACTCAGGCAGGTTTCTTTATTGCTCCAAGACTGCTTGAGGGAAGAGGAAGTAGTAATACCTTCTTCACTGGGCTATTGCGAGACTTCAGTCAGAAATGTCCTTGAAAAACATTGTGCACATGTATCTGTTTCTGCCATCATCTCAGTCACCGAGCAATAACTTTAACAGCTTAAAACTGTATTTGACACACCCGTGTCCTTCACTGAGGACATTGGGTGCAAACTTAAGTCACAATTTAAAACAATGTATTTCTAAACAGCAACACTAAATGAGGTAGGATTAGGCCATGTCACAGTGTGAACGTAACCAAGGGCCACCTTTGATGGCATTAGCTGGATATACTTAACAAAGCTAGGGAGATGTTTAGTTGTTTTTCCATTTTTTTGCTTTAAAGCCATTGCTTTTTTTTTTTTAAATTACCTTTAGAATAGAATCACTCTGATAAGTGAATATACTAAATTCATTCACTACATTTACAAATGTATTGTTTCTCCATTTAAAATACAAAGATGCACATGTATTCTGCTTAGCAGCTGCTGCAGTGATGAGTATACTTTTAAAAGGCTTGTGTGCAAATACGTTTATTTTTTCTGCATAAAGATGTGTTCTCTTTAGTGTGCAACTTCTCAGGTGACAGTTTCATCACTGGTTCCAAAGATGTAGAGTCAGCCTGTGGAGTGGAGAGTGCGATCTGAGGCCACTTAAGGAAAACCCAAACTTTGTGATCCCTAGTTCCCTCTTCCCTGAAATAGGGACATAGCGGCTTGGTCTGGCAGGAATGCTGCGAGGATTAGCAAGTGCTTCCTGGGGTTAGAATAGTGAAGACAGTTGATAAGAAAAAACAGTCTATCTGGTGTGTGTTTAGTAGGGAAGCAAGGAAATATTTCACATCACATACTGGTGCTTCTAAACTAGGATTTCTGAATTGTAGAAGGGTCAGGTATTCTGTTTCTGTGCACATATATACTTGCGTGCTATGATTTAATTAAGCAGATTGTAAAGGAATAAACTGTTTAAAGGAGCTTCGTTAGAGTAACGGAGTAATCCTGTGTAGTTCGGAAGCCTCTGTGGGACAAACGTATAAACTCAACAGTTATTTCTGTTTTGAGTAGGTACTTTTGACCATGCCCATTTCTAGAGTCTTAGATGTTATTTAGAATTTAAATCATTCTTTATCCATGGGAGTAAGATCTGCTGCTGCTTGTGAGTTTCGATGTGAGGAACCCAGTGGATTTTATATTAGACTGCTTTCCTCAAAAAAAAAGAAAAAAAAAAAGAACCTTTTCATATGTCATTTACTCTTATTTTATCAAGGATTTTTTGAAATCCATAATTCAAATTAGAATACGAAAATGTAAGTTGCCTAAAAAATAAGTTAGGGTGTATTGAGTTTAAGAGATCCGCAGTATGACGCTCGCTGACTTCCCTCTCTTTCAGTTCATTCAGTGCGTCATGAGTATTTAAACCAGGAGGAAGCCATGTGAACGGAACCGACATTCCAGCGGCAGTTCGCCTCGCTCTTACTCCCTGCCTGCAGGAACACGCGGAAACGTGCGTCGCTGCTTTTCCTTAGCCGTTGTTGTAAAGGTGCATTACTTTATGTACATCCGAAAATTTTGTTTTCAGTTTAGATAATAAAGGCTGGAATTGTATTAATACAAGATCAGTTCTGTTACACTGTTTAGAATTTCCTTAAGCCATTGTCATATGCCTTATTTTCTTGCTAAACCTGATTTATGTAATTTTAAGTATGCGAAATGTGTAGGGCACTAAAACCTTTTCATCAGACTACAGCTGTTGTCATTCCTCTCCTACAAGGGCTTTTGCATGGTACTGAAAGCTTGATGTGTGGAGTATTCTTATCTTGTAAAATGGTTTAGACCTACTTGGATGTGAAAAAGACCATGGTAATCCATGCCAGAGTTTTCCTTAATGGAAATTTAACATAGGCTTTAAGGCTTACAGATGTTCTGATGGCTTTAAAGATGGACGGGAACATGAGTGATTATTTTCTGCCTTTCAAAAATCTACTTAATAATTTGAGTGGCAAACACTGTCACCAAGATCTTTGTCATCATCCTCATAGACCTTTATTAACCATACTTAAAAACCTTGTACATGACGGGTTTAACTATGTAAAAAAGAAAATTAATAGAAAAAGACTAAGGGACTATTTGAAAATTTTAACTATAATTATTTTGGCTAATAGAATTCTAGGTGATTTAAATTCCTTGATATGTTTCAGTATTTTCTGGGTTTTCTATAATGTGCTTTCCTTTTAAAATCAAATGTTAGTTTTTTTTATTACTGATGCTTCCATTTTGATATGCCATGCGTTCATGCATTAAAAAAGTACAGCAAAAGGTCTGGAAAGAGTGCACCAGAATGTTCATGAGACTGCCTGCCGCTGGGAGTCAGGCTCATGAGCTCATTTTCATCCTTCCTGCTACTTTTCAGAATGTTCTCTGATAAGCAAGAATTGCATTTATAATGGAGGTCTTTATAAAAAAAAAAATTTCAACCATGTGCTTTTAAGTAAGATCTGGATTCTAATGCTGGCTCTGCCTCTAACTATATATGTGGTTTGATCATTTTAGATAATCTCAGAGCCTCAGTTTCCCCATCTTTGAAAAGGAGATAATTCTTAACCTCCTGGGGTAAATCTGAATATGAAAAATGTGTTGGTATAATAAATGCCAATAATGTTTCTGTTTCTTAAAGTGGGCCCAATTTGTTCTTTTTGCAAGAGAGCTTAACAGATAAAATAATGAAATTAGTCTGTTTTCTCCCTGCTGGCAGAATACCTCTCTGATTTTAGGGCACAACCTGATGGCTACCATTCTGAGGTCAACCAATGAAAATAAAAACATTTCAAAGCATCTTTAGCCACACTTCACTAGTTATTTTTTCAAATATTGCTAAAAACATTCATTTTATACATATTTATGTAACCCTAATTTATGTATTTATGTCACGTAGTCACACCTGGCTATATATTACAATGGAATGCAGCCTGCTTTATATACGGTGGGGCAAAAGTAGGCTTACAGTTGTGAGTACATGAGTTTATTCTTGTATTATTTATTATTGTATCTTTCCATACACACAACTATAAGCCTACTTTTGCTCCATCCTGTAATATGGAGTGAGTGTAGGTTCATTCTAGATTAACATTGTCTGACGCCACAAAGCTTGGCTTTCCAGAAAAGGGTCAAGGAGGGCTCAGAGGACCAGGAGGCAGGGACCCCCTCAGTCCCAGCTCTGTGCTTCGACTTCACCAGGCTCCTCTGAGGAAGTCACGGTTTAAGGGAAGGGTCATTTTCTGGATGGCTACGTGGTGCGGAAGAAGACCCTTGCTGACTCAGGGTTTTGGGCCGTACCTGAGCCATCCGACTGCCTTGGTAAGTCCCAAGGTGTGCTGCTTCAGTCATGGTTCTGAATTTGCTTTTGGTTAAGTGCCAAAGTATTCCAAAACTATGTCTCTAGAAATACTCAATTCAGTTTCAATTATTGATACCTTGTAACAAGTCTTACCTCCTCCACTTCTCCTTTTGCTGTTTCTGAAAGCCTGGAGCCTAATCTTGAGCATGTCTCTGCAGTTAGAGAGCTTCTCTCCCCTTGAGGGATTTGATGTATATATCCCTTCTTTAATTACACCAAAGTCTTCATTACAAGTGAATCTCGTGTTGCCTTATTTCTATTTTATGCTGGGTTCTGTGTTTCATTCACTATAGGCTTCCAGTGCAACCTCACCCACTTTACACCTGTTTCTTCGTCTGTTTTTTCTTAAAGCATGGTAAAACTGTGAGGTCAAACCTGAATACTGCAATTATTTGGAGAATTAAGTTCAAGTCACCCCGAGTCACTATTTAATTTAATTTTACAGATGTGTGCTTTAGCCTTGTGCTTCAAGAGATTCATGAGTCATGAAGTACTTATCACTCTTGTCAAGCACTTCCATAGGATGTGGCTACAAGAGGCCTGGTGCTTCCCTGGGGACAGCTGGCACACAGCAGTCTCCCCTGCTGAGCCAAAGTGGAGTTTAGGCTCCACTTGCACGTGTGGTTCCAGGTGGGGCCTTCCGCCCATGAGGTGGTGTGTAAGCTAAAACTTCTGCTCTTCCTGACCTGGACTTGGCTTTCACTCAGCTGAGTGTGTTCGTTTCAGTGTTCATCTTAGCGAGCAATTATATATGCCTAAAATATTACAAATACAAGAAATGGAGCTCTATGTAATCATGAATTTTTTTGCTCATAATAAATGTACAAGCCCTTTATCGATGACTTCTATTTTTCTCACATATAACTACTTTTTTCTTCAGCAGACTAAGAGCTAAAGGCAAGGGAAGGAAGGGCAAGTGCCAGGGTAAAGACTGAGGGGTGGAATGACTGCTCGGGAGACCATGAACTGGCCAGGTGGAACTGTTTCAGTCACTGAGCTCCTGAGCCTAACCTGAACCTGCCAAGGCCCGTGGCTTTCGAGTCCAACACAGGTGAGCTCAGTAAGTGAGCACCACTGCGTGGCCTCTCAGTCCAGATACGGAAGCTGGTCCTTGACAGGGTCAGGAAGAAAGAAAGTGCAAGAAGAGGCAAAGCAGGTAGGTAAATGCAGGAGACCCTGCCTGCCACCCCGCTGAGGAAGTTGTCCGACAAATCAAGTGCTCGGCCTTTACTAAAGGACCGCTGTATTCCTTACCATGCTCATGGTCCCTCCTGGACAGTGTGGAACAGAAAAGAAAACCCCCAGCATTAGTCCCACAAAGCTTCTGAAAGATAAGCAGTGGCCAGGGAGAAAAATAGGATTAAAGGGAGTTATGCATCAAAATAATACTGATCTTTTATTGAAAGTCACTTTATTAGTGTTACAATGAGAGTAACATAGAAAACCATGGTACCTTATTAGCTTCAGAAGTGAATACTAATAAAATTGTGCCAGAAATTTGAACCTCAAGTTACAGGAACCTTTAAAAACAGCAAGATTTTGTTAACCTACAATAATAAGAACAACTTGATAACTTTAACAGCCATAAGACAAATCACACTTGCTCAGGAAAGCAGTTGCCGTACACATTTCAGTTGGTGTTTGCCAAAACCCAGTTATTTTTTAAATAGCTTAAGAACCTGAAGTGCAGAGAGGCAGAGAGAACAGAATGTGAACACAAAGCCGATCTAAGATACATACATTGACTACCTGGTTACCAGAAGTGAAACCGCGCTGCGATTAACACTTCCCCACAAAGTGGCTTCCACTGCCTGTAGGTGGGGCATCACCCCTCAAAGGTGACAGATGTGGAAAGCACGGTCACAGACCTACACTGGCTAATATATAAACTGCCATGTTTAGGTAGAATGTCCAGTTTCTACAAGAGGTTGTCTTCAGGGGAGGCTAGGTTGGGGCAAGGCTCTTCCAGAAACTTAAGAAAGGAGTGCATGCTGAGCTATCCTGAATAAACCTACTGTTAAGCACTTTTGAAGTTAGTGTAAAAAAAAAAAATGTTTTCCATATAAAACAAAGGTCTTGTGTCATTTTACCCACTAAAAAGACTGTGGAATCACAGTTTGATTTTTGTGCTGGATTAGAAAAGAAAAGTGGGGTTTCTGATCAGGCAGTGATACACATGTAATTTAGCAGAACTCTTGGATTGTTACTGAATAAATATATTCATATCAGCACTTTCTGTATTGTTACCTGGTATAGCTTAGCACCACTGTGTTTAAAGATTTGGGGGCTATTTTCATTACTTTAGAGCTTGACCATCAAAACACAAATCCACACCTGAAACTAGAAATAGGCTAAGCCCTATAGTAAATGTAGATTAGTATTAGGTGTGCATATATTTGGGTTGTTTTTTTTTTTAAACTAGGGAGGAAAATACCCTTTTCTTCATAAACTGAAAACTACATTGGTTTTTTTAAAACACATTATCTTAACAAAATTGCTAGTCTCATTGTATGCCTTTTTGTTAAAAGAAAGAAAAGAAACACATTTTCCCTGGTTTTGATTTCAAGGAATCCTACAAACATGAAATGACGATGCCCTTGAGTAAAGCCTTGAAGCACCTCCGGGTACGGCACAGGCTCAACGAACATGCGACAGGCAGCAGTGCCCGGCCCATCGTGGACTGGACCATGAAGTACTTGCAAAGCCAACACAGTAAAACTGCAAAGCACGCAGGCCAGTCGCAGGCACTCAGCACCTCCCCCCACGCCCCGCCCGCGTCTCACGCAAGTGACCATCCTGTGCCCGTCTGCGCGGTTGGCTTCCGAGCTCTGTGTGTGGCTCTCCATCTGCTCCTTTGCCAGACCTAGGTGCCCCAGGACCCCAAGGCTGGCTGCTGCTCCTCTCCCCTCCGTCCTGAAACAGTGCGATGCATGCCCAGGCGCCCAGGGGAGAAGACGAAAGGTGCTTCTCCCCACTATTCATACTGCGGTTCTCCCAAGTAGCCAACAAAGGCAAAAAAGAAAAAAAAGGGGGGGCGGGGGCACTTACCTCCAGGAGAATGAAAATTTCTAGTCAGGAGAAAAGGACTGACAGCTACTGAAGGGGGAGCGACTTCGGGAGCAGAAAGGGTCTGAAAGTCTCTCTCAAACCCCATAGCAAGGACGCTTACTGTTTGTCAGGCTCTGGATATGAGGGACAAAAATACTAGGCAGGCTTTTGTTTTGTTTTGTTTTGTTTTTGAATGCTGTTTTTCTACTTAGAAACTGAACCAAAGGATGCTCCATTTGGGGGACTCTAACAAAGCAATAAATAAAATGTGACCAGAAGTATTAGCCCCTGATATCTAAGGTCTCGTTGACTCAGTTGGCTCTGCATCTGCAGGTGGGATGGAAAAGCTCTTGCAATTAAAAGCACCTGCCTCCAGACCAGATGCTGTGAGCATGCGCCGTCAGGTCGCCGGCGTTCCACGCCTCCCCCCGCCGCCGCGCCGCCTGCGCGCTCACGGACACACGCGCGCGCGCACAACGCCCCCTCCCCGAGACGGGCTGCTGCCTCTCAGCCCATTTGCACAAGGGTGGGACGCTCCCCTCTCAGTCCAGTAAACGGGGAAGCCGTTTGTCCAAGTCCTTAGCGCGTGCCGGTGGAAAGTTGCATCCAAAATCGGAGTAGTCTAATCAATTCAGAAAATATCTCCGAGGGGGGGAAAAAAATGAGCCTCTATTCCATAGAAATGTTTGCTGCTTATATAGTTTAAGCTAGTAAAATGAGAATGAGAAATTCCTCTTGACTCCATTTAAGGAAGAAAACCATTTGGGTGGCAGATTTAGAGGAAAACAGAAGTGAAAGGAGGATCAGGAGGAGCAAAAAAAGTAGACATTATGCTGCAAATGGGAGACAGAGCGTTTGATGGGAAATTCGTGCCAACTTACCCACTGGTAGGATGGCATTAACATGCGCCGCCCCTGGGGCGTCCCCAGCAGCAGCCCGCGGTGGGGTCCTATTCAGGCTGTGGCAGCAGCTGTCTGACCTCCCTTCGCTCCTGCGCCCCCTTCACTCGCCGCGCACGTCCTCCCGTACACTCTGCACGCTACTCAATGTCCTTCCAAAAACGTCCCTTTCCTTCAAGTAAAATGAAGTGAAATAAAATAGCCTTCTCTTTAGGTCAAGATTTATTATTATGTTGAATAACACAAGGAAATATTTAAAGCACTAACTGTAAGTTAAAATAGAACTGCATGACAACAACAACAAAAAAATGAAGAGATTAAATAAAGGAGCAAACTTGATTTTGAAACATTGAAAGAAGTGGATAGAAATATTGTATTTCTTCTGGCCCATAGGTAACAAAGTATAAAAAATCAAATCTAAAAAGATAAGAGGTAAAGTAGGCCCAAGAGATTTTTACCATGGACAGTATTAAATTTTGCATATCTGCAAGGGAATCAGAGAGAGGGAGAGAGAGAGAGGGAGAGGGAGAGGTGGCTTCCTTCTCTGGAAGTGAGCAAAATATCTAATTCTGTCTTTTCAGCAACTTTTTAGAAACCTTATCAATCTTATGTTCAGAAATCTATGCTGGACTGGCCTTATGTATAAACCCAATTTTAAAAGCCTCTTTAAAGCGAGGGGAAAGTGAGAAACTATTATCACTTAATAAGGACCTATATAAAAATACATTTGTCATTTTAACCTTACTTCCTTAGTCAAATTTTTTTTTAAAGGAATAGCAGTAGGGTTCCTTTAAAAAAAAAAAATACTGCAACTACAGCAAATTGAAAGCCCTCATTCTGCTGCGTTGTTTGTTTGCTGCCATCCACAGATTGCAGAACGCGAGGCGGGGGATCGCGGTCGAGCTGGGAGACGCCAGGGGAGGGCGCCATTTCCTGTCTAAAGCAGAGCGGCTGGACACAGACACCAGTTGGTCTGACCCATCAGTAGAGCAGGGCTCCCCCACTCCTCCTGTGTTGACGCTCTTAGTGGAGAGATTTAAATGTTTCTTTTATTTTTCCGTACTGATTTCCACCTTTATTTAGGTTTTTCCCTTCATCTATTGATATCATCACATGATTTTTCCCCTTTAATCTGTTGTCTGGTAAATGAAAATCTGATTTCCATAAGCAGCTGTGTGTCATTAGGATAAAATTCATTTGGTTATGATATAATATTTTTTATTATTAAATGTTTCTTTAAGTCAAAGCGTACTACACTGTCATACCTATGAATTAAGTGGAACATCCACACAGTAGGTTGTTAGTCTGAAGTCTTACCTACGCACAAAACTTCAGGAAGAGGAAAAAGGCATACAATGGGACAGAGAGGCCAAGGTACTGCTCGTCTCTGCTTAGCATAATAGACCCTATGGCTGACTGGGGGACATAAATTTTAGTTGCGTGATACAAACTGGTATGTGGCCTCAAAGTTCCTCTCCAGAGTAAATATTCTAAAAAATAATAATAATTTGTGCTTGTGTTTAGTGTCACAGGCCCATTCTCCCTGCCTCCGTGGATGAAAAGTCATAAATATTTAGATTTAATACATCTAGAACATCAACAAGTACTTCTTGAAATTATCCGCGAAGATGATAAATTTGCCAACAAATTTTGCAAATGGCTGTTAGAATGTTTAAACATCCTTAGATACAGAAATACTGAGAATACGACATTAAAGCTACTATAAAATCATAATCTCTCTGCAAATAAAGTAAAACACTTTAATTCAGTTCCACATGAAGGTTATTACCAAAGAGGATGACTATGTCACCCAAAAGGTACATAATAATGATTTTCACTTCAAACAATAATTTTCATGTAAAAATAATTGAGAAGGTGAGGGAAGGGGGGTGAAATCTGCTGATTACATAGCTATCCATTTGCGTGCGGATTCTTTCAAATTAGGGCTTGTGTAACTGTAACTAGGGAATTTATATACACTGGGTACCTTACGTTCAAATCTATAAACTCTTTTATAGTCAAAATAAACCTTATAACATTAGCATTTTATACAATCAATACCAGAAAACATTCAGTGCACATTAAAGTGACCTTGGTCAAAAGCCACTTTATTTGCTGTACCTTTAAACCCATCTGCACTCCTGTCCTCAGCTTGCGCTAGGTGGCACAGTCCCCAACACTCACCCAAACCTTAGTCTGATGGATCGTTGTTGTTTTTTTTTTGTAGTCTTGACAGTTACATCCCTTCCTGTCATAAAAAAATGCTGTTTATACATTAACGTTTTGGATGATTAAGTTGATTTTGAAACGTTTTCGAAGACTTTCAGAAGAGAGGTCCATGAGGAGACATAAACACACCAAGTCTGGCCATCCTGGATGATTACACATGGAAACAAAATGGATTTTTGTCCACGAACACTACTGGGAGGTATTTCTGCAATCTTGTCTGCAGATTCTATGCCTCTCAAGAAAAAGGAGAGGAAATGAAATTCAGAAGCACCCTTCACATCCAAGTATCTGGTTGATCCCACCAATTTCTAAGCTCACCCGGGAAGCCTCCTTAGGAAAGTTTCCTTTTAGAACGACAGAGCTGCACCGTGATGGCCAGCAAACTCGCATTTTAAAGAAGGGGCTTTAAAAGAGATTTCTCACTTTTCTCTGGATGAAAAAACTTTGGAGTTCAAAGTATCAGATTCTTTCCCAGGCCAGCTGCCAGGGTAGCTTCACAGTGGCTCCACACTTGTGGCTTTAGGTTTCTTTTAACCCTCTGTGGCCTGTCAAAGCTTTCCAGCCCAGCTGGTAGAACCTTCCACCATCTTGCTTCCCAGTCAGTGCAGAATGACCTGTTGGGACTCGAGCATCCCACTAGTGATAAATATCCTTGGTAAACAGTGTAAAAGTGGTTTCTGTTGAAACAAGTCATTCACTTCACAGATAAGGGCGGCTACCAAGCTTTGTTAAAGAACAAAACTTTAGGCCACAAAGGGTTACAGTATTGGCAAATTGGGAGCCACCAATGCATCATCGGCAGCCTGTGGTCTCATGTATTTTTGATGGGCTTGCTCAATCTCAGCAGGTTCTACTGCTGTGGGGCTCACAGGCCTCCAGAGTGAGACTAGCAGATGTGCTCTTGTACCGAAAATAACGGCTGCTCAGGCAGCCGCTGTAGCCCCAGAAGGCAAGTGGCCAGACCGGAGGGCTCGCGGGGGCAGCCATGGGCGAGTGCGGAGGGCCAGCCGGCAGGGCGGCAGCACCGCCACACTCCCGCCCCCGCAAGCTGCGGAGGCCACAAGCCTGCTGGGCATGTGATCTCCTGGTCAATTAATGACTCAATAAAACTACCACCAGATGATGCACAGTATAAAGGGATGTCACATGTTTTGGACAAATACCAATTATGAAGACACATTTACAGCACTGACTACTATATTTACAACATCATCTGCTTACACTCTGTAAAGACCCTCTGCTGGATAACAATGACATGACTGTGACTGATTGTTTTTAGGCATTTGGCAAAATACACTGTATGTAACAGCTGCTTTTTTTTATTTTAAAAATGTTTACATATGTACAATTGTCCTTGTATGCTGATAGAAACATGAAAAGTAAAAAAAAAAAATAAAATAAAAAATACATGTTTAAATTGAGCATATGGGATATTGGCCTCTCAAAGCTTTAAAGTCCTGCAGGAAAATCCTATATGCCTTAGCCCTGCATGCTAGTGTCTATCGTGGGATGTTGTTTCCTTAAATGCGGAAAACAATAAACAGAAGCTTCATGCACATAGCATTACTGTCTACAATGAGGATGTGCTTCAGAATGTCAAGTTCTGAATCCACTTATTGTCCCTTAGAAAACTTGCTACATTTGGGTCATGTGAGTTAATTTTAGTGATATTTCTACATATATCTGCCATGCGAATTACCATTAACATACCAATACCTTTACTGTTCCATATGATAGTGTAACAGTTCAGTAGCTCTTTTCAAGGTTCGATTACATCTTAAGCCAATGACAAAAAGAATATAGTATCCAGATGTGAGACTGGGCTTCTCCTCGCTTGTGGCATCTCTGAGGGTGTTTGTATCGTCTGAAGAGCAGATAGATTTGCAGTGATTCCATGAGGCTGGGTTTCTATAAAAGTTGAAGTAAACAGTTTCGATGTATCACATGTAAACAGTTGATCTTAAATGGATGTCTCCCATAGCTGCACAACAGAGAAAAGCAAATTGTACATTATGAAAGGAGGAAGCAGACATATTATGAGCTATGAAGGTGAAAAAGATTTGGTGATTACATCCATTCACGTGATTGTGGATGTGCACTCCAATGCCTAATTTAAGAAGTCTAATAAGTGGATAAAATAAACACTAGTTTTTAACTCTCTTACCTCTAAACCTATGTCTCAACCTTTTTAACAACTGTCATCTTTTAATACAAAAAAACCTTCACATCCTCATTTAATGTAACACAAAATTTTGAAAAAAATTAAAAACTGTGTCTCAAAAGAATAATTTAAAATGTTATTTTTTTTAAACTACACACTTCTTGCCCTGGCTGGTGTGGCTCAGTTGGTTGGGTGTCGTCCCTCACAGCCACCCAGTCAGGGCACAGGCCTGGGTTGCGGGCCAGGTCCTCGGTTGGGAGTGTGCAGGAGGCAACTGATGGATGTTCCTCTTACACATTTATGTCTCTCTCCCTTTCTTTCTCCCTCCCTTCCCCTTTCTCTAAAAATAAAAAAATAAATTCTTAAAATACAATAAGCTCTACCTTTCTTTCCCCAGGACTCTGATACAGCCAGTCAGAGCTGTGGTTCTCAAGCCACCTGCACATCTCAATGATTTGGGAACATTTTAAAAATCCCACTGCCCAGGCAATGCCCCAAATCAAAGTCTCTCCGAGCAGGATTCGAGCATCAGTGTATTTTAAAAGCCCTTCAAACAATCTGCTGTACAGCCAATGCTGAGAAGTACCGACCTCAGAGAAGTATGATTCTATCAATACCACCACCACCCGCTTAAAAATCATTACCCTGAGCCTGTGACCAGGTTATACACCCTCTAATTCCATCACTACCTCCTAGGAAACTGTCCTCCCATGGGAGCTGACATATCAGAGTACACTGAGGCATCCAGGGCAGGATGTCAATTCCTTCCCTCTCTTTGCATCTGCCACCAGTTCTTTATGTTGGTCCTGTTCATATCTAATTTCTGTGATGCTCAGTAATTGCCTTAATGGGCTGGAAACAGCTTCGGCATGATTAAATATGAATGCAACTGAGTTCACCAGAGAAGCCAGGCTGATTCAAAAAAATAGAGCAAGCTGATAAAATGTTTCCAGACAATATGATTTGGGTATAATTATTATAAACATGAGCAAGGAAAGCCTAAGTGTGACTTAAGTTGCAGCCAATTTCCATTTCTACTGGAAATCTGTCTGAGACACATCATTATGTAACTAATGAGTTTCTGGGAAAGAAAAGGAAGAAATCGGTGAAGGACTAAGTGGCTATTTCTGTATAGGTTCCCTTAATATGCTCTTTTGCATCTCCAAGGAAATCTCAGTCTGATGCCCATGTTGGCTACCCCACAGGACCGTGGTCTAGCCGCCCATGTTATCTACCGCCAGTCATTAAAAAGACACCCATCTCCTGCTTTGGAAACCAAGTCTCTCAGCAGTGAGAATCACGTGTGTCGGGCTAATACCTGTTGGTGGGGACAAGAGAATATGAATGACTCTCAAGGGTCTGAGGGAAGGAAGCTCTGGACCGATGTTCACACAGTGGCGAGGAGTAGTAAAGAGTGCAGACTTCGGAGAGCCCAGTTTCCTCACAAATGGTTATAGAGGTTAAAAAAATGAATGACAGCTTACAGAAACAAGAGAGGCACAAAGTAATGGCACTGGGAAAATCTGAAGGTCACCATTATCCCAGTGAGGAAACAAGCTAAGAGCTGCCAAGCTATCGCTTTTAAAATGATGCATGACCTTGGCCATGGCTGGAGAGCTGTAACAAAGGGGTTGCTGCTAGAAAGATCTGCTGGTTTGGTTCTCCACAGCCCGCACAGACAGCCTAGAGACAGGGGCTGCCTATTCTGCCGCATGCTCATGTGGATGGTCCACAGTGGACGGAACCAACCAGGCCTTTCACACAATTGCTCCACTCAGCCCTGGGATGGGGCCAAGTCAGCCATTTCTTCTGGGGACCTGTCATTTTCATTAATAACCTAGACCCTGGCATGACAACAGCTGAGAAACTGTCCCCAAGTAGAAAGCAAAAGCAGCAATGTAGACAATTTATCAGGGTAAAGAGTGGAGTGTTATACTTTGGCAATTCCCTGGGGAGGGAAGGAATGCGATCACTTTAGATTTCATTACCACAGAAGTATATCAGGAAAACTGAATGCCTATTAACAAGTCTTTTTAATGCTGGGAATCTGAGTTATCGTCTTCCTTTCCATTGTTTACCATTTCTCATATTAACATATGAAGATAATTTTTGTAATGATTAACAAAGCACTATTGATTGTCAAGTCTCTTTGATTAAGCGATATAATCAGCTCTTAATGTGTTTTCTTACTGACTCTGAGTTGAGGGCGTTAAAATTCGAATGATCCATGTTTACCTTGAACCCTGTCATTTAAGCTCAGGATCAAAGAGGCTTTGAAATATCTTTCAAAACCAAAAGGCCTAGGGACCTAGGACCCACTAGCAGATAAAGCTGCCCAAAGTCCTAAAGATTTGTTTTATTTTACTTTTTTTGGTAAACATTATTTCTGAGACGATCAACATTATAACATAACTGATCATAACAGAGTCTGGACATCAATTATAGTAATTATTCTTCAATTACATGTTTCACGTAAGCCTCTGAGGGTTGGTCTGCCCCTCTAAACTCCACTGTATATCACAGTTCACATAATGGATCTGTTCTGGGAGGATAAGACCGATTAGAATCATGATTAAGAAGTAAAAGAGGACTTAGTATTTAAATTAAATTTCCGGTGAATCACATATTTATAAAAATAATTAACTCAATATATATTTTTAAACCTAGCTTTTTAAAAAATATAAACGGTTAAATTTCACCATACCTTTTAGCATACTCTAAATATTACAAATTCTGAAGCCCTCTTTCCTTGTTGCCAAATTCCACCCCCATCTGCAAGACATTGATCTGATCTTCTGTCACGGGTTCCTACTTCTAAAATCCTATTGGTCGTTATTAGCCAGTGAAAGGCCTGAGCACACAAACGGGGCATGGCCATGAGGTTAATTTAATCTCTGCCATTTCCACGTATATTAAAAAACTGAAAAAGCAAAACACATTCTGTTTTATCTGTTCCAGGTTGTAATATACTAGTTACACTGAATAATAAAAGATATAAATATATAGCAATAAATCATTAATATATACCAAATATTCTTAAAATTTATCAGTGCAGTGATACACTACTTTGCAAATATAAATCTAGCCTCAAATTTCCAAGAATTCTATATTTCTCAAACAATTTTGTTCTTTTTCTTATGTACAAAGAAGAAAAACAGCTCTTTTTAAAAAAAATATGAGCTCAAAGATAAATGATAATGACCGAGGACATTAGCATATGGAAGGAGTTTTCACGTACCCTGGCACTTTGTCGATTCACTTTCTTCTCCTCATCAGGAAGTGGAGGCATTGGGTAGGGGTATTTTCTGCTGGAGGCAATAGACCCAGTTGATGAAGAAGGAGACTTGGCAGGAGATAAAGTCCTGAGATGTTGAGAACATATGAAATAAATATTATGGGGTGGCATAATATCTTTTTCAAATAGCTGAAAAGTGGGTTCAGAATAAACCCTCTAATTTCTACTTTCATAGATCACTAGTGCAAAGGGTTAGCTACTGGGAGATAATTTGTCATTCACAACACTGGAATGCTGGAATTTTATCTTCCTAATTTCATAACTGCAATGGATTTTTTAAATGTTAGTACACAGAATCAACTTTCAACTAGAAAGCCAAGAATGAAGTTTCTTATAGAATAAAAAGCTAAATTGGAGAAGGGGTAAAATTATTCTAAGAGCTCATAATGGTAAATTAAGACATCTCATTATCCTGTCTTATTTTTACCACTTACTGTAAAAAATATTTTAGCACAGTTGTTCCAATTATATTTTTAAGGTCCAAAAATACAATACAATTGCTACAATTATTAGTTTGCTAAGTTCCACATCAGTTTACACAAAACTCATGCATTCAGAGGCCAGTGTGTTAGTTGTGAAAGAACAAAGGCAAATACAGAGATTTTAATAATAAATTAGTAAACATGCAAGCAGTAAGGAGTGCAGAGTTCCAGCCAAACAAAGAGTCTGATGAGAACATACAAAAATGGTCTGATTAGTCCCTCCAATAAGTGTGTCTGTACGGGGAGGATTCTAGGCCATAGCAGTGAATCTTGATAACTCATATAGGGTACCTGGTATGTCAATAAGGTGGCTACACTTTGATTGGAATCTTACCAAGACAAACACACTATGAATAGACCCCTTCCTACTTGGATAACATGTTCTCTTCTTCCTGGAGACATTCTATAGGAAAGAGTTGCATAAGCTCTTGATGTATTATGCTGTTCTTGTTGGATTCTGCATGTGCAGTGGTAATATTTGTGACTAAACTGAGCACACTGGAAGAGCCCATATTTGCCATCTTGTCTTTAAAGTTAAAAAAAAACCAAAACAACAGCTGAGAGTGAAAAGTGTCAACTCACACCATACAATGGAAAATAGATGTGATGACTCAGCAGTAGCTTTCCATTCACAAATGTCACCACTACACATCCATGCCCCCTCAATTCCTGGTGCAAGGTGGTAATGACCCACACCACTGATCTGGTTACCCTGCCACAGTGGAGCGTAAGTATCTAATTTGGTAGGATGCACCTCATCTGCATCCTGCGAGCAGCTGACTCAGCCAGGGAGCACTGGCGGCGGGCAATACTGGGCAGGGGAAGACCTGCTGCCTACACTGCATGCAACAGTATAAAGGTGTATTCTTTTCTCCCTCGTCTTAAATATTAGTCCAGATCCATACATTATCCTTTGCTCTGGTTCTGCCATAGTTTTCTAATCAGTTTCTATTTTATGGACACTGAATACAAGCTAATGTTTTAAAATAATTTTTCCTTCAAACCATGAGATGGAAGTGAACATTCTCACTCAATTTTAAGAATCAAGAGTGATTCAGTCTACTTTTAATCTATTAATTCCTAATGTTCCCTCTATTTTTGGATAATGTCCAGGACCACTCTTTAGTGTGAACGATTAGAATATTTTGGCTGTTCGACTTCTCTTGTGTGAACGCTCTCTACTGTGGAGCAGATGGGTAGGATGAAGAATATTAGTATTTCAAATTCTCTAAAGTACTATTAAAGCAATGGATTGCTGCACACTTTTCTAATTCAGAAATTAATGATTTTTAAAACATGACTATGATCTTTAGAAAACAAATTCAGCATGTGTAGGATGAGGACAAACGTTTTTATTTAGATATTTAAGTGCACTTTCTAAAAAAAGGGACATTAACCTTGGTTTGGATTTTTAGCCTGATCACTACTCATAAGATATCCAAGTTCAAGAAAGCCAGTCAGGTACACCTACAAATTACTAAATTACTTTAGGGCATCGGTTACTTTAGGGCATCATGCCAGACAAGTATAATTTGTTGTAGTGTGTGTGTCCACAGCATGAGCCGTTAGCTTATAGCTTCAACGTCGTACCAGCCATTCATGTGGCCGTGGGTCTCAATGACCAGCTTTGTACACATACACGGCCATCCCCATGAGGACTGCTGAGAGTCTAGTCTTCCTCTCAAATCTTTCCATGGCCAAAGCCAATTGTGACTTAAAACAGAAGAGGAGGTATTCTCCAGAACCCCAAAGAAATTACACTTCTACTGCTTCTCACATAAACACACTAGGTAACCGACACTTGGACCCTGAGGGGCAGAGGAGCCAAGCAGGACAGTTTTAGCTGGGGGAGGGACGGGGGGCTCTGGAGTTGGGGGGAGTGGCGGAGTGTGAGAGCATACAGGGGGGCGTGGAGGATGAGAGCATCAGAGCCGGAATCAGAATACGAGTAGAGAACAAGGCAGGGTCGATCAGTTTACAGAAAACAAAAACTCAACATTTCTCACAAATGTTCAAGATATTTCTTTAAAACCACATCTAGGCTGTTTCCTGATCCTGGCTCCTTGCCTGGTGGTTCCAATTGCTTTCACTGAAACCCAGGCACCAGCCCAGCTCATTCACATACAACGTAACCTTTGGACAAATGCTAACTATGATCATCACTGCGTTTTTGAAAACCATCACAACCATGGTGGGTGCCATTTTGAATTACACAGTGCAAGTACGTCCGTGTGCCAACGGATTGCGCTGTGTCTCGGGCTACATCCGTCCTCCTGGCCTCACCTTTAGTAGGTGTGCCTGTCGGGCCAGTCTCGGTTCACCTCTGTCACCCCAGAACAGGCTAATACCAGGCCAGTCCAACACAAGGGACACAGGGACACCTCTTGGCTGTGTTCATACGCAGATTTCATAGTAGCCTAATCCTGAAGGATTTATAAAATGTCCAAGGATAGAATGTAAATAGTCACTATCCACCCTGCTATTTTAAGTCACTACAGTGACATGGAAAGGGAGCAGATTTTAGAGTCATTTGGAGCCAGGCTCATACTTCTGGTTCTGACACTCACTGGCTGGACTGCCTGGAGCTCCTCTGTGTGCCTCAGTTTCCTCCATCTGTAGAAAGGGAGTAGGAATGCCTACATCTCATGATGTGGTGAGAAATAAAGGTACATAATATGCACTCAATACATGACAGGTATTAACAGTTTCTTTTCAGAGTTACAGCATTTTCCATAAGGTCATGGAAGCGGACTCAAAATCCACGGATAGAGTAGTCAATTGGATACTACCCAAGAGTATGGATGCCTGCTAGAACTTGTGAAGCACTGTCGCCAAGGGAACTACCTCCAGGACTAGTTGTAGGGAGGTCATCCTCTTGCCCTGACCTCACCTGCTCTTCCCTAATGTCTTGAATATACACCCACAACAATTCGAGCACCCACCATCATATGAGCACTGGGGAAGAGAGCACAGCTGAGGTGCTCTGGTCCCTCAAAGTCTTTTGGCACTTACTTTTCTCTTCATGGTGATGTGGATATTATATTTTAAAATGCTGGGCTGCATTTTGGACCAGTTTCCTGCCTTCACAAAGTCCCCGTGTGGGTCATTAATAGAGTGGCCTTTGCCCTCATTGAAGGTTCTGGCGGGGGGTGGGGGGAAGGGCGGGCAATGCTGAGTGGCCTGGTGGCAGATGCGGCAGACCCGCACTTATGCAGAGGGCTGGCAAAGAGAACAGCCAAGCTGTGGATGCACTCAGGGCCTCCCATATGAGTCCTGGCCAGGATGGAGAGCGAATGGAATTCTTCCTGCTGCATTAGAATCCTTGCATTACAAGGCCTGTAAGAGCTCAATTATTCACCACTTCCACAGAGATTCTCTGTTGATTTTCAAGTCTGACCAGTATAACTTAACAGCCCCTAAAATGACAGATAACTTACTACCTTCCACTGAATTATGTTTAGCCTTTAAACACAAATATGGATCTTTAATAACTAATTCTTAATGGGACTATCCACTGAAGAAGCCCACATCTCATAAAAAGAGAGGAGATCAAAGGACCCTCTAAAATTGCCCTTGCAGCTTTGCACGTGCAACCGGGGGTGCTAAAGCATTTCCCCATCCAAACTGCGTGTAGTCATGCGGCTTCTGGGCAGACCTGGGTGCTGGTTTGAAAAAATGTGAACTCTTCTCAGGGAGCCACATAAACCACTCAGCTCACCCAGGGGAGGTGAATCAACTCTTCCGGGGTACCATTTCATTAATTGTTGCTACAAAATTGCTAAATCCATTTAGGTATAAAAGCTCTGGTCCATATAGGACCAAGGTCATTCTGTTTTAGTTCCATGATTGATACAAATTACAATCTGCCCACAAGCCTGAGGAAGACAGAAAAGGGAAATGGGACTGCAGGTGAGCCAAGGTTCCAAATAACGTTCAAAACCATCTTACCTGTCTTCCTGACGTTGGCCATCTTGGGAGCTACAGGTGAGGGTGGGATGTTTGAATGTGAGTGTATGTGTATGAGGTTCAGTGGAAAAGTGGTATAAGCAGAGGGTTAGGGCAGGAGGCAAAGGTGGGGTACAGAAGCAGGAGATATTTTTGTGAGCAGGCAGGGGGTTATGCTTTCCTTGGGGCGTATGCGAATGTATGGGTCCAATTAAAATGCAGGTAGGTCTAATCATTTTCTCAAACTATACACATCTAAACTAAATGGTACACAGGAAGAGAAAGTCCACCTTATATGGGTGTTGAGAGTTTTAAGCACACATATATATGTTTTTAAATCTGTTAAATGCTAACCCAAGTCATGGCAATAAATAATCTGAAAGTTTATTGTTATGTTCAGAAGAGGTAGCAGGTCAGTCTACATTTCTTCTTTACATTAATTGTCACAAAGTAGTAAGGTATAAAGCAGACGTTTATCTCTAGGAAATCGCTCTGACATTTAAAGGGTGAAAAAATGCCATTAAGAGCTCTTGGAAATTCTCTTTGACTTCTAATGTTACACAGAGCTGCAGCGAATTGAGGAAGTATGCTAGTTTCTTAAATGTACAGATTCTCTATCTGCTTGTTTGTGAATCAGAACATGCTTCAGATCTGCTTCCTGTTCTATTTGAAGTGTTAGACATGACATTTTTATTGGAATAAAAAATTCCTTAGCTTTGCTGAGAATCTGCAAAAAAAATGTCAGCACAGCCCTTCTCTGGGAGCAAATGGTTGCACTGAACAAATAAAACCTAGACTCAGTTCATACACTCTCAGGTGGCCAATATTCTCTCAATAATTTTCAAGTTACAGCAAATCACTACTTTTAGTCAAAGTAAAATTCTACTAATTGCATTTAGTGTCCATGTTTTCCCTTGACTTTTCATATGCACTGTGTACTCTTAAGGCAGTAAGTAGAAAAAATGCACTATGGAATAACTAAATTCTAGAAAATAAATTGCTCAGGTTAATAGTGCTTCTTTATTAGTGGAAAGGATGTTTCATGCCCATAGAACACTACATAGCATAAAATGAAGAGAAAGCTACTAAAAAGCTCAAGATGGTAGTAAGGACATGCACTAAATAGCAACCCTTTCAAATGGCTTCATTTGAAACATTCAGAAAAGAACTAGACTTTATTATGAAACCAAAAACAGAGATCAAAAGGCAGCAAAGAAACAAGGACCCTTTCCACCTCTGGGAACTTGTATTGGGAGATACAAGATAGAGAGCCAATCACACTACAATATTTGTATGTGCTGGGAGAGTTTGAAAAGGATATAAAATTAATTTATAAAATACCTAAAGTATGGTCCTTCAGTGTTTTTATTCACATCTTCTACCCACTTAGCTACATTATAGTCTCTTTTGAACCATGGGTTTAAATACCTGCAGAAAGCAATGGAAGGAACAAAGAAAGCAGAACAAGATAGAAAATCTGAAAATACACAGCACAAGCTTAGCAAGGATGTTCTTCACCCTCCAAATGCAAGTGACTATGGCAAATAAACCAGGATGGATGCTGGGTGATTATGAGGCAGTCTGTACAACCAGGTGAGAATAAACGCAGCTACAACAAGGCTCAAGGCATCCTAGAACGTATATTCCACATTTCAGGCAAGCCTTCCCAGCGACTTCCCAAGGTGGCAGAGAAGCTCCCTTTCAATCAGTACTGTCAGCAATCCCAGCACCCACCTCCAAAGTGGCATTTTCCAGGCCACCTCCCACTGGGCTCCTTGATTTTCAAATGGCAATGGTGCTTTTTGAGAACATTGAGCGGGCTGCAGTTCCAACCTGGTGTTTGGGTCTATAACCCCAAGAACAATTAAAAGGTGCAAAGTTCTCTTTCCAATATGAAAGGAAAGACTTTACATGGCCTTCGTCTTTCTCCTGATAGCAGATCCCAAGCTGGAATTAACAAGAAAGGTGCTCCAACTGGCTCCATGAGGAGCAGAAAAGGCCCCACCCTTCTGATCCTGAAGCTCCAACACACATGAAGTGTGGTCCACACAGGCCTCCGTGACCTTGAAGCTGGGTTTAGTCATTGAGGTGCAGCCACACCTCAGTTCCTTCCCGTCTTCGTGCACTCCACACTACAGGGGTCCTGTTTCCATCACGAAGCGGCCCTCAGAAGGTGCCTTCTGAGTATCTGCATACCACGTGAGCGATTGCCAGCCAGTAATAATAATGACCTTAGTTAGCATCTCCCTGATGGATCTGGCAAAGTCTCCATCAGAATTACTGCACAAAGAAAAATCTTAAAGGTATTAAAACTGGGAGTGCAAGGTTTTGGTTTTTGTGTTCAGAATTTCCTTTTATTTGTACCCTGGGATCCACGCAAAAGTACATCCCCTTAGAATTTGCTCTTTTAAAACAAATTCAGTCTTGGAAGAATGGGGAGGTTTTACTGAGTTTTCTCATTTAAAAATCAACTTCTAGAAACACTATAGGCAATGAAGATCCAAGCTCTATAAAGCTTTTCAAGTTATTTAGAAACAAACCAGGAAAAATTATAAAATATGCTATTTGTGGTTAAAGTTTGCTTCTTTCCTCCACATTTAGTTTTAGTTTGTAAATATATTTAAGTCAGAACTATATTTCCACAGTTACATAAACAAATTAGATTATATTTTCCGTGGTCCTTTTCCTCGTTTTTGACTAGAACCAACATATGTCACAAAATAAACTCACGAAGTTCCCTCCCAAGAGAAGGGCTGGGGTACTTTATATGCTTATAAGACCATTTTTGCTGAGATAGTGTCCCCTGACTTAAGAGCAACTCACAGTAGTTTTGCCTTTAGCCATAATCATTGCCAACTTGTGCTTTTCACAGAGATAGCCAATTAAAACTTGCAAAAATATTTCCATTGAGACTCCAAACAAAAAGAAAAAGTTGAAAAGCAAGTGCAGCCACAGATGAAGACTAGTGAATGCTCTGGCCTGGGGAAAACCATAGAAAAAGCCCATGCAGCTGTTGTTACTGGTGAAACATAGCTACACAGCAAACTGAATCACCCACAGGTGGCTGGCCACATCCATGAGGAGACATGTGTTCCTTTCACTGACAATCTTAGCAGCTCAAAGGACAGGTACCATGGCTGTTCCATGAAACCTACAGCCACGTGGCTTGACTTGCACATGATAGACCTTTTCCTCCCTCTCCTGGGGCATCTCAAAAGGCTGTGATCCCTTCACTAGAGGTCACTGAGGAGAGCTCTCAATTGTTGTTGTTCCTTCTGGGGGTCTGCCATGAAAGCGTCTTTACACTGGGCGTCCTAACATCTCCAGTCGTGGTGGCTGGAGTGATGGGCTTTTATCCAACTGCTATAAACCTGCCTACGTGGCTTGACTTGGCTTGTAGCGCAACATGCAAAAAAAAAATAAAAAATGCATTAGACAGGATAGGAGAGCTCTTCGTGTTCTCCAGGATGGAAAGGCAGAGGAAAATTAGCCGGTGCTGGCTGGACCAGGACCCCTTCTGAGCAGACGTTGGGGGTCAGAGATCAAATGGCCCTGCTCTCAGCCAAGGAAGGGACTTGGAGGGAAATTCAGTGGCAGCCCAGAATGAAGGGGCAGGTGGAGACTGACCTGTGATCCAGACCCCCTGCCTGGGGGCTGTCAGAGCCCCCTGGGCTTATGCCTTGGGATGGGACTGTCTGGGCGAGGGAGTGCCCAGGCTCAGGTGCTTGGGGCTCCCTCCTGTAAAAACACAATATATAATACAAAGTCTAAGCCAAAAACTTTTTTTTTTTACATCATGTACAACAGTGAGGAAGATGCAAAAGCGTTCAGTGGAAAAACAATACATCAAACAAAGATATTTTATGTTGTTAATTAGCAGAGTATGCATTTTTGGTGCATGTTTTAATTCGTGTCCCAGTGTTTCATCCTCCTTTGGGATGATGCTAAAAGGAATGTTGAAATAATAGACCTGATAATACCTCTTTGTCTAAAAAATAAAAAAAGATGGGTTTGTCCATGGTCGTTCTGCTCCTCGTACAGTCACATAAACGATGTTGTTACATCAGCGAATGAGATTATCTAACAAATATGGAAAGTATAAAAAAAAATCCTGTCAACATCATTCTTCGATATGATTTGTATTAGTATCCTTTTAAGAAAAAAAATATGCAGTGCCTGTACAATAAGCTATGTGGAAATGTGTGATCAGTGGTCAGCTTCATAGACTTGGCTCCACTTAGGTAGCATGAGAAATGTAACCCAAATCTGGAAAGTCCAAAAATCTGAGGGAGTCCTTAATATATCCTTTTCATAAAGGGAATTCCATAAGGATATCTTATTAAATATTATTACTGAATCATCTCACAGGCAAGATTTCTCAAGGGCTATTTAGTAGCACAATATTTATCATATAAGTGGGAATTTTACAGAAATTTTTTTTAAATTAGTGATTATTCTAAAAAAATACTATTATGAATCTTGTTAAATACCAAGTATTCTTTGGGTCCTAAACTCATACCTTTAATGTAACATTGGATCTTTTTTTTTTCTTCACTTGGGAGTTTTTAAAGCTTCGTCACAGGAAATACTGTTAAGGATAGTAAATGGTATGTGGTGGACATTCTGAAGAACATTTTGCAGTTTTATCTGTACTCTTGTGAGCAACTGAGACAAGCTAAGGAGCTCTTACCAGGTGACCTCATGCAAAACAAATCAAACAACATTCCAAGGAGAGTTTATCCACAATGAGTCCTAAAGCACCCAAGCACTTTGTGGTGTATAAGATAAACTCGAACAGATTAGTTATTTATGATGGAGTTCTATGATGCCATTCTGGACCATGCAATGGTATCACTTGAACCTATCTATTGTTTCTATGATAAAATATCCTCTAGTAAACTGTGACAAGCCACTTACAAGACAATACCATCAGCAGGAAGGTCCAAATTTCAGGGAAATGCTATTGTCCTGGACTGAAAAAGGTAGGGTATATGATGGGAAAGCTAACATAAGTTTCTGACAAGCAGTTAACAAATACCTGCTATTGAGATTTTTAAAAAGTATTTAGGCATAAAGAAGCAATTGAGATCCTGGGAATAATAACTAGCACTGCAGTCAGACACTGGTAAAAAAAATTTTTAGATGGGTCAAAAAATTATGGTTAATTAACACCCGGTGGCAAGGTCCAGACAGATGGCAAGGATGTGCTTTAGTCCATAATGGGAGCAGAGGGTTTGGTGAAGCTGGGTTTTGCTTGTACTTTATTAATCAGAGGAACTAACAAAAAATGTGCATGGTGTTTACCTCAGTATAAATGACTTAAGTGTCACTTCGGACCCAATCCCCAGTTCAAAAAAAAAAAAAAAAAAAAAAAAGGGTGGCTATCAGTCAAAATGGATAGCATTGCATTTAGTGACAATGATTCCGTTAAAGAGCAAGTTTAGGTAAATGCCCTTTTAAATGTTCTCAGAAGGAAAATTTAAAAGGGGAACCATTCCATTAGTCTGAGAGAATGCTTAGATCGCAGCCAGGAGGCTCAGAGCAGTGGTTTCACACTGTGAGCAGCATCATGTTCTAGGACCGTGGGGACTTCCCCTGATGCTTCCAGGCTGTGTGAGTACTGGGGAGCGGAAGGGTGAGCCCTCTGAAATGGCTGGCCCCCGGGGTGATGAGAAGAAAGGAATGTTATCAAAATTCCCTTCAAACGGAACCAAGACACCACAATGGCAGGTTACTGGAGGAAAAGCCTGCACCAGGGCGAGACCCCCGGCTATCAGTGAGTATTGGTTTGGGCACAGTTGCGGAGATGCCTATGTAAAAGAGAAAAGCCATGGTTAATTTTAAAACAGCAAAAAAAGAATAAAAAAAGACAAAACCAAGACCAGAGGCATGGTTTACAGTTCTTTGATGATCTGGTTAATTAACTCTTCACACTAACTGCACAGGACCCTGGAATGCCTTTTTCCATTAGAGATTCAGACTTACTCAGTTGAATTAGACCGAGGTCTAAATCTTTTGCCTCTGATTTTCTTTCTGTTGCCTCCTAGGTTACCTGAAGAAAAAAAAAAAGATGGTTTATAGCTGGATTTGAATATAAATTTAAAAATTACCCTATGTTTAATCACATGGTATTTCCAGTCGGTTTAATTCACAAGCAGCATCATGACGCAGAGCACAGCCTTCTCAATGCATCTGGCGCACAGGCGCTACCAAATCCCATCATTTCCCATCCAAGAAAAAAGAACTGAACTCACAATAAATGCCCTCTTGTCTATTGGGAGAGACACTAAAGAGCTTCCAGAAAAGAACAAGTCTTTACAATCAGGGACCACAGAATACGGAACCTGGATCATGAGGAGAGATGGGTTCAGAATGCCACCCTGTACCTTGCCAAGAATTACTTCGAGGTCGCCCATTTTCACAGATGTCTGAAATATGTTTTGTGTCTGGAATCCTTTCACTCCAAGAATGAGAGAGTCCATTTGACCTGAAATTGAAAATGTGTATATACTGTTCAAAAATATAATCAAATGGATGTTTAGAAATCAGTAAGCAAAATTTCTAAACATTGCTGTGTGTTAAATAAATTAAATCAAGAAAGAAAAATCGGAAATGAAAGAATGAACAGAACATGAAAGTCTTCATGAAGAAGGCAGAATTACACAACATTCAATTTAAGAAAAGTCAAATACAATGGAACCCCATTATTACAGTTTCTAATTGAAAAGTATCATGATACAACACAAGCCAGTTACATTCCGCAGAATACAACTACATATAGCGAATTCACTACATGTTTCAGTCATGAAACCCAAACAGCAGATGTATAATGGGGTCCCACCATAGATGTTTCTTAATTGTAAAGCAATGGTTTCCATTCAAATATTATGACAACATGGACTTCTAAGAGATTTCATTAAGATTTGCTCTACTTAAACTGGCTAACCTTTATCAGAGTAGTATTTAGGTTTTCTTAAACAATAAAATTTTCTGAGACTTAGCATTTTCTCCACAAATAGGGCTTCCCAAAATGTAGTACTGTTAGTTAATTCTCTAATAACTGAACTGAATCGGAAGTTGTCATGGAAGCATCTCTCACAAAAGCCCATGCACCACTGAGCCCTTCTGCTGTTTGTGTCCTGCCATCTTGAAAGAAATTGTCTACAAGGAGCAAAATTTCCACACCTACCTTGTATCACATAATAAAAGTGTTTTAACAAATTGCATATGCTTAGGAAAAGTCACATAATTTGAGACAATTTTTAACGGTTTAAAAGTCATAACCCATTGAGATTTTGCTAAAACTTGGAAATTATTCAAATCAACATTTTAAACTCTTCTTGAGTAACTTTAGAAAATAGCACTGTACTTAAAATCTTTTCCATATATCATTCCAGTTAATGTTAATAATGTCTATTTTAAAAGAAACCTACTAATGAATGAAAATAAATGGAACTCGGAACAATTATTATATATTAATTCCCTGGATTAGAACTTTTTCAAGATCATTTGCTAATTAAGAATGATGACTATTTTATACAGAAGGACAACAGAAATTCTGATGAAATCCATTGATTTCTCCACTTATTTACCATATTATTTACTTTAAAATTAAATATTTGACCGCAAAAAAATTTATACGCTGAGAGAATTTAAGTAAATCTTATTCTCTTAGCCAAAAGGCCTCCAATAAATTTTTAAAAATAACTTTTTGAACATCCTTCCATAAAATTGTACTCCTTGTGCAAAAACTAGTATTTTTACTTTCGCTTTAATCTATGTTATTTGAGTAAAAACACCTCTTCATGCCTAAGACAGTTCCACATAGGGTTCTCAGGTCTCACTAATTTCTTCTATTCTCTTTCCTGATTGTTTATAAAGAGTGAAACCCACTGCAGAATTTTTACAGATGATTCATTCTCTGTGGAACTCCAGAAGAGATGATCTTTCTTTTCAATAAACTAGCAATTTCCCTTTCTGCAATCTACAAAGTAACTTCTATGGCCAAAGTAACACAAGGGGCTCTCAATCTTTTTTCCTACATATATACACCCCTACCAACAATTTTAAAGAAACTCTCCACAGGAAAGTTACAGCATCCTTCAATGAATGTCTCATTTCCTAAAACATTCCAACTAGTTATTTCTTCTATCAGCTTATTTTATTAAGCAATCATAAAGCATGCAGAATTTTAAATGGTGCGATCCACCTTAAGATCCCGGAGCAAGAATATAGCATCAAAGTTTAAGATGTATAAATAATATCTTAACCCCACCCACAATATTGTAAGACTCTCAAACATTAAATATACTTAAATTAATTTGGCGACCAAGCTCTAAGTCATAAACTCTAGAAGTAATCATTCCAGGCATAAAAGGCAAAATCATAATATTCAAATATATGGTTCACAGAGAAGCAATCTTTTTTTCACAGCAAGCTTAGCTTTTAATATATTTAAAATTTAAAAAAATATTCAACGCAGCATTCATATTACCAATTTATTTTAACAACTACTTTTATTGAAGCATGGCAGTAACCTTTTTCTTTGACTACCAAACATGACATAACGCTCACCATTTAAAATATAGTGAAATGCTAGGTATAGTTTCTTAAGCCATATAAGAGCAAGACTGAAAAACCCTAGGGTTTCCATATAGATTTAATGTTACTTGTTCAGTTTTGTTTTGTTTGGATTTCTGGTCTGATTTGTTACACAAGCGGTTCCGAGCATATGGCATTTTGAATCAGAGTAATCAAAGAACAAAGGATACTATTTTCAACATTCAAGAAAGAAGGAAGAAGTAATCAAACCTGCTGCAAAATAATGAAATGTTCTGACTAATGGAATAATGTGTGATGGAACAGGTAGAAATCTGAAAATGCGACAGAAAAGCAGACCTCTTCTTAGAACTAGATGCTGAGTTTGTGCTGACTCCAGGAGGAATGTCGCTATAAAAAGAGTCGCCATCTCCAGGCTTTTTTACATAATCTCCCTGGGGCAACTGTCTAAGGCATAATAAACATTTCAGAGTCAGAAAACAGGACACACACATGAACACAGACATATACAAATATTATTTTAGGAAAAAAGAGGTAGGGATAATGATCTACATGAATCAAATCTATAACAACACATACGATTATTAATAATTGTGACAAGTTAAAGCCATTCTAGAGATCAGAACTGCAATCGCTGTGGTCTCTACCGCCTGAATGGATAAAGCTTTGCTTCCGAAGAAAATATGAAAAGATGAAGGTTTTCGTTGTAATTTCATCATACTTAGAGATGTTAACGGCAGCTTTGTCTTTAAAAAAAAGAAGAAGAAGAAGAAGAAGAGAAGAAGGAGAAAAGAAAAAGAAAAATGGTGCCGAGGGAGCCGTGGTGGGACAGATAGTCCTTGTCCAGATAAGACAGTTTTTTCCATCATGGTGAATAAACTATTCATGATTCTAAACATTATATAATTCAACTTTGGTCTTTTAAAAAGCTGATGAATCTCTAACCTATGTTCTATAATTTAATGCAAATAAATTATTTTTTTATTTTTTATTTTTAGATTTTATTTATTTATTTATCTTTAGAAAGAGGGGAGAGGAGGGAGAAAGAGAGTGAGGGAAACACTCATGTGTGGTTACCAGGCCTGCAACCCAGGCACGTGCCCTGACTGGGAATTGGGAATTGAACGAGCGACCCTTTGGTTCGCAGGCCAGTACTCAATCCATTGAGCCACACCAGCCAGGGCTAATGCAAATAAATTCTCATTAGAATTCTCTGTTCAGTTTGGAACTTCACTGTTTATAACAGAAACATGAATAAATTGAAAAAGATTCAAAGGTGAGTCAAAAAAATAATTCTAAAACTGTACCGTAGAATATGTAAAGGAAAATCAGTTAGCAAGAGGAAGAGTAGAAAATATAACTGAATTATTTGATGAGGCTCTAGAAGATCATTTATAGGTAGTTGGTGGGTGACCACAGTTCTCTATCTCCACTGTAGGGGTTCAACAAGGGAAAATCTTCACTGTTACTGACTTTCCTTGCTCTGGTACTGATTTAACAAAGACTGGAACAGATTCTGATTACTTCCTCTCAAGGAATAGGGTTGATTCAGCCCTCCTTCCTCAGTTGATGATCTGACCATGGCTAATCATGGCCCCCAAGCAGCCAACTGAATCAGAAACTTGATTCAGTTCCATTCAGTGCTATTGTTGGCGGTATCACCAATTAGTGTACCGAATTTTAAACAGTTGTACCGAAATAGGTCTCCAAGAAAGGTACACATTTGCTCATTCCTTTTCTTATTTGTTTTTTTCTTTAGTTCTTATGCTAGTCATGGTTACCTGTGATACTAAATTCTATCCAAAATATGTGACTTTCAGATGTTTTAAATGTATAAAACACTTGGTCATTCACTATTCTGAATTATTGAATATCCTATCTCATTATTTCAATCCTATAAATGTATTCACACATCTTTACAAATGTAAAGATTTTCCAACTGATATAAAGCATATTTATTAATTTGTATATTTAAATCTACCCTTCCGCTTTAAAGAAAGAATTTCTCATTAAATTTGTCAAGCTAATTTTATTTATCATTTTTTGATACATAACCCTTTAAAATACTTTTAACCCTGTAAGTGACTTCAACTCATAATTGTAATCTTTCATTTTCCTGGTACATTATGAAACATTAATTTTATAAAAAATAATGTAATTGCCCATATATATAATGTTAATAATATAGGACAAATATATCTTCTCATGCAAGAGATCTTTAATTTCTGCAATTATATTTTCTTTCTTGCCTCCTAGCAATAAAATAGTCTATCAATGCTTGAAAATATGCTCTCAATAAAATCAAAGTCCTCCACCTTGCCTCAGGAAGGAAACTTCCCTTTTGTATCACATTCATATTTATAGAAGAATGCCAGAGAACATCCCCATTAACATCACATTCCCAATAATAATTTTTATGGTTAACAACTCATTTTTGTCACTACCACCTTTAATGATAATCTTTCTAAGCTGATGAGATGTGCTTTGCTAAATTCAAATTAATTAAAGACAAGTCCCAACTACACATGACCTTTCCCCCTAATTAATTTCCCCAAATTACCTTCTCCGCACATGGCTCTGTCCTGTAGGCATTCACCAAGGCCTCACTTAGCTGAGAGCACGGACTAAATGGACTGCTTCTCAAAATGGAGGAGATCCAGTTGTGTTTTTATTTTAACTGAGCATGTTCTACCACTCTCTCAATGTAATTTCTCTGCAGTACGTACTCACCTTTTACACACTGTACAAACATCTTAAATGCTAAACATATCATAAACTGTGGGCTGCAGTGAGGTGGTTGGAAGGGAGCTTAAATTCAATGAATTTCTGGGCACAGACTTGCCTTTATCATCCTAGGTAGATTAGACTCTTACCTACCTCTAATGTGAAGTCTCCAAAATACAGAAACTACTTTGTATTTTTAAAATTCTACTAGTAATACAGGTAACTTTCTTCACATAGTAAATGCCTAAAAATGTTAATGATTATTAATTTTGTTAAAGATCTCAAGAATAATTTTTAACATCTTTCAATGGTCTAGAAATTTACCCTTTTCAATATCTTATATATCATAACAAATGTATTTCTTCCTGTTTAACCTTTAGTGAAGATAGAGAATATCAGGTCCTCATGATCAAGAAAATAAAATTTAATCATTTGTTATACAAGAGCATAAATGGCCAGCTAGCTACATGATCTCCTTAAATTTTTTTTAAAATTGAATTTATTTTTCCAGACTTTGTGGCTTTCTTCCTAAATTTTGGTGGTTTCGTAGAATTTTGGAATTTAGCGGTATCACATTAAGTGGCCTGACCAGTGCTAAGTTTTATAATGGGAAAATTACATTATATTTCCCATATTACATGTAAATATCTTAGACATATGCATGAACTTTAAAAATGACCAAAAAGAAAATAAAATCTCATTTAAATTCTTTTTACTGAAAAATGATACCTGTTATGAAGGAAGTCTGATCATTCCTAAAAGGGTCCATTGAACCATAATATTTAACTTAATAATTCTTGCATACATTCAAAATGACAATACAATAAAAAAAATGAATTAAGTCTTAACCTTAAATGTGAAGGAGACATTTCTCCAGTGCTTTGTCAGTGTCTGGGTTGTCTGTTATTGAAATTATTACTTTACTGTTTTAAGACATATTCTGTAATGTGTACCAAGTCACATTGACAGATGCATGACTATCACTGAAATAATAATAATATAAAAACAAACTAAGAAAGGTTTTAAAAAAGGAGGGAGATTCAAAAGCAGGAAATAAAGTGGCGAAAACAGGGGAGAGAGAAAAGAAATGGGAAAGGGGATTTCTGCTTTAAGGTAGAGATCAGTGGGATATGATCTGTTTATTCTATTTTGTCTTAATCATAACAATGTATGCTTGTCTCAGACAAAGAAAGGAGATATTTAAGCTGAATATAGGTAGCTTATAAATCCAAGTTCAATTAAGATTTTCTTATTCTATTGCTATTTGCAAATCTGCTTGAAAATTAAAACTCAAACTTATAATTCTTGTTATAAAATGTACAGCTGCTAAGTCCTAAAGCAATTATGCTAAATTATTGAGCTGGTCAAAAAGTCTGTTATGCTTTTCCTGTAAAATAAAAGACAAATTTTTCACTTCACCAATAACTTGATTGATCTGGATATTTTGAGTATGTCGGCTATCTCCTGTTATTGCCCTCTAGTGGGTAGAGGCCAGGGGTGCTGCTCAACAGCTTCCAATGCATAAGACAGCCTCACAGCAAAGAATTATTTGGCCAAAATGTCAATGGTACCAAGAAACTTCGCAAACCACTTTTGACATGTTCAATCAGTCACAGCACCTTCTCCATACACTGCGCAAATCTTCTTTTGCATTTCAGTTGCATTTTTACCTTTTTAAAAATAACAGCATAATATGCTGAAAATGTTGTATATTTTCTTCCATCTTCAGTATTGAAATGGCTACACAAAAATTCACCAATTTTAGTAAGTTTTTATAAAATGCATGCTGATATGACAACAGTCATAATACAATCTGACAAAATTGTTTCAAATGAAGTTAAAGACAACTAAGCACTACTAGAGCCATCATATGGAAAAAACAACGAACTTTTTGGCCAACCCAATTAAACAATAGCACACCTGAAAAAATTATAGACATCTTCTTCCCTGAAGATTTTTTTTTAAAAAGGACCAATAGCCATCCCTGTAATTGTATGATGTATAAGATTTCTCTGAGGCTCCTAGGTTCCATGGTTCTACACTTCACAATATGACACTAGCAGGTTTAAAGTGTTATTATTAGCATATGGGGTTCTGCCTCGACTCTTTCCCAGAATGGAGCTTCTATTTTCCATTAAGCAGTTTGTAAACAAAAAGAACAAATGGGTTCACTTCTAATCTTTTTGTCAGACCTGCAATTAAGCCTATCACACATTCCTCCATATTATGAAAACCCTGAGAACATATTTTCCAGAGAAAATTTACCAGGTTATCAGGTTCCTTCACAGAATTACTTGCCTGACCTCTCCAATAATTTGAAAGTTATGTCCAATTTGGCACTTCTCAGCTATTATCAGCCATTATATTATTAATATGAATCTGATAACTGACCACTTATTTAATATGGTCTTGCGTCTAATGTCATAGCAAGCCTTCTGTTCATCAATTCTTTCATCAGTTTAACTGGTATGTGCAGGCCTCACTGATGTCGACGAATGCTGCCTTCCTCTTTGAGGAACATATTCATCTCCTTCATTGGAAGATCGGAGAAACACAGAGTCTCAGAGACTACATACTAACAACTTCCCTTTCTATAGTGCTTTACAGATTACAAAGAACTTGACTTGATTTTAGAGCTGAGGAAAGTTTAAGCGACTTCCCAAGACCATATACTAGCAAGCAGATATCCAATTCCTTGTCAATTGGTCCTCCTACCATGGAACCTCAAAGGAAAACCTAATTTAAGGGCCAGAACAATTCAAAATTTTTATTTCTATTTCCTGGCATCTTTTGTAACTGGGCACATATTTATTTGAATATCTGCAGCTATTTTTACAAGACTGTAAATTTCTTACTGCAAGCTTTGGTCTATTGGTCTTACCACCTTCTCTATAACCACTTCACATATATTCTCAAAAACGAAAATCCTTCAGGAGATATTTATATATTCACGACTTCCTGATCTAAAGTCCATTCTACTACTCCTCCACTGTGAGAATGACTGTACAAACCCAAGATTCACTAGCAATGGACAAGGGCAAAAATAAATAAAGGCTGTGTTAAAAACAAATCAAAATATATAAAATAAATATCTGCTTAAGATGTGACAATTCTCAAAATGTAAACTAGATTCCAAAAGAGTAGCCAGATTGATGAAATGGTGACTCAGCAATACCAGGAGACATGAAATTATATCAGGTACATAAAGGAGAATCTTAACGTAAAACTTTCCTTAGCTATACCTATGTATATATTGAGGTAAAATAAGATTGGTGCACAGCTGTGCATGTTAATTTTTTGTACTGTGGACAATTCTTTTATTCTGGAGAGTATCCCTGGTGAGGACACATCTGAGAGTGTTGTTTTAGTTTTACTTATGTTATATATTGTGACATTTTACCTTCCCTTTTATATAGTCAGCAATATTAAATTACATTATAGCCTTAGCTCCTATTGAAATGGAGCTGAATCATTGATTTTTGATCTTATTAGCCTAATTCTATTTTTCACTGAAGAATGCCACCAAACTTAGATTTCTGATATGAATGATCACCTTTGACCCAGTAACAAAAAGCTTAAACGGCTCCAGCTCTTCTCCAGTGTCTCAGGACACACAGCTTAAAATATGGCACAAATAAATCTAGCTGTTTTTAAATTTAATGTACTTTAATTTTAAATTAAATTAATAAAATTTGCCTCAGCTTTACTTTTTTTCCTTCAATAATGAGGCAGTTAGTCCAGGGCAAGATCAATATTTTCTAACACCTATGTTAACTGATCAGGATCTCACTTGGTACCCTGTGGGCACCATTTATTCATAAAGACTGTAGCTACTTATGACCAAAGCTTATAGGGATTTTAAATTACAACATGGAAGGAAAGATAAGGTAAAATGTACAAGTTTAATTTGTGAAAAAAATGGAAGCAGTAGTTGGGGCCTGAAAAAGTTTCACCATCTTACATCTTATTGCTATTTGCCACAGGCATTTAATAAAAAAGCAGGAAAGACTAAGTAAGTAGCAACCTGCAAATATATCTTGAGTACCAAACTAGTACTATATGATGTACAAGACTTGGTTTGGGCTATCAATATCCAGGATATTTTAGATTATTTTTTATCAAAAGCTAATAGCATCAGTCATTTTTAAAATAAAAAGTAAAGGGCATACCCCAATATGGGCTAATTTACATTTGTTTTAAAAATAGGCAATTCTTACAGAACTGCAGACATGCTTTCTATCCCTTTTTATGCTATTGATTAAACACAGATTTTAAGGTTATGATGAACAGGATGCCTGACTTTATGGGCTTTTTGTACTCAAAAAAGCACACTAGACAATCAGAGATCCCAACTATGCAAATTATTTCTTTGACTACCTGTGCAACTACCTAAACAGTACAAAAAAATATTTTCTTATGCAGAGACTAAACAGGCAATCAGGTGCAAGGACATTCTCCTGACCATAACACTGTGTCCATAGAAATTTTATCATCTATGGGTAGACGTTACTGATATAACAACAGTAAGAAATAAAAAACAAATCTCCCCAGAAAGCATTAGCTATAAGAGTGTTATAAACATGAGGGAAAGCTAATTAACTAGTGTAAACAAAGGTGACATCTTAACATAGAGGAAGTTTGTTTTAGAAGGAAAAAATCAATTTCCCTTCATATGACTATGAAAATAACACAAATAAGAACTTGTATTACTTGTAGTATTGTTGGATGAAAGAATCATTAAAATTAAATTATGATAGCTATTTCAAATTAATATATTCTACAGTACCATTATTAAAATTATTATTTTAAGGTCATGAAATATGAAGATTAGTTTATGACTACAGCATAAAAATAAGTAAACTTTATAATTGTACGTATGAATTCCAGAGATGCTAATAGGATTTAAAACTTTCAGTCATATGTTGAGATTATTCTCATTACATACCTCTGTTCTCGATAGTTTCTTTTCATGGACAAGTAGAGAGGGGGGAAAAAAAAGAACTAGTTACCTACAAAAGTACATTAAGAAAGAGCACTCAACATAAAAGCAAAATCACACAAACACAAATTTCACTTATCTTTGGAAGTGACAACAAAGGGTTAATGACAGTATTTTCAAATAACTATTTTTTAGAGTATTAAAAACTTCAGTTATAAAAGAATAACTTTTCTCAATATTGATGGTATCCTGTTAAGTGTTTAGTAATGTTCTAAAGTCAACCCTATTTCAAATACAGGTTTTCAGATGTATAAGTTGCTTTAAATAATAAAATTAAGTAACCAAGTTACTTATAAAAATTCACTGATTTCAAAAATAAAAATCATAGTTCATTCCTCTTTAGATAAAGCATATACCCCAAACTAAAGCTATTCCTAAGAATTTAAAATAGGTGAACATAAATGGACACTACAACATTTTATTTTGTCATTTATGATACATGAGAGGGACTTAATTCACAGACATGATGGACCTAAGTTATTACTACTTACTCACAAGCTTCACATTAAAAATACTTCATTCAAAGTTTAGTCTCTGCTTTTTATTTGGCCATAGAATGAAATAAAATTACATGGGTTTTAAATACATCAATCTTTAAAAATGTGTTCTAAGGGGTATGGTAGTGAGGCACCAGTGACATTTAACTTTTAACTCAAAAGAGTAACTTCTAACTTTTTTTGTAACCTACTGTATTTTGCCACATATAATGTGCACCCACATTTTTGGCCCAAACCTTCACGAAAAGTATCTTTCATTTTAATTTTTTAATCCAATTATTTATTTATATTTAGATGCTTGCTTTGTGTATTATAAAGGAATTTTAGCATTCATTTTTGAACATATGGTACAAAAAATTTCATGTAGCAAATAATTATAAAATACAACAACAGATACAAGGTCCAAGAAATTTTATATACTAGTAATGAATTTATGATTTATGCATCATCAATACTACCCATGTATAATGTGCATGCTTATTTTTCCCTTGAAAACGTGGGCAAAAAAGTGAGCATTACACATAGCAAAATATGCTAATTAAGTGTTAATATTTTGAAGACAAGTTAGAAAGATCAAGCAACTCAATAGTGGACTCCTTCTTCAAGATCAAGATAATGTTTCCACATGGATTTTGTTTGGAGCACCTTTACCTGTTGATCTATTCCTTGCACCCAGTAAGTATCTTGTTCAATAATGAGCTAATGAGGTTAAAAGTGCCAATTAGTTACTTGTGATTTTTCATTCCTGAAACCATCTGATGGGAGATACATAGGCCTGAATCTTTCTATTCGACATGTTTTACTGTTTATTCTCTCAATCTGATCACCTGAGTGGCCCCTCAGTTCCCAGTGAATATCCCTTCTTTCCTGACCTGCCACTCCCCACTCGCTCCAAGGCTTGGAGAAGGGGTAGGAGGACTCATTGGAGGGATTAATGAGAAAATGAGTTCTCAAGTCCTAAGTCTATTTTTGAATTTGAAATAGAATATGTGAAACATCACATTAATAAAATTCATTTCTGTATTAAAATTTTCTACATTCCTCTTATATTTTTAAACATGTCCTGTATAAGTTTAAAAACATTTAAACTTTCATCATTTAGGTCCAAATTATTAATGAAGAGGATACTGCAGTACAGATAAGATTTGTCTATTTCCTTAATGAGTCTGCAAAGTATATATATTCAGAAATTTAAAAAATGACACTTCAAAAAATTTCATAAAAATAAGAGACGATATGTAGAAATAAGTACTTTTAATTCAATCATTAAAACAAATGAACACAGGTCATTTCATGAGCAATAGCATTAGGTGTTTCAGTTTCATATTTTCTGAAAGGTAATTTTTTCCAAGATTATAAAAATGAAGTATCAACTTGCATCAGTAGGTGGCAGAAAATCACACAACATAGGCCCAAGAATTTTGCTTTCCCCTGCCTGTCTCATGAAAATGAAACCACTGAGCTGCTTCCAAACAACAGTGCCTGTGATGGGAATTACTACATTAGTCTTGCATCAGGCAAGTCAAGAATATTGTGTTGCTCCATGATGGGGCTAATTCGCCCGAGGTGTGAGGAGAGACCAAGCAATAGATATACAGAAAGGCCTTCCTTTCAGACTACAATTTTATAACTCCAAATGTTATGCTGAAATCAACCTGTGCAAATATAAGTATTCAATATACTTAATGACCTGAACATCAAAGAGGCCCAGAGGTATTAAGCATCTACAGGTTGGTGCAGAACTAGGTACTCATTTAATCAGAGCCAGCTGTTACTATTACGCTGTTCTCTCCTCGCTATGCTATGCTAAACTTTACTGTGCAGTCTGTGCTGTTTGTTAATAATGCTTTCCTGAAGTGTCTTTCTGTATTTTAATGTTTGCAGCATACAAACTAAATACTCTCTTTCAGTAACTAACTACTCTTTTCAATCAAAGAATCTCTCTCAGGGTTCTGACCTCACCAAAAGCAGTATCTACATGCACTTTTAAAGGTATTCCCTTTGATTCCACTGGTTTAAGATGAGGTAAGGTGACAATAATAATAGCAAACAATTACTCAGTGCTTAATTTATTGAAAGCTTGGGAGTAATTTTAATGTCTGAAACAACCTAAGTCCCAAGTCTTTTACTGAACTAAGTTCTGTCCATGAGGAGAAAAAAATGCTACGAAACAAAGTAATGTGCAGAACGCCCAGCAAAAGTTGCAAGACGCCCAAATGGAGACCTGCCTGGGGGATTGGACCTGAAACATCATCAGAATCAGCAGAACTATGAATTTTAGGTTGAAATATTAAAAAGAACTTAAAATTCACCTTAACTTTTAATTAATGAAAATTAAGTGCTATTTGAATACTAAGGACATTTTTCATATCATAAGATTGAAGTTGAACATATTAAATATATAAATACATTTGGAATGTTTGAAGTCATTGACTTAGCTAAATGCTTAAGGGGATCCTATTTTCAAAAGTTATATAGCAAAACTTTTAAAAATTTTGTAAATAGAACCAAAAAATTGTAAGGTGAACTCTGACACTTAAGAAAGAATTAGGCTTTTAAAAGTTATAACTTAAAGTTGAATTTCAATTTTAACAAGCATCTCTGAACAGTCTTTCCTTCACACAAAAGCACCCGCATATTGAACAAATAATGCCTCCTTCGTACACACTGCGAAGATAAAGAGGTTTTCCCCTGACCGTGACGCGCAGCCATAGCAAGCACCCAGGTACAGGCTCGGGGCTGCTGTTCTCGTTGACATGGCGGTTATCACTAAAGCCCTGTGCACACTCCCTACCTGACTGCCTTGCCTAGATGTCTGGGTATGGGTTTAAGTCAAAAGAGAACCTGTATCACTAAAGAGTAAATCAACACAACCTCTAAGACAAAATTTAGATGGATTTCACTTCACATAATAGTTTTAAGATAGTACTCAGTCTTAGAGAACAGATGAGAGTTATCTCAAAATCTTAAAAAAAAAAACAAATACCCCACGATAAATTACCATTACCTCTAATCATGCCAAGGGCAATCATTGATTGAATGTTGAGCCAGACTGATTTTCATTGCTGGCATATTTATCCCGTGACACAATACTTTCTAGGTGTTTAATTCACTTGAACAAAATATTTTAAAGTATATGTTGATAGTAAAAATTCTGAGATATTTTACTTACTTATAACCCCACGCAATTATTCCTAATATGAGGGCCAGCACCAAAATGGTGCCAGCAATTATGCCTATTATGATATTGGTACCAGCAACACCTGGAAGGAAAAAAGAAACAACAGAGATAAATACATGTAACTGAAATTTTGACATAAAATTCTTTCAGGAACTTTATTCTCCAGATTTGTAATCTTCACATCAACCACAATATTTTAAACTATTTTTATAGTGGGTATTTTTTAAAGGAAAGACAACCGTAACTTAGCAATGTGCATCAGCTATTTTTATTTAAATAATTCTCTGTGTGTGTTCTAATTCTTGTCCAAGTCCAAGTGTATTTTCCATGAATTTTTCTGGAAAATATGATGACGTCATTGAAATAAAAGGAAGAAGAATAAAGATAAGGGGTAGGGGGAAGGAAGGGACAATACTACTACACTGGCATAGCACCCATTGGGGACTAATTTTCAGAAATCCATGTTCCTTTGACCCTGACCTCTTCCTCAGAAATTCTAAGAACGTTATTGTCCCTATCACTCCATTCTGACAACTAATGAATGCAAGGTCCTTCTTGCTCTCAGTTGTGTGTATTTTGCCTCTCAGAGTAAATATAAGCTTCTTAAGGGAGAAAACGTGCCCACAGCTTGCTATAATCAGTGCTCAGGTGGTGTAAATGATAAAAGCCCCAGGATGGCAGTTCCCAGTCTTGGCAAAGGTGGCCACGGCATCCTAGAGAAGAAAAACCAAGGGAGGAGTCCCGAGAGCTGGAAACTGCTGCTGCCGAGCCACGAGAGCCAGGCAGCATCTGACCGGCAGAGGGCCAGGGCAGGGCTGAAGCTCAAGGCCCAGTAATGGCATTGTGTGTCGGTGTCCTTCGTCAGGCAGCCTGAGGGATAATTCTTAAGGGGATCATGGCAGAGAGAGTGGCCCAGTGAGTCAAAGGCTTGGTCCACAAGCCCAAGTGAGGGCCCAAGAGCAGAAAAGGCAGATCAGAGCTCTGGCTCTGATACTACAAGACCTGTTTTGCTGCTAATGATTGATATCCCATGTTTCTGTTTCACACAGAGCAGCTTAGATCTCTCCTTGTCTGTTGCATTCCTGAAGCATTCTTTTAAATATCAAGGATCAGTAGTGATGGGCAACTGGAGCAGATTCCAATTCCCCTCAACCAGGGAGGCAGCCTTTATCTGGGAGCCCTCGTCGTCAGGTCCCACAGCAGGACTAGGGCATCTAAGGGGACTGGCAGACTCCACCATGCCCACGTCCTCCATGGGACGGGTGGATGCTGATGCCAGAGGACCTCAGGTCTCTGGGATTTTCCTACTCTAAGACCTCTGTCTTCCTTTCCTTTTCTTCTAGCATGTCTGTCTTCCTTTCCTTTTCTTCTAGGGATTTAAATGGGAGCTATAAACTTGGCTGCCAGCCCTGACTATTTCTAAGTAATGGCATGACTTTTGACAAGTACTTAAATCCATGCACCTGAATAGCCTCAGCTCGGCATTAACTGCTGGAACAAGCTGCAGACTACCACTGCAAAGACTAAGGATACTAAACCCTTCATAATTCTGTGATTTTTTTATTTTTATTATTTTAATCCTCACCGAAGGATGTGTCTATTGATTTTAGAGAGAGGACGGGGGAGGGGGAGAGACAGAGACATTGCTGTGAGAGAGAAGCATCAATCAGCTGCTTTTCATACGCGTCCCAACTGTGGATCAAACCTGCAACCTTTTAGTGTGTATGTACCAAGTGATGCTCCAACCACCTGGGCCACCCGGCCAAGGCATTCGTCCCATTGGCTAAGATTTTTAATCTGTCTGGATGATTAGAATGAATGTACTCTTTTTTTCTCATCCTTTGGAGGTGAATAAACTTCAGGATTTGAGCATTACTTAAAGCAAAAGAATACTCAATAATGAAATGATAAAATAGTTTAAAAGAGGGCATTTACCTCCAAGGTCTGTATTCTTTCAACTCTCTGCATTTAAATTCTACTTATCCAACATTTAGAACTGCGCCCGTTATTTCTGACTTACGTCCATAAACCCCTTCCAGGCACCCTGGCCAAGGTTACTGCTTCCAGAAATATATTCAGCTCATAATATAGAACTGAGGTTGCATACAAATGAGATTCCATAAAGTCAGCAAAAAGTTTAAAAATCAATTCTTCAATTTCTTTTCTTATTTACTCAATCTCAAAATATGAAATTCTTCCTTTAAACTCAGACAATTAAGAAGTATGGCTACTTTCTTAATTTAAAAGAAATGCTAGGGTTTGTTGTCAGCCCCAAACAAATACAATACTTTAAAAAATCTGTCTGATGTCAGACAAGATAATACTAAATCAGTAGACTAAATTATATTTAATATTATATATCACTACAATTTAATGGAAGTGATCGGTTTCATAATGTGGACGCAGTTACACATTGTAATTCATTATTGTGTGGATTTAATTTATATTTGAGTTATAAAAGTAATGCAAATGAAACTATCTGAAGAGCAGTTTTCTCCCTCCTTGTGTGTAAGGGCTATATCTTGATATCAAATTAAGAACCCACCGTTGCCAGACAGAGTTATGCCAGTCTTTGCATCGTCATTGTGAGGGAAGTAAGTGCTGCAGTCAGCACCGGTCCAATGTCTGTTACACACACACTTCAGCTCATTGCTGCACACCTGGAATCCAAAATCAGTCTGGAGTAAAATTCAGCTCTGGTGTAGATGCATGAAAAATAGCATCGGTTTTTAGTTACCATATGCCTAGAATTTGGTGGTACTCAAAAATTACTGGTACTTCCTTTCTAATGCTAATTACTTATTTCTTACGCAAGTACCTAAAACATATTTTCAAGAGATCAACAGTTGAACCAAAGGAATAATAAATTGTAACAGAGGAATAAGTTTATATCTAAAAAAGCAATGAAATTGTTTTGAATTTCACTAATTTAAATTCTATAAGAGGGAGATTAAAAAAAAAACCTAAGCAGAAATAAAATCATTCACCAATTATCTAGTACAAAGGTTTCCTTTTTCCAAAGAAGTGTCTTTATAGTGAAAGTTTATTCATCTTTTAAGAAGATGAGAGAAAGAGAAATCTGAGGAAGAAGAGGGGAGGCCTGTTGCTTTGCAGTGCTCTGAGAAGAAAGCTTCACAAAGCTACAGCCTGGCACCTCAACACAAGCTACAGATGAGCAACGTCACAGTCATGGAAAACAAGAGCTCCCTCAAACAAGACACCGGAAAAAAATTCACATAAAAATGGCACCACATTTTTAAAAATTCTCAGATAATAATCTGTCTTCATTTATATATCCAGGAAACAGAATCTATACCTAGATCTTATCATTCAAAACAGCTTTAAATGGAGTGGAAAGTAGGAGAGAATTCAGTTAGGTTTGAGATCAGACTTCTTCAGAAGGTCGGTTTTCACTGGATGGGTTTTGTCTTTTGTCTGATCTCATTTGCCAGAAGATGACATACATCCACATCTAAATGTAACTTTTGTAAAATACGATTAACAAATGGCAGATCTCAAATTAATTCAGATTAATACATTTCTGCAGATTAACACATATGCAGAAGAAAAGGTTTAGGATTAAAGTCAGAAGGCCTGAGTTTGACTCCCCATTTCACCACTGTCTTTTTTTTTTTTTTCAGTTTAAAATAACTTTTTATTGCCCAGAGTGTTTTTTTCTTGTTTCTCTTTTTTTTTCTGGTTTTCTTTTTTAATGACTATAAATTTATGCTTATGGAAGCTTGCCTTTGTCCTGTAAAACAAAACACAGCTCTTATATCATTTGCTAAACTGATCTCATTTTAAGAGAGAAATAGCAGTTTTCTTGTAATATTAAAGTTTATATCATGAATGATGCAGGTCTAAGTCTGGTAGCACTGAAAGGAGACAATAGCATTACTGACAAAATTATTATCTGCTTGGTGGCATTTGCAGAAAAGAAGCCCCTGCAAATTTCCAAAACAACAGTTAACTCTGTTAGGAAATTCTAAAATGCCTTACAGGCCACGAAGGGAATGAGGTTAACAAAATGCCTCAACAGAGTTTGAATATAAGACTGGATTTGAGAGTTACTGGTGCTTGGATATGTGAAAATAGGGTTGTAGGTTGGGTCATGCTTACAATGGTCTCAAGTTCAAATAAACTGCTGTGACAATACACCACTTCCAAGGTCACATGCTGTTCCAGGGGCTTTCTCTCCTTCAGCAGGTGCTGGCGGATAGTGTGCCCAGTGATATTCCTACATAGATGCTGTCTTTCCAATACAGCCCCAAAGCCAAAACATGAGAAAGGAAGAGGGATGGAATGAACACTGTAAGCAGCTCTGCAGAGAAAATGCCCCCTTCTTCATGGTTCCACCTTTCTCCACTCTTAAAGAGACAGAACATATCATCAGGCCTACTGGACCAGCGGGCCACCCAGTCTACATTTTCTTCAAAGCATCATCTTCTTTCTCTCCTGCAACTTCTGACCAAGAACTACGGGCCCTGCTGGCGTGCATTTCCACATCAGACACAATCTGTCCGCCTTCTTGTGGGGAAGTGCCTGTCACAGTGAGAAGTGCCTCTTGAACTGCTCTGTCCTGATTCAGGTTGTGCATCCAACGAAATCTTCTCCATGTCACCACTGTGGATGGAGGATGAGGAAGGAATGTGTTCCAGCCCCCATGCCCCCCACTGCCGTGATCATGTGTAGCTCCACTCGGGAACTAGTGAGGCCAGCTGGCAGGGGCCAGGGCTGTCCCTCTTCCTTGCAGATGTTATTGTTGTGAAGCGGTAGTGGCTGTCTACTCAATGAGGTGACATTGTTGGGTGGCTGGAAGACCTGTGGTTGCAGCTGGACTGGCTCTGGTTCTCGGGTAGCAACACAACATCACCGCTGTCTTATCAACAGACCTTAACCAGGTCAGCTGGCTTTTCCACATATCATTGTCCCGATCATACAACATCACCAGTGATATAGTGACAAGTGTACAGTGAGTGAATAGAGAGTCACAGCTAACAGGTCACTGGCACTGTGTTAAGTATTATGTGTAAGTTACAAATATTAACTCAATGATTTGTCATAACAATCCTGTAAAGTAGACAATGTTATTTTTCCCACTTTACAGAGGAAGAAAAGCTAAGTAATTTGCAAAATAATTTGAGTCAGAGAGGCTAACTAATGTGCCCAATCTCACCCAATTAGTAAGAAGAAACTGAGCTGGGATTCAAACTCAGACTGTCTGGTTCCAAGCCCACATTCTTAACTGAAAAATGTATAGTCCATAAGTATACCTGCTGTATTTCTCATTTCAACTTTTGCCACATATACAAATTAGCTCAAGTTAAAAAAAATACATAGGATATAACATCTCTGTGTATGAATAATTATTGCAAATGATTTGGATGCTCTCTGCTACCTGATTTACTTGTGTCTATCACTCTTTACTCATTCATTAAACAAATGGCTAATTAACACAACTTTGTTTGGTCTCTGTGTTATATACAGAGAATTTCAAGATGAATAAGGTATGGTAAACATGAATGACCAGGAAAAATTTCCATTATTTTTTCCCCTTCCCCTGAAAATGTGTTTCCTCCTAATATCCTCTTATTAAGGAAAGAAGACTTAGCAGACCCCTTTATAGGAGCAGGGCTACTTATTATATTCCTTTTCTACTGTGATGTACCATAAGAATTCCTATCCATTGGCAAAGAGTAACAATTAATAAGACCTCACAATGGAAATTCTGGGCATATCCCTTAGGGATACGTATGGAATGAGATCCTTTACCTCAACTGGATAATAAGCCAACTGAAACAAAAAATCTAGAATGAGGGTAAAAAGAAAATCACGGAATATGCCAAAAGAAAAAGAACCCCCCAAAATTCTGTTAGTATAGAATTTCCTGAATGAAAATGGCAAAACTGTAATCACTAATAGACCATGTTTATTTAACCTATAAAATTATTTCTGTAGGAACTAGATTAATGAATATATACCTGAAAGAATAGAATTTAGTCTTTTAAACGATGCTGTTCTTTTTTTCATCTGTGAGAAACATTTCCTAAATCACCCTGTTTTTATTCCTAGGCGGTTTCTTCAGCTGGTTCGCACGGGTGTGGCTATGGCCACCTATGGTCTGTCCTAATCGGTCAGTGCCTGGGCCACACCAGTTGTTAAATATTGTGGCCATTGCCCTGCTTTTTATTCCCTTTGTATCTCATGATAGTTTGTTAAAATTTGTTACTTGTAGAAAACTGGCATTATAGTATGTGAGATCACATTAATATAATATGAAAGGAAGATGAAAGAATTTGGTTAGGAAGATTATACTGCTTCTTGTTCCCAGGTTTTGCAGATTACAAAACAGAAATATTCAAATGATTATGACAAATAACTATTTACATGCTGCCTAGAAACATGGATAAGTATGGTTTGCATTAGGACAGAAATAAGAGATTTAGGGTTATATCTATTTCTGTGTTATAAAAGAAAGAAGTAATTCCCAATAGCGAGGTACTGAACACTTACTCCATTTCCTGAACAAACAGCGCCTTCTTTATTGCTTAAGCAAGTACTAAAATTGAAGGAAGCCACAGGAAGACACCTGTGCTCTAAGCACATCATTTGAGGACCACAAGGTGTCCCATCTTCCACATAGCCAAGATCTACATCTTCTTCAAGCTTAACATGCCCACCACTGAAAATAAATTGGGAGAAAAAAAAATGGGATTCCATTAACTCACATTCATTTGGATAATATGCTTAAACACTAAAAGGCAGGCAATATCTATTTCTCTAGTTTCTACATATTATATAATTAAAAAAAATAATAACATAAGCATTTTCTTCTAAATGGAGAAAGCAATTTAATCTTTTGAGCTAATTATTTTCAGAGATAGGAATATATTTTAGGATTTACACATAATTATTATAACAAGTGCCTGTACTTAAATAGCTTTATCATTTTGCCTTAGATATTATTATAAGTCAAATAAGTTATTATTAGTATTTGATTTGATAAGTAGGTTTCAAAATTTCAAACATGTTTTGAACAAAATGAGGAATGATTTTGGTTTATCTTTCCCAAAATGATTGCTACATTTACAAATTACATTTGAGAACAGCTAAACTTGTAACTTCATTATTCAATACAGCAACCTGACATGTTATGTAGGAATTGAAAAAACAAACAGAAATTGAAAATGTATATTCCTAATCAACTTATCCATATGGTACTATGTCTGTATCTCCATCCTTTATTTTTATTAATTTTTATCAAAATTATATATGCACAGAGTTTAAAGAGTCAAGTAGATAAGCCAGTTTTTTAAATGTCAAAATCTCTATGCAAGATGTGTCTGAACATCAGTTCATCCTCCTGTGGATTCCTCCCCGTAGTTCCCACCAGGACTTGCCGGGTACCCGGCTCATCTGGTTGTTCTCTGCACCTGGTGCAGGCTGCACGTCTTGGATTTCCCCTCACCAGTCACTGGAGGACAGCCCTCGTAGTGGGGATCTTGACTCCTAAATTCCCTGCCTTTCTTTTTCTAAGTTCACTCCTTCATTTGGTGGAGTGCAATTTCCAGTGGCTTCCTGAGAAAGAATTTAAGGGAGTATATTTGGGGGAAACTTGCATATTTATAAGTCATTATTTTCTATCCTCACCCTTGATTGGTATTTTTCCTGGCTGGAAATCATTTTCTCCATTGCCTTCTGGCTCCAAGAGCTAATGGACCTCTAATTCCAGTCGTTGTACCTGGCATTTAGTGAGCCTTCCAATAAAGAAATTCAAGTCTATCAACTCTAGAAAACACTCTTGAGTTACTCATTGATGATTTTTCTCCCTGCTGTTTTCTCTGTTCTTTATCATTTCTCTTCTAATTTGATGAGTTCTTCTATATGTTTATTTCTTTTCCCCTTTTGCCCTACTTTCTGGAAGATAACTTCAACTACTGAATTTAATTTCAGCCATCATATTTTTAATTTCAAACAGCATTTTTTTCCTGCTCTGAATATTCTTCATTTTTTTAAATAGTGCTCTATTTTTGGTTCATGATAGAAATATCTCTCATAAATACTGACAGGTGGGGTTTTTTTTTTCTAATTGGTTGATTTTATCTTTTTTTTGTGTGTTCTAGATCTTCTTCTTATGTCTAATAATCTGCTCATATTTGAAGTATGGGAATAGATAGATGTTTGGACATTGCAGGGCTTTCTGACTGAACATGGGTGAGGCTGGACCATTTCCATACAACCTTGATAGCAACAATACTGCCCGTTGTCCTTCAGTCTGGTCACCTTCTATTCTACGATCTCAGATTATAAAGCTCAAATCTTCCACGGGAGGATTTTAGCAGAGTCAGGGAAGTCATCTGCTAGTGCTTCTTTAACAGGTTGTATTTTAGCCTCTTCCCTGCCTCTTCCATAAGTAAATGACACTGCTCATTTTTTGAGCTTTTTGAGAACTAACAATATAGATTGGCTTAGTTCTCAATTTTCTCCCTTAACTGATTTGGGAATTTAGCTTTCTTAGTTTTGATAATCATTTGTCATACATCCATTTTCTTTCCACATTTCAAAGTTTTGTTGCTATTGTCTCCTCTCCCTTCTTCTGCCTCCCTGTGGATATATGAATTTTTAAAAACTCATTTAGTTTCATCTAGTGGGATCTCAGAAGGGAGCAAAAGAAGATGTATATATTTAATCCACTCATTTTACCCCAAAACTCACATTCTTTTCCATTCAAAAGAATGAAATGAAAACTAAACCCTAATTCTTCTCTTCTTTTTGTCTCTTTTCTGTCCAGATTGGCTCAATCACCTCTATGAGCGAGACTCTTTTTTGGCTTACTAACATTCTTATTACTGAAAACAGAGGTAATCCTAAACTGCATTCCTCAGAAAATGAGTAATGTTCTCATAGAATATTATAGATAATTACCTGCAGTTTAATGTTCTTCCTTGCTGTACAACTAAAGTAGACGTGATTTCACCATCAAGTTCTCCGAGCCTTGGAATATTACCAATATTGGAACATAAAAGGTAACCACAAAGCACATCCCTGTGTTGAAAGAGTACCAGTTATTTACTTTACAGCCACGTGCAATTAACACAATAATCTTACCTCATTTTAGCATTTGTTTTTCATCAACTACATTATTTGCTCGTTAAATGTAAAATAAGCCCAAATTAGTTTATTCAAAAAATCCCAATTGTTTTCTAGTTTTTTCTTTACTGCCTATTAGTTCAAATATTTATCAAAAGGAAATTACCTATCCAAGAGACTTCTTTTATATCAGACTCTCTGGATATGCTAAAATATTTTTTAATATTTATGAAGTGAATGCATGATCTTTGGATGAATATTCTTTTGAAAAAATAGCTCTTTCCTCAACTTTTTGCCCCAGCATTTTTTTAAAAAAAGAGATTACATATGTGTACATACACACATACACTTTATAGATTCTGGAGCACATAGGCTTAATATGTTTCACTGCTCCTCCAATGTCACATACAACTCTCATTCAACTTGTAAAATATCTTCACTGGTATTAAATACTATCTTACATGTTCTCCATATCTAACACATTTTAATCATTAATGTAGATGATAAATACATATTGTAATAAATATCTTGTAAGGCTGATGAGTAGGTTATTGAAATTACATACGAAAATATAAGACTTTATCAGGTAGATATAGGGGAAAATTAGGACTTGTATCTATCACCAACACAGGAAAAATATGTATTAATTCATTCTTTAAAAATCATCTTTAAAAGTTTTATCACCATTTTATTAAGTGTCTGTCATAATCAAAAATGCTTCTTAACAGAGAAAAATATATTCAATCTATTTCTGAATGTCATTTATGTGTATAGAGTTTACTAAGTACTTTAGGATATATAAAGAAAATTATACATATTTTTTATCCTCAGGGAAATTATATTCTGGATACAGAAAAAAATCACATGCACAAACAACTATAGAACATAGAATTGGGGACAAGGGCCAAAGAATAGCACAAAGGGCTGTGGGAGTTCTGAGGAGAAGAGGGAGATGATTTATTTCTAGGCCAAATCCAGAAATATTTATAGAGAAAGTATTGCCCAAGCAGGTCTGTGAAGAATGGATACACTTCTGACTGGTAATAAAGCGGGTACAGAGTGCTTCCGGGGAGGAATGAATGGCATAAGCAAAGGCATACAGATAGGACAATACAACAGTGCACATATTAGGAATATAAGGTTTGCTAGACTTTGGAAGAGTGGAGAAGAAAAAAACAAAAGATGGGAGGTTTGGGAGCAAATTATAAGGTTCCACTGTGTCTGTGAAGCAAAATAGTATGACATTCTTACAAAGCAATTAAAATAGAGTTTTGAAATCAGACTGCCTGAATTCCAGTTGTGCTTCTATTACATCTTATTTTCATGACCTTGGTCAAACTAGTGAACTGTGCCTCAGTTTCTTCTTCCATAAAATGAGGAGAACTGACATAAAGATTAAATGACATAGCACATGTAAAGCATAATACAATGCATAGTACACAGTGTGCCCTCAATTCATGTTGGGTATTCTTACTATGAACTTGCTCTGTGGAACGAGTGAGATTTGAACAAAGAATTGACCTGGTCAAAATGATTCAGTAGATTATTATCCAGATAGAAGCTTCTTAGATACTGCTGGCATAAAAAACTGTTAGAGGCATTTATAATAGCTGAAGAGTTAACGTAGGGCTTAGCTGGGTCCTTAATGCAATAGGAATGGAAATGAAGGGGTGAATTAGAGACAAATGGTGGTGGAGTAAAAGGGAAGAATGGACAGATTGCATTTGGGCAATGTGCCAGGGGGAAGGTGGAGTCCAGGATCATTCTGAGGCTTCTAAGTAGAAGGACAGTGAGATAGTAAAGCATTTGGCAAAAACAGTGGTTTAGAAAGGTCAGAGCCAGTTAATTGAGTATGTATTCTGGTGGCTTTAATTCCCGTGCCTCCCTCCCCCGACCTTTTTTGAAGCACTGGCAGATGGTTTCTAGGTGAGAGGGTCCTGAGGCAGCTATAAGCATGGCCTGGGCCTTAGGAGAGAGCAGAGCCTGCATGTCAAGACTTGGGAGCCTTCTGCAAAGACGATGCAGGAATGGTAGGAAGAGATGAAAGGCAGCGTACTGCCTCATGGGATGCAGAAAACAGGAAAGTCCTGGCTGCTGAAAAAGTCATGTTCATAATCAACCAAAAGATCAACTCGGGGCTAAGTTGTCCATCTCACCGTTTGTTGCACTGTATCCACGTGTCTTTGTCTTTCCCACAGTTACCCTTCTCCGTCCCTTCGATATTTAATTTCTCGTAGCAGTATTTGTCTGATGCCATCACCTCTGAAGCAGAACAGAGTTTTCCATCAGCGACAGATATAACATGTGAGCTGCTCAAAATGTTTGTATTCAGGGAAATAGCCATTTCAGGACTCTTGCACTACAATTGGTCAATTCCAAAACTGCACCTACACAGCAAACATCCATGACTCATGAGCATTTTTCATGACCGCTTGTTTGAAATTTGGAAAACAAATCTATTAGATCTTTGATAGGATTCAGGCTATAGGTTCCAAGAACAACACTCCTCAGATTTCGGCCAATAATTAGGGTAATTTTGGGCAATAATTAAGATGCTACCAAATGATTCTTTGAATAAATACTGCACACTTTAATCTCAGTGCCAAACATAAAGCACAAATTGCTCACTGAGCTACTTTTATTGATCATAAAGACAATTTTATTAAAATAGTTATACACTGTAATTAAAGATTCAATAAACAGTGGTATAGTTTCTACCTTGTTTACTATTAACAACTATTAAAAAAACTTCATTTGCTTTTAGAAAAACTTGAATTCATGCCAAATCTCTGAGAGTCAAATAACATTTTAAGACATGTCAGCATCTTTGTCAGGACTTTATTTTTGCTAAAGCCGGGACTGGTTGATGAAGTTATCTAAGAATTAGATCAAAATGACTTTTACAAGTGCATCAAAAGATGATGGTTTATATTTGAAAAAGTAATAATAATTACGTTGATATTTCTTTTCCCTACATTTTGCTGTCGGCTACTATTTTCTCTCAAGTGGGAGAAACAAAACTCTGTCTCTCTGTTCAGAGTACAGACCAGTAGAACTAAATTTTCCCCCATGTCAATTGTTTCTCTAATCGCTCAAAAGAGAGCACACACTTCCTCTCCCAAAAGTAGTCACTCTTTGAGACAACTGAGGATTATCATCATCTTTCATGATAACTGTCTTCAGAAAGAGTTTAAGACAAAAACTGCTTTCAAAAGAGCAATTAATACTTCCAGAAGAAAATATATACCATCCAGTATATTTTTAAATAAAAAACATAATTTAAATAATGTTTTAGATATAATTGTTATATACTTCCCTGTGAAAAATCTGGCAAATTTTGAAATTAATAACATAAACATGTCTCTCCGATACGGCAGAGCCGCCTCAGTAGAAGCTCACTGATAAGCAGCAAAGTGAGCTAGAGTTTACAAAAGATAGTTGAGGAAGAAAAGGCAACTCTAGCTAAAGTGCTGCAGTTCTACTGCTATCGTGCCCTATCCAGGGCCCACGTCCATCCCATATGGCTGCACAGTTTTTGCTTAGGGACACTCAGCTATGGAGAGCACATGTGGAGCTGAAACCCAGGTTTTTTCTGTTCTCCAAGCTGCACACCCTGGTGTGGACTTCACCTGCCTGGCAGTGAAGACACCTTCTGTCTCATCCAAAGGCACTGCCAACTACCCAAGAAGTGTAGGGCTGTGTCTTCTCAAAGGAAGTACCCTTCAATTTCTACAAAAGCATCCTTGCTGAGACATGTGGTGGTTTTAAGAATCCCTTACTCTTAAAGTGATTGAAAATTTACTTCCAGCGCATATGTTCCTTGGGCCTGATACGATACTTTGAAATCATCAAACCACACTATTTACTTACTTTGCCCCCAGATGTATTTACATTGTCTATCCCTGGTTTTGCATCTTCCTCCAAAGCAAATCCCCTGAAATGGAAAAGCATGCCTATTAGTGATGCAATGTCTGCTTATATCCAAGAACTAAAAAAGTAAATATGACCAGGAGAACTAGTAGATTAATATTATAAAGACCTTTTATCTTCTGAATTGATTATGAAATATTTAAACTGATATTCCTATTTTGATAATATTTCAGTATTTCTTTCATGCTGGTACACACGAAAAATGTAGGTGAAGATGAAGCCGCCTACCTGAACACCATCACATGAATACCCATCCATTTTATGAATATTTGGGGCACACTAGGAAAAGAAAACAGAACTAGTGAAGCAAATGCATAGCAAAATATCAGAGGAGCAAATCCCATTAATGTTTTCATTTTAAAAATAAAGTCTGAGAGTATGTTTAGTGTCTTAAAATATCTAAAAATAACAAAAAAGAGGAAGCAAAAGGAAATACAACAGTTGGTACACTTTCCCCTAAAAACATTGATCTATCAGAGACAAAAAACAGTTGTCACATAGCAGCAATAGAAAGAACTGACAGCAAGGACTCAGCTACTGCTACAATTTAGGAGCATCTTGCTTTACACAGATACACTATTCCTCAAAGCAAAAAAAATCAAGAGCACAAAAGAAAAGATGCCAGCAGACGAGGCTGTGGAGAAAAGGGAACCCTAGTCCACTGTTGGTGGGAATGCAGACTGGTGCAGCCACTGTGGAAAGCAGTGTGGAATTTCCTCAAAAAGCTGAAAATGGAACTGCCTTTTGATCCAGTGATTCTCCTCCTGGGACTATACCCTAAGAACACCAAAACGCCAATACAAAAGAACCTATGCGCCCCAATGTTCATAGCAGCACAATTTACAATAGCCAAGTGTTGGAAGCAACCTAAATGCCCATCAGTAGATGATTGGATCAAAAAGTAATGGTACATATACACAATGGAATACTACGCAGCAGAAAGAAAGAAGAACTACTAAACTTCGCGACAGCATGGATGGAACTGGAGAGCATTATGCTAAGCAAAATAAGCCAGGGGGCGAAAGACAAATACCATATGATCTCACCTATAAGCGGAACCTAACCAACAATACAAAGATGCAAGGAAAATAAGACCAGCAACACTGAAAGGAAAAGAAACCAACAGAGACAAGAGGGAAGGAGGGAGGGGGGCAGGGGAAAAGGAAGGGAAGGGGAAAGTCAAGGAACATATAGCAAGGACTCATGGACAAAACCAAAGGGGAAGAGTTGAGGGAGGGGGCAAGGGAAAGTGGTAGGGGGTAGGCAGAGACAAATGTATTTGAAAAAATAAATTAAAATAAAATTAAAAAAAAAAAAGAAAGGATGTCAGCAGAGATGGAGCAATAACTGTATTTCTTCTTTTTTACCATGAGAAGCAACACAGACCTTCACACTCAAGCAGAAGTCTACTTTGCCCATGTTAGAAACATGCTTCATAATACCCCCCTTTTTTACTTTGTAGCAAGTACAGAAAGTGGCAAAGCATTCCTAATGTAATCTTTAAATTTATTATACATTCTATATCATTATATTAATTATATATTCATTTGAGAAAAGTTATGTAATATAAAAAAAATTAAAATGAAAACAAAAGTTTCTCATATCCCCAGTACCCAAAGACAAATATTTTTTACATTTTTCTCTACCTTTTTCTACATGTTTTGATATTCTTAAACATAGGTATAATCAATGTACAGATATCTTATATTATGCTTTTCCCCTTATAAATATCCTTGTCATAAAAAACTTTTTTGTAGGTATCCTCTTTAATAGCTATAATGTATTGAGTGAACAAATCATATAACCAATGTACTAAAATATTCACTTATAATATAGTAAGCTCTCACTTACCATCCTCAATAGGTTCTGTGATTTTAAGCAAAATGATATAAAATGAAACCAATTTTAACCTAAGTTAATTGAAATAAACAAGTTTAAATTCCCATGGCATCTTACCGATGTTACAACAAAATGACGCTGAACAAATCACCGTAATTCAAGGACCTGCCAATGTATGCTGCTACAACTAAGGCAATGAGAACATCTTTGCACATCCATTATTTCATTGTATCCTCATCATCATTAAGTGTTATCTTAGAAACAACACTAATTAGATAATAAGAAAGGAAAACACTTTTACATGAAAAATCTTTAATCTCTTAGGATGACTATCTTTAAAATAAAGTATTTTTTAATGGTTAATGTAGATACACCACTACTAAATGCCTCTTTTTTTAGAGGAAAAATATATAGGCAGTCCTAGCTTCAACATGGCTCCAATATGCATGAATTTCAGTTATGCTTTTGTTGAAGAATAATAGTGCCCCAACAACAATTTCAGTTACCAAAATATATTAACAGTTCCAATTTCAGTTATCATAATATATTAACTGTGAGTAATTGCATAAAGCACAAACTTTGCTACTTGCTCTTCAGTTGATTGATCACTAGGTAAATAACAGGTGAATGGCCCAACTTGTCACTCTTCCAAAACCTCTCTGTGATTGGTCACTTGCCATCTGTTTATTCAGTTCATGCACAGACAACAAGGTGGGTAGTTGTGTTTCATCTCTGTTTTTTTGGTGATAGCATGTGAAATTTTACAAAATTGGACAATCAAAAGAGAAAACTGGCTAACAAAGATGAAAGTGCAGCAAAAAAAATAAAAAAAGAAAGAAAAGTGATGACACAAAGTGAAATTCTAAGCTAATGTAAATGGAGTTATAGAACAAAATCGCTGACAATGGAAATGTCGATAGTGCTGTTGGGCAAAAAATTTCACATTCGCAAATACACATCTCTTTGGAGACAGCTCATGACATTGAAGGCACAAAGGATAGAATGTTGAAAGGTGATCCAAGCTTAGAAAGGAATCTGACAATGCATCGAAAAGATGTTCACTATTACCCTAAGGTTTACAAGAAGGTGGCACTACGCCCAGTAAGATTTTAGAAAGAAATAAAATACTTTAATTTGTAACATTTATGTCTTAATTTAGAGTGCTACATAAATATTAATTTTATATTTCATTTCCATATTCATTTAAAACCAACAATAAGAGAGTTTTCAATAGTCTAACAACCTTTTAATGGGTCACAGAAGAACTGCAGTTTATTCCATTGACAATTAGGATGACTTTCCATGGTTTCAGCTTGCACGGTCATTTTCATGGTCCTGCAATTGCCCCACAGAGCGAGCCCCCCGGCATGCACACTGGCCACATGAAAGCCAGGACTCCCTGCACATACACCGGCCGCATGAAATCTGAGAACACCTGCCCAAGTTGACCAACTTCCCTATCTTCTCTACTTACAACTAAATAATAGTAAATTCAAGAGCAGCTATTAATGGCTGAGATGATGTAATCTGTCTCAGATAAATAAGAGTCAAGACAGAGAAACAGGCTCCTTCTCAGAGCCCAATACCCTGCGGGCCTCCCGCCTTAGCGCACACCTGTTTCAGCCAGCTGAAGTCACTTTTTGTTTCCACCTTCATTAAACACACAAAAAGCAAATGAATTTCACTCCCTACTTAAAACAAAAAAAAAAAGGCAAGCATGCAGTCCTCTGTGAAGACAAAATTATGCTAAACATCTGTTCAAGCTTTGATTACTGAAAATCAGATTCCTGAAAAATTTATAAAAAAAAAAGAGTGAGAATTTATGTGACAGACATGAGCATCTTGTCCATTTCCATGTCATCTGAGGCGTAAGTGCACTAAAGATACACCAACTTTTCCCATTGCTTTAGAGTAATTATTCTGTCAATTACCTGACTTGAATTTCCTGAGCATGTTTCATGAATGTCACACTCATTTACTGCTTCTCGGCACACAGTTCCCAGAGGCTGAAACTGAAATATCCAAAAATCAATGTGTAAAACCACTGAAGAAAAATTTCTCACAGTATCATCTTTGAAAAAGCAAAACGAATACTTTTGGGATAGGAATATCTTAAACTATTTTTAGATAGTAGTCTGTGAAAACCAGTTGCTGAACGAGACATTACTGTAACAGTTTTTGGAGAGCGTTTCTTGTGTGTGGAATCCTAAGCCTTATAATACCTTGGTAAAATAGGCTAGCGTTTAATGGTACGTCGCCACCAGGATGAGTCTGTCCAAGTTCTAAGAATTCCTCCTTCAAAATGGCTCGTGGATTTACACGTCACATTACTCTTTTTCTGTCTCTTCTGCCAAGATTTTGAAAGTTACATTTTGGGCTAAGTTGTAAAAGTTAGATTTTCTGGCAAAGCTATTTCCTCCCATGCTCTCCTTTCCTCCTTTCCAGCCTCATTTTTACATAGATTTATAGCTTGGTTTTTTCTTTTCTAATGTTTCTATGATTTGTACCCATGTATGGGAGGGATTTTTTGTCTGTTTTCAACCACCTCAAATATTTCTTCTAAGTGTGGGAGTAGTACAAATAAATTTTTAAGCTCATTGGATTTATAAATCATAAGAGTATTCATTATAACAAAACAGAGGTACATAATGTTTTCATCTTTCCCCTTTCCTCTTCGATCCCATTTTCTTTCCTTCTTCAAAATGTTAATATTTGGGCTGGATCCTGCTTTGATCTCTGCTCACACACACAAACACACATTACTTGGCGCCCACACATGCACACACACACACCTTTCAATTTCTCTCCTGTATTTAAAACCCTCCTGACAGCTGAATTTTCTGTTGTTCCTAGAGCATGAACAGCACACTGCCAACTCCAATCAGCATTGCAACATATATTTTTTTAGAAGATCCAAACAGAACTTGTGTTCATTCATTTATCCATCCATTCATCAAATATTTACTAGCCAATTAAAATGTGCCAGGAACTTTCTAGTCGCTGGGGAATCAATGGAGAACAAAACATGGGAATCCTGCTCGCAAGAAACCATTTTATTGGAGTTCTAAATAGGCCACAAAAATAAGGAAAGAAGCAGAATAATTTCATTTCATATACTCTGGCTCTCTTCCTCCTTGGAATTGGGGCAAACCACAATTTTAGAATATCTGAGGTAGAAATAGGAGCAGATTTAAGGTACAGTTTATATGCGAGTGTAAATGTTTAAGAACTGCCAGAGACTTCTGAGAGAAAGCCCAGAGAAGGAGGGCTTGCTGTAAGCGCTGGGATCAGCAGTACATAAATCAACCCAAACTCCTGCCCTCCTGCAACTTACACACTGATGAGAGAAAAAATAATAATAAACAAGAAGCAATATTTTAAAGCAGAGGGTCACAAATTATGGCTTGAGGGCAGAATTTGGTTGGACACTTGTTTTTACTAATAAAAATTCTATTGGAACACAGCCACACCCACCGGCTTCTGTTTTTTTGATGGCCATTTTCAAAAGCAGAGTTAAGTAACTAAGACAGAGACCTATGACCCACAAAGCCTATACCATATACTATAGCCCTTTACAGAAAATGTTTGCCAACTCTGACTTACAGACACATTATTATAAACACATGTAGAAAAAAACAGAGATACACACAATTTCTCATCATGTTCTTCTAGTTCCCCTCCTGTGGTCACTGTCCTGCCTCTGGTTCCTCCAGGAGCCCAGTGGGAGCAAGAGCGGGAGTGTGGGGTAGATAGAGAAAGTGGCACAAAGAGATCTTGTACGACTGGTACAGCTGGAACTTATTTGTGGAATGGTTAATCATGCCGCTTTATTGTATGTATTTCAATTTTATTATTTTTCACTTGTTCCCCGAAATGATTATATCACAAAGAGCTGAATTCTATAAATCAAAGAAAAATGGCCTAATTAAAGGCATTGTGTGGATAGGCAGACTTAAAACACTGAGAATTAAAATGAGTGGGGATCCCCTGTTGTGGCAGTTGGAAAAGCTGACAGAATAAACAGTTGAGGCAGCCAAAATGAGAGAATGTCTGTTTCACATTTGGTTTAATCTCCCTTTTGTAGAGGGTGCTTTCAGAGATCTCTGCCAGGACCTTCCTTGTTTGAAAAAGCTGCCAGAGACACAGTAGTGATGGGGAAACAACGGAAACCGCCGCCAGCAGATCTGGGATGTAACTGCACATTTATTCCTTGCTGGCTCAATGAGCCTGAGTAGGTTATTTCACTTCCTTAAGACAGGGATCTGTGAGTGAAAAAATCTGGATAATGGTGCCTATCAGAAAAGTGTGGCTGTGAGCATTACCTAAGATAGTGGTCTCAACTAGGAGTGAATTTGCTCCTGAGGGAACATCTGGCAACGTATGAGACAATTTTGGTTGTCATGACTGGGAGGGACTGTGGTTGCATCTGGTAATCAGAAGTCAGGGACACTGCTAAATATTCTTCAATAAAGAAGACACACCCTCATAGCAAAGAATAATTCAGCCAAAAATGTCAACAGTGCCAGTGTTGAGAAATCCAGATATAAGCTGCTATCCACTAAAAGTCCTCAGCACTATCTCTGGTACTCAGTAGATACTTGGTTCATATTCCACCCTCTCTTAACTCTAATTATGCTAATCAGTAAGAGATGGCTGTGCATATTTATTCATTCATTCAACAAATATTTACTAAGAACCTGTACCAATTACTGCATGAGTCCCTGGCTCTACCTCCATAAAAGGTACAGAATGAAAGACAAATATTTAACCTCAGAAATAATGCAGAATATTGTACCAGACTTTACACGAGAAAGAGGAAAAAGAAGTAGATTTCTTTAGAAAAGATAAGCCTCAAATAACTGTTAGTCTTGATGGAAAGGCTTAAATATTTGGAGACAGGTAGGAGGATGCTGTTGGAAGGAGGTAATGTGTTTAAGTCGCATTTTAAACTCTCTTCCACAACACATGTAAGGTGTTATCCTCTTTGAAGGATTCCTTTTGCTCCCTCAACAGCTAATGCAAGAGATATACCAAGCTGAGCAGCAAGAAAAGACAGGTCTTAATGAATATCCACTTGGCTTTACAAGAAAGAAAAAACATCCTTCAACGATTAAACACCTGGTTTCATTTAACATGCACACTCCTCAGGGAGGCAAGTGAGAGGGTAAACTCTGAGAATTATAAAGGTTCAAGCCCTAGCTCCCTGACTTATTTGGTGTAGGACCCTGGGCAAACCGTTGAACTACTACAAGCCTCAGCATTCTTATCTGTTCAATGGGAATAAAAAGTGACTACACCTCGCAAGCTTTTGTGAGGATCCTATAAAGTACCCAGCGTGTAGTCACCTAATACATTCAAGCCACTACTATTGTTACTGGAATATATTTACCTAGCCTTAACAATTTAATCCAATAGGTCCTCTCTTCTGTCAGTTATGAATCAACATTTATTTACCTTGCACTTTTTACAACACAGACCATCACTGCATTGAGAGTCTTGAGTCAAGGTGCATTTCTTACAACACTCTGCTCCTTCAAGGACACATTCCTAAGGAATAGAAATATTTGCATAATGTCAGAAAATGGTGTAATTTTCCTGAAAGTACCAAAGTGTTTTCTAAAATAAATGTACAACCTCACAATGATAATCTTTCTTCCACAAATCTTATAAAATTTCCAGGTGTAACTTCTGCCCTGTATGTCTGTCTCAGTGTGTAGACCTGGAATGACCCTGAATAACTAAAAAAAAATAATCAAAACACCCAGACACTTACTGTCGGGGTCCCACAGTCACACTCCTCTCCAGTTTCAATGAAGCCATTACCACACTCAGGAGGATCCAGAAGCTATTGGATGAAAACCAAAAAGGGAGTTAAAATATAGACAAATCAACATCAAAGACCGTACAAGAGACCCTAAGTGCCACACCTATGCTTCTGGCTTATCTGTCAGTTATTCCAAAATATATTTTTATTTCCCTACACAGAAAGCATGACTTTCTGTAACTTTAGAACTGGGAACTTTAGGATAGAAGTGTCTAATACTGTTTCTATGTCAGATTTCATCATATTTACATATCTAACATACATATCAAGTAGTCTGATAAATGCCATCAAAATAAAAGATGATCTAGCCATTGACTAAAACCAAGCCAGGTTGACTCCTGAAATTTCATTTCCTTCAAACAGAAAGCAAGAGATTTAGAGTCAGAATGTCTGGATTCAAGTCTTGGCTCAGCTACTTATCGTGGGCAAACCACTTGCGATCTCGGAGCCCAAGAGTCTTAGTGATTAAAACAGGAATAATACCAGCTGTCCCTCTACATCACAAATTGTTGTGAGGATGTAGGTAAATTATCTATGAAAAGCCCTTTATTAATTATATTTCCCTATGCAACAGAAACTCATTTCACCGACAACAAAGAAAACATCACAAAATAATAAACCCACTGACTTATTTAATACAAAATATGGCTTCCTTTATTAACATAGTTCTGCAGGGAACAGCAATAAGCAGTTTTGCCCTGTACAAGAGTATATTTTAAGACTGTTTAATTTTTAACCCTTCATCAATATTATCTTTTCAGTATAGTTTATTTTATGATTATAGGTAAAATCAGGAAATATAATTGCTATATTCTAAACATACGATATTCATTCAAAAAATCAAAGTCTGCACATTACAGAATGGAAGTGAATACAAGCCTGCACGTACACACATACTGCTTTCTTAAAACCAACTAGAAAGCAACGACCACAAAAAAGAATCCCTACCTAATTTCACATACTCTCTCCCCTCCAACAAAAGAATCATTTCATTTCAGTTGAAAGGTTTCATTTTCAGTTGAAAGGGATCATTAATGAATGAGACAGCTTTGAAAGCCAAAACTAAAACTTATCCAGATGAAAAATACTCTTATTCTCTTACTCTGGGTTCTGAATAATAAGTTATTTTGGTAAAAAGACTTGAATTTTTTTCCTTTATAGGAGCAGGAATTTAGTTCAGTTATCATTTCTAAAACTTTTGGACTTAAAATCATTTCAGTGCCATGTGATAGATTTCCTAAATTTCCCTGGAGTGAACAGAGAATGAAACCCGGTAAATGATTACAAAGGCAATACCACATACGGTGTGGCACACAGAAGCACATCACAGTTGACCTAATTAACTAGGACAAAGGTTCTTGAACATGCAGCGTTCCAAATGCATGAGGAAGACCTGCTTTCCAGTCAGTTAGAAATCGAAGTATGTTCTGCAAGTTACAGAAGCCCCTGACAAAGTCAGAGTCCAGAAAGGTTTCCGTCTTCTCTTCCTTAAGCAAACTTGGTTTTCATGTTGAGAAGTACTTACAATTGTAATCATACTGCTTATTCTGAAAGGCAGTGGTAGGGAGTAATGAGGTAGCTATGCCCCCCTTTCTACCAGTATGAGTTGTGATTAGCTCTCCAGAGGGTGATGAAGGAAACTCATCAAGAAAATGAAAAAGAAAAGACAAAATAGAAGCATTTTTGTAAGCTAATGTTGAATCATTATTTGGCCATATGAAAAGAAAATAAAAATTTTTCAGAAAGCAAACATTCTTTTTCTACCTGCTTTCTATTCCCATCAGAGAAAGCCCCAAATGCTCAAAGATTAAAGTTGACTTTGAAAATACAAATACTTGGTAAATAGAGAATATGTACACATAAGCCAAATTGAAAAAGCTCTCTTTTATGAGACCCAATGGCCGAATAATTTGTGTTAATTATACTTTAAAAAGACTAATAATTAATAACTCTGATCACACTTATTACCTTGGAAGGTTTGTTGAAAAGACAAGCGCCACCCCCACTATTCAAGAAGTCATGGTACTCTTCAATATTACACTGGGTGAACTTCTTAGGAAGATAATAGCTATAAGACAGAGGAAAATTAATAGCTGAGTACAGGTTCTGTCCACTATGTATATTATTCTTAAAATTGAATATTGTTAAAATTATACATTTTTTCAAAAACAAAAAATAAATTCCATTTATATACGTATGCATTTAATCCCTAAGAATTGTAGTCAATCAGTATATTTCTAAATTCTTTATTTGGTGACTGACATTGATGATGGATGGGTTATTCATTATTTGTAAACATACTCAAAGGAAACACACATGCACACATACCTGTAATTTCCAAGAAAATAATAATTTATTTCATAATAACTCTTTCCTAAATATTACAGTTGGACTGGAACCCAAGCTGCAAAGCATTCTACAAAACAACTGACTAACAATCGACAAATGTGTCAAGGTCATGAAAGATAAAGGCAGACAGGGGCTGTTCCAGACAGAAGGAGGCCAAAGAGACATGAAAACATGATGCCTGACTCTGAACCTTTGCTAAAAGGACATTTTTGACACACAGAGCCAGTGTTGAATGAGGGCCAAGAATTAAATGATTTTATTGGTTGCATTGTGTTTCTGTAGGAGGATGGCCTTGTTTGCAGAAGTGTACACTATGGTGTTTGGCAGCGATGGAGCACCAAGTTAGCAACTTATGATTCAAGGACAAAAAGGTTCTTCGTTACTGTCCTTGCAACCTTTTAAGTTTCAGATTGTTTCATAACACAAAAGAATGTATACCAAATAAAGTAAAGGGTCACTAGAAAAAGAAACGGCTATACATTAAGAATCCTCAAAATGAGAAATATCTTCAAATCTAGTAATTGCTTTAGAAATTTTTCTTATTAGCTATGTATACAAGTAGTTCTGAACAGACATTTATGGTAGCACAATTTATAATAGCAAATAACATGAAAATAACCTGTGTTCAACAGTAAGAAAACTGTTAACTAAACTGTGATATATTAATGAAATAGAATACCATGTAGTTATTAATAATCATGGTGTTCAAGAGTAAAGACTCAGAAAAATGACTATATCATGTTAAGTAAAAAATGAATACATGGCTATATATCCAACAGGGCTCAGATTTCATAAAATAACAATAAAAATGGAAAGAAAAAAACACTGGATTTAAACATTACTTTTACATTGTTTATTGTAACATTAACTGTAGTTAACCATGATGGTAAGAGAAAAAGTGATAAAAATTTTACTTTCTACATTTTTCAGAAATTGCTTCCCACTGAGCTTTTATTATAGTAAAAATACAATTAAGATGATAATAATTTTTATAAAGTCTCGCCCACTACCCTGCAAGGACTATGTTCATTTATATCCCTCCTTCTTACTAGTGGTTAGCATAGCCACTAGCATAGTGGTTAGCATAGTGGTTAATACTTTATAAATAAATTAATGGAATTTACACTGATGATTTACCCTAAACTTATTTTTCAAGTGTTTCGCGTCAAACTCCAAAATAAAGCTGTTTTCCTGAACTATTTTTTCCTGAACTATCTTAATTCCTTCACTTCACTTTTCTAACAAGTCATATACTTTATTCTTTATTTAAAATTTTTCACACATATATTACTTCTTTTTCTTTTTTTAATTGCATGAAATTTATTGGGGTGACACTGGCTAATAAAATTATACAGGTTTCAAGCGTACAATTCTATAATACATCACCTACAGATTACATTGTGTGTTCACCACTCAAAGTTAAATCTCCTTCTGTCACCATATATTTGAACCCCCTTTACCCTTTTCTATCTCTCCCCACCCTCCTTTCCCTCTGGTATTCACTGTATTGTTGTCTGTGTCTAGGAGTTTTTGTTTGCTTGTCTTGTTTGTTCAAAGCACGTCAGGATGGCCAAGTGGTCTAAGGTGCCAGATTTCAAGCTCTGCTTCCCTTTTAGCAATGTCTACACCCTGGCCATTGTTTTTTTATCACCAAACCCACTAATCTGTCCTGCATATCTTTGCCAAAATTATAAAATTTAAATAGGGTTTTCCTTGAGTTTCCTCTTTATTCTAAGAGTCAAAACCTGAGATGACTCCTGCTGCCAAAGAAGAAAGTCACTAATTCTTCGGGTTGAGCCCTCAGAAGCCAAAGCCTAGCTCAGCCCTTGCCCTGCAAAGGGCCCTCCAGAATCTCCGCGGGGCCCAGCCTCCTGCCCACTGCACAGCTCGGGGCTCAGTGTGCTCTCTGACAATGACAGGAAACTCTTCCCTCTCAGAGAAGGTTTGTTGTTTTTTTTTTTATATGAACAATTTAAATTTATAGCTTCCTCTGCCTTCACTGTGCCACATCTGACTTCCTACAGTTAAAATCTGTGTTGTTAACTGTATCAGGTAAGACTAATTCCTCTACCACACAATGGCCCTTCAAATACCTGAAATTAGATAGCATGTCTCTCCCTCGGTTCTGCCCCACACCTTCCTGTTTGCAGGGTAACATATCTATTGTTTTCAATGCATTCTTAAAATTTTAATTTTTACACCTTTAAGTAGAAAAGTATTCAATTCAAAAACATTTTCCAACATTTAGCATTACAGAGGAACTTCCAAAAGGAGAAATGGGAATGTACCCATAGAAAATATACATCCAAAATTAGTGCTGTTAGACGATGTTTGGCACAAACCAAATTATATATAGCATCATACCAGACAATGTTTTATGCAACGAGCTTTTCTCTTACGTACGTCTATTTGATGTAAAAAGAGTTCAAGGCAAAGAGGCAAATATCCGAGCATTGCCATTTGATGTTGCCATCTGTTATGCTTAGTGCTCGGCAGACTGTCTATAAAATTTTGTGTTTAATAGTTAATGAGAATAATCAAGTACAATATATTAAAGAACTTTTAAAAGAAAAGAAACTCTAGCATAAAATTTAATTGTTTAAAAATTACAACTATAGAAAAGTACCTTTATAATTTCCTCTTATTACTAAACAAGGCCAAAACAATGTTCTCAATTACAGTTTACATTCAATATAATTTTGTATTGGGTTCAGGTGTGCAGCATAGTGGTTAGACAATCATATACTTTACAAAGTGGTCCCTCCGATATTTCAAGTTCCCACGTGGCACCATACATAGTTATTACAATATTGACTATATTCCCTCTGCTGTACTTTACATCCCTCTGACTATCCTGTAACTACCAATTTGTACTTCTTAAGCCCCTTGCCTTTTTCACTCAGCCCCCCAACTCACCTCCCCTCTGGCAACCATCAGTCTGTTCTCTGCATCTACAAGTATGTTTTTGTTTTGTTTCATTTGGTTTTTTTGTTTGATTTTTAAAGATTGTATTTATTTATTTTTAGAGAGAGGGAAAGAGAGGGAGAGAAACATCAATGTGTGGTTGCCTTTTGCACCCCCTACTGGGGACCTGGCCTGCAACTCAGGCATGTGCCCTGACTGGGAGTCAAACCAGCAACCCTTTGGCTCCCAGTCCACTGAGCCACACCAGCCAGGGCTGTTTTACTGTTTACTTTGTTCTTTAGGTTGCACTTATAGGTGAAATCATATGGTATTTGTCTTTATCTCTCTGATCCAAAGATATTTTTAAAAAATATTTTAAGTATATATCTGCATGTACATTCCTTCCATCATTTATTTTCCTTGTCATCCATATGTTGGAAATTCAAAGTTCAAATACAACCAATAAATATTTCTTGAATATTTTCTGTATGAGATATTATGGTGAGAGGTCTGACAAAAACATGATTAGTGTAAAATGTAATCCTCAACAATTTACAACTGATTGGTAAAGGGAAGAACAGCACTTGCAGAATTAAATTATAATATGGGACTTAAAAATTATAATAAGTCTCAAGAGGCTGGAAATGTGGTTAAAGAAAAATGAGAATTCTAGATGAAGAGAATATATTAAAGAAATCAAAAGAGTCTGAAAATTCATGTACAATTATGGTGAGCAAATTTTTAAGAAGCTGAAAATCCATGTGGGATTATGATTAGCAAATCAAAGAAAGCTGGAAGTCCATGAATAATTATGGTTAGCAAACCGATCATGAATAATAGTGGAAAATGAGATTGCAAATGAGGATGAATAAAGATTATGGACATCTAAATATTGGCGGAAGGAATTTGAACCTTATCTTTTCGACAATAGAGACTCAACAATTAAGTTCTGAGCAGGGAAATGATAGGACTCATGTGTTTGACCCATTAATCTAGGTGCATTAAGAAGATAATAGAGAAATTGTGCTGAATACAGTCAATGAACTAGAGCTACATTTTGTCAGCATGGATGAATCTTAACACAGTTCATCAAAATAAGCAAGTCACGAAAGAATACATATAGTATGATGCCTTTCATAGAAACTGAAATGCAAAGCAATGATGTGTATTACTTCAACAAAAATGCACACACACATATATAATAAAGTATAAAAAGGAATTTGTGAATGATGTGAACCAAATTCAATGTGGTGGTTACCTTGGCTGAGTCTGAGGCTAATAGAAAAGAATATACAAGGGGTGTTTGACTACATAGGCAGTTTAATTTTTTTTTTACATCTGTATGAATAGTTTACAAGTGTTCACTCTTTCATTCTTTATACCTTTTCAATTATGATGGAAGTGGAGTTCAGGAAGGAAGAGAGGGAGCCTGTAAGCTGGATGAATATCTGGAATGTTATTGAAATAAGAGCACAAGATTGATAAAAGTTTAAAATAAGGTGGTAGTGATAAGATTGGCATAAAAGGAATGGTTGTAAAATTTATTTAGAAAGAATAAAAAGTTAGTGCCTGATAGTGTGTGAAGGGTAGGCCAGTATAAAAACAAAAACCTTTCTCAGGAAGGCAACTGAGTGCAACTCTTCCCACTCCTTGCTCAGTGATGCACCACTGTAGCTTGAAATCGGCCATTGCTGTATTTATGCCATAGGCTTCTACATATGGTGGAAGGCTGCTAGAAATCTGAGAAGCTACAAATCTGGGCTCTTTTCTTGTTCTTGTTTTTGAGTCAGCTTATCAGAACAGTACTGTTTGTAACCCATTTAATAAGAATTGAAGAAGATAAAAGAAATAGGAATTAGTATATAAGCCATCAAGAGCAAAGTTGTTCCTCATTTCCAGCCTAGACTCAAGGTTAAAAACATCTTTGATCTTCTAGCTTAACTGACATCAATTGTTTTCATATATAAGAAACTATTTTATGAAAATATTTTACATGCAAAGCCAGTGAGAAAATCTACTTCTGATTGTCTCTTAAATGTCTGTGGTGGAGAGATTCCATGCACCAGTTACTGAATGTCACATTCCTAAGAAGACAGTATAGCACAGCAGAGAGGAAAAGTGAGTCATTTTCAAATGCAAGTGGCTCACCCAGTGTCTCCCATTATGCATCCAGACCACGTGTCCTCACATTTACACTCACCTAAGAGAAAATGAATACAAACACCGTATTACAAAGTAAAAACAGGTGTGTTATAGTAGTTCCAATTTTAAAAAGTATATCTTAATCTTATTCTTTATATAACTTTAAAAAAAGTAATGCCCACTTTCCAGTTTCCCTTAGGTTTGAAGTTTCTATGCAATTCATAACAACAAAAATCTACCGGCCCTCTCAAGATTACATAATTCTTACTAAAATCTTTTGATAAATATTTTAACAAGTGGCCCTATTTTTAAAGAATTTACTTAAAATACAATGAAATAGCAATGACCAGTCCAAATTTCACCAGTGACTTTTCTGGAGAACATAATACTTTCATATAATTAAACCAGTCTTTTGCATAATAGTAAAATAATAATAAATGCGTAAATTGTTTGGAACTTGTTTATCTTTGTGTGTCCACTTGTACTCCTGAAATTTCCCCACACTAAAGAGCATGTGGCTATAATGACACACCACTAGAGGGCTCTGGTTTCATAGGCCTTTATAAGAATTCTTGCAATTTCCTGTTCATTTTTAAAAGTCTCTGCAGCAAGGCTGCTGGTTCAAGGCAGTAGGGTATATTGGTTAAACAGAGGTCTTCAGAATCAGGAATACCCAGGTTCAAAACTTGGGCTTGCCATTTGACATAAACTCATGTAATCTTGAGACATTAACCTTTTAAGATCTAGTCACCTTATCTGTAAAATGGGGCTAATAATCTTACAGGGCTATTGGAGGATTAAAAGCACTCAATTATTTGAATTATTATTATTAATATGAATTACCATATTTATAATTTTTCTTATTAAAATAATAAAATAAATATGGTTATAATTAACTTACTCATAATACGTAGTATTTGACTATTCCTGGTGAAGTAACTTGGGAAAATATATTCCTCACAGATGCTAAACCCAACATATTTTACTAGACCCACATTTTACTAAGCCCTATATCAGCTCTGCTCTTACCTCAAAGGCAAATTCTCTGTGGCCATACTAGGAGATATTTTAAATAAACATTAAAAAACAGTATGCTTATCTATATGCCTAGGATTCTTTATTAAACCATTTAAATTACCTCACTGAGCTTATTTTGTCCTTTTTAAGGTTAAATTCAACTATGAATTTATCATCATATAGCTTTAAATGTTTATAACACATGGAGAAATTTTCATCTGTAATATAAATAAATATTACCTCGTATTACTTTTGAAAGAAATACTTGTGACTTGGCTGTTCATCTTATATCATCATCCAAACTCTTTTTATCAAGCCACTGAATTAAATAATCTCATTATTCAAAATATTTTACAGATAGTCTATTGGAAATACAACTAAACCACATGTACTTAAACTTACCACTTGCTAACTTTCTTTTGTCTGAGATAATACCAATATTATGGGCTAATGACTGGGCAAGTGTAACTGCCATTAAATCAGTTTTCCCAAACTGAAAAACAGGAAAAAAAAAATACATGTAAATGCAAATTATTTTTTATTTAAGATGGGCCAGAGAGAAAGTCAAAGCATAATTGAAAATAAGTAATTTCTAAGCATTTTACTTAGCAGAGATAAAACACTTAATAGTTAGTACTCAACTACTGAGCATTTGGGAAGAGGTAGTAAGAAATAAATCCATGTTCAATTAAGTCTTATAGAGAAAACTAGAAGCCAGGGAATCATTACTTTTTGTTTTGGAAACTTAAATCTAATGCTGAGTCCAAATTTCACCAGTGACTTTTCTGGAGAACATAATACTTTCATATAATTAAACCAGTCTTTTTGCATAATAGTAAAATAATAATAAATGCATAAATTGTTTGGAACTTGTTCATCTTTGTGTGTCCACTTGTACTCCTGAAATTTCCCCACACTAAAGAGCATGTGGCCTCAGAAAACACACGCTAAGTAACAGGATGTGGTGATGATCCTTGGCCAAAAGAAATTTGAGAAGACCTAGGGATATCTTTTTCAATATATAGCCTCCCAGAGATTGAAGTATTTTCCTTTTAGATCACTTCCATCAGGTTTAGTGCCTTAGCAATAGAAGAAACCCTTTGAAAACCCTGTTCTATTTTTTTTCTCCAAAAATTTGCAAAGGATCAAAGAAGGAAGAAAATTTCCAATTGGGTTTTTTGGTAGTAAGCCAAACAATTCAGGGAATTACCCAGTTCTCTGGAAAAATCAACCAAAGTAATAAATAGGGCCTTACTGTCCATGAAGGTAAAAGTAAATATTTTCTCTATATAATTTGTAAATAATTAAATCTGGAAATCATCCTAAGTAGAACATGAACAGAATTATCAGCTATTTTCTTCTATTATTTCCCTACTCTGTCCTCTGGTCACTTATAGTAACCACATTGGTTATTAATAAAACAACCTAACATGTGGAGAAAGTGAAATACTGAGAAGTTATCTCTTAAGTATTAGGAAAACATTTTCAGCCATCATACCACTTTGTACTGCACAGATGTTCACACCTACTTCATTCACGCCTCCTCCTTTCAGCAACGAGCAAATCCCACCAATATAAGCTGCCCCGCTCCGGCTACTCTCAAATTGACTTCCCCTTTCAGAAAAGGAAATGAAAAATACTTACTGTTCACAGTTCAAATATCATAACATCTCTCATTATTAATTTACCACACTTATTTTCTCAATGCACATAACATTTGTATACTATATATTCCTGAAGCAAGGAAGGCAAATGAAAATTGTTTATACACATAACAAAAGAAAAAGGTTTCTGAGAGATGTTTCCCATATAATCACTAAATATCTTCAGGAGAACTATATCTATTAAAAAAGAATTACTGATATGATGTACTCTAAGAAGGATACAAAATCACTACTGTGGTATTTCTGCCAAAAATGCGTAACTTGAATCTCATAATGAGAAAATATCAGTCCCACAATGAAGGACGTTCTATATAATAACTGGCCTATACTTTTCAAAAACTGTTAAGTTTAAAATAAAGAAAGGCTGAGGAAATCTTTTAGGTTAAAGAAGACTAAAGATACATGACAGTGAATGCAATGTGTGATCCTGCATTGCATCCTTGATTTGAGACAGGGGAAGAATTAGCTATAAAATTGTATTGAGACATTGGTTAAATTTGAATATAGACTACAGATTTGATAAAGTATTATATCAATGCTAAATGATCTGGTTTTAATAATTTACTATAGCTATATAAGATGTCTTAAGTATTTAGTAGTAAAGACCCAGTAAGTAAATGTCTCCAAGTTCCTCTCCAATGGTTCAGGAAAAAACAAAATAGATAGATGGAGGAAAGGAAGAAAAGGGGGTAAGAAGGATGACAGAAAAGAAATCATGAAACAAATGGGGCAAAATATAACCAATTGATGAATCTGGGTGAAAGACATAGGGTATTACGTTGCAGTATTCTTGCAATATTTTTGTAAGTTTGAAAGTACATAAAAATAAAAAGTTATCTCTAAAATACACTCTTTTACTTCCATTTATAACTTTCTTCAACAAAAGCTCTGACTTCAGATGATAGGTTTTTAAAGTGCTATTACTTATAACTTGCTATTATATCAAGAATGCATGTTACCAAAAAAAAGCCTATAAGAGTGAGGAAAATAAAAGATAAACTCTGGAAATAGTACTAAGCTTTCAACTTAAATCAGAAACAAAGAAAACATTAACATTTAAAAGACAGCAACTTTAAAAAGTACAACTAATCAGTTAAAAATATTCGTAATGAGCATTAACAATATTTTCACTTAGTAAATGCTTTGATTAAATCTCTTGAAAATTTAAATGAAATATACAGGGTCCCGCAGAAGTAAGGCTTACTTGAGTGTGGTTGGTAGGGTATGTGAATATCTCGCAGGAGATGGACAGCAATTTGAACATTTCACCTAAAATGCCTTATGGTGTGCTTGAGTGTGATATTATGTTACAGAATTACATGCTTATGATTTTGTAGTAAAAGATTTTGTAATAAAAAAGAGGGGCTATTTGTGCTGGACCCTGTACATGCAACAATAAAATAACTCAAAATTAAAGCTTTTAAGTTTTCATGTCAATTTCAAACAATTTTTACTTTAAAACTTCTTCCAGATCTATCTTCTCTGTCAAATCCTAATTGTGTTACATAGCATAAAGGATACATCTCATACATCTCAGCCACAAGTCACAAAGCATTCAACGTAGAACCATAAAAAGTAAAAAATCATTACAAAAGTTACGTACGAAAAAAGGTGAACTGCATCACTTTTCTCTTTGATAAAATCCCTTCTGTATTTCATAAACTCACGTAAGGTGATCAATGGATTTTCAGATATGGCAAACTTGTTGTCAGCTGCCCAGGTTTCCATGGCAACCAACACTATCCTTGTTTTAAGTTGGTCTTTGTATATCTAGTATATAAGAAAATGAACACACCAGCTGTACATGTGGTAAAGTCAAATGTTTTATGAACAGAATTACAAAGCTCCTTTTTTTGGAAACAACTTGTTTTAGTTAATTTTAAAATTTTCACTTTTTAAGAAAGATAATTATTTTTCTCATTTACATGCATTTCCCTTGAGTAACAGAGAAGCAACTGTCTACTGAGTAACATCCAAAGAACAGCACTAGTTAGAAACAAAAGCCCACATTTTGACCCTTATTCAAGGCTCTCCCTGGGTCCATCTTCTGGCACCCAGACAAAGAATTCATACATTCTTGAGTTCTCTTAGCAAAAATGGAACAATGAAGACTCTCCAAGGAAATCATTTCTATACAACCTGACTGTCCCTGATTAAATTCCTGAAGAAGGTGCTGGCACTGCCTAGTCAGAGGAAGATGTGGAAAGCAGGTACAGCTGGATTACTTAGTTGCATTATTCCCATAGCACCAGGCACCCTCTTCAGAAAGGCAACTCTTACACCGCTTTCCACTGGTGGAAGCACATGGTGAGTGTCTTTGTTAGGGTTTATGACCCAACCTTTTCTTTTCCAATGTGAAAAATACAGGAAGGAACATCAGGCATAAATCTGTGAGTAATTTTGGCCACTTCCTTTTATCGTCTTCCCAGCCAGATATCAGAGTCAATAGAGTCAACTGGAGGGTGGCCAGGGATATACGGGACATCTTGGCTAAAGTGTAACTTAGAGTAGTGAAAATACAAGAACCATATTGTGTGCTCTATTAATAATCAAGAGATAAAATTCCTCTATGGCAACATTGAATCAGGTTGATACTTACTAAATCCGCCATGTTCACCACAGACTTTGCATACGTATTGGTATGTACAACTGAAAGCCGATGTTTTTTAAACTGAAAGCAAAAACAAACAAACAAACAAGCAAGCAAGCAAACAATGTGAAGGGCTTTCAAAGTTGTCAACAAATAATCATCTCAACATAGAAAACATGGTGTTATTGAAAGATCTCTGAGGTTTTCTATTAAGAAAAATCTAAGAATTGAGATCTAGGCTTCTATATGCTGTGTAGTCTCAAAAAGGCTCTTAAAAATTGGAGGTCTCAGTTTATTCATCTGAGATAAAGGGAAAAATACCCATTCCATCCATTTCACAAGTTTATTTCTATCGCAAGATTGTTATTCAAAATGATTAAAACATATGAAAGTTACCTATGAACTACAAGACATACAAATATAAGTAGTGTAGAAGTCAGAAAAAGTGAATGTGAATACTGCTAAAAGTTTAAAAACGTGTAAGTTCTGTGAGACTTAGGAGAAAAAAGCCGCAAGGGTCACAAAGAGGTAGCGTCTAGGCTGGATATGGATCTTTTTGGGGGGCCTCAATGCTCTTTTAAAAATCAGATAATACCATGTAAAACCTGATTTCTGGCCTCACCGGAAACTAGCATCCTCACATGGTCATAACCGGTACCTGCCGAGAACCAGCCGCTCCCACCAGACAGGCCACGTGACTCCCCTTTCGCCACGGCCGCACACCTCTCTATTGTTTAATACCTGACTCACTTTATTTGTGTTAACTGCGTAAAGATGTCTGCAGACATCTGCATCTGTGACAGCCCTGAATGTCCAAAATTATGTTTTTGCAACTTATTCTTGTTATGTAAAAATCTCAGGGAATAGTAACATTCACTGAATTCGAAAAGGTAGAAAGATAAAACTTAGCCTTAGCCTGAACAAGAGAGAAGCACTCAAGCTTGTTTGCATTATCATTAAAAAGAATTTAAATTGATAGTATGTATTTAATCATGTGGAAATAAATGGCATTTTCCCTCAAATAAATCAAAGTAAATCCAAATGTACTTTCTCCTGAAATTAAGTAAAATCCAGCAGCATCCATCACTGAACACTATTAGTTCTCTAGTCTGGTTACGCAAAACAATTAGCATTATAACTTAGTGCCGTGCTGTGACTACAACCATATGACTACAATGGGCCCATGAACGGAATATACAACATGCCCATGAAATGAATACATACAACTGAATATAACAAAATCACTGACCCATCAAAACTGGAAGTTTCACTAGGTTCTTATCCTAATTTTTACTACTTGGCTACTATACACTTTTCCATATGGTTTATTGCACAGCAAGACAGAAATAGAAAGGTTGCTTTTATTTCATTTGGATTAACCTGAACATTGCAAACTCAAGTGTCACACTGTCGGTGTCTCACTTATTTTTTCAATATAAAGTGGAAGTTTTCATTTTTTTTAAACCTTGACATTTTAGTAACAGGAGATTTAGGCCCTATATTAGTCAAGTAAGAATTGACATTAATCAGGTAAGAGTTGACATTATGTGTCCCAGAAATATTTATGGAACATCACAAAATACTATTATTTTCACCTAAGGGTATTCCCTACTCGTAGGTTGTTGCTGGGTAACAAATATGCTTGGTTTTACAAATACCTTGTCCAGGTTACAGCTTTGTGGGCCTCTTTCTTCTAAACACATTGCTGCACTGACCAGTTTTGTTCAAGCTACAAACAAGTTCAAACAACAAAAAATTCAGCAAATCCTACCATGAGATGGTCGTTCACAATCATCAGTTCAATGTACTTGGTTTCCTCCTCTACATTTCGAGGACGTCGACGGAGCTGCAATATAGTAAAGGAAATGGCACCTAAATAGGTCCTCTGAACTTGGCTGTGAAAAACTAAAAAATATGTTATATATTAGATTCTCAGACTTTATTCATCTTAGAGTGGAAAGTTTGTGCCTTTTCACAAACTTCTCCCTATTTACCAGATCTCCTAGACCCTGGCAACCAATTTTCTCCTCTCCGTTTCTATCAGTGTGACATTTTTTGTTGTTTTTTTTTAGATTCAATTTAAAGATGATACCATGTAGTTTTGCATTTTGCACTTAAGGCTGAATAATATTCTACTGTATATATGCCACATTTTCTTGATCCATTTATCCATTAATGGGCACATTAATAATAATACTGTACTGTATTACTGAAATTTGCTAAGAAAGTAGAATTCCAATGTTCTTGCCAAAAGAAAGGTAAATATGTGAGGTGACAGATGTGTTAATTAACTCCATGGGGGAAATGCTTTCCAATGTACACTTAAATATTTTACAATTTTATTTTCAAGTATACCTCAATAAAGCTTGAAAAATTTAAATAAGAAAAACTAAACACATGGGGATAATAAACAACAGTTTTCCCATTTATTCATTATTTATTTTTTCATTTTCATCAATTTACTTAGATTTTGAGTAAACAAAAAAACTTACATGGTTCAGAAATTAAAGAATTCTAAAAAACTAGAGAATAAAAGTCTTCCTCTCACCTCTGTCCCCTATGTACCTAGTTTTTATCCTTCCCCAACAGCGGGTACAGCACAGTTACTGGTTTCTTTCAAAAATAGATATGCATATAAAATCAAAGAATACGTATTTCACTTTGTATTTCCACTTATTTCACAATCAGCGTATTTACATTTAACAATATATCTCAGAGATAGTAATAAAATAGTTTAATTTAAGCTCCTGAGAACCTCTGAGAGGTCTACAGGGAGAGGGATGATGGGCACTTTTATTCTCTAATCTCCAAATCTGGGATTGAGACGTGCCCCTTTCTCTGGTAGGGGCCAGGGGCTGCCCCCAATGACACAGGAGCTTCGTTAGGATAGTTTTGAGAGTTCCCAGGCAGTCTTGGGTTATCTAGAGCAGCTATATTTGTTTATTCAACAACAAATTTTCTCCACCTTCAAAATCATGACCAATGAATGCTACTGGTAGGAGCCACTAAGGCAGCCTGTACCCCTTTCTCCGCAGTTAGTCTATAACACAATCTTTCACAAGATCTGCAAAATTAACGTTTTTCTTTATGTCATGCTTTAATATACAGTTTTTCAATAAATCTTTTTGCTCACTTGCCCAACAGCCATTTTTGTGATAAGGGTATATAATCAAACCTAAATCAATAATGAATGTGTATTTTAGGTACTGCATTTAAAGCAAACTAAAAAATTTCTGCTGTGTGGATTTTGTTCATTGCTTACACATTCCCAAACTTTAAAAAATGTTTAAAAAAAAATCCCGTACAACAAGTTGATAGTGAATAATAGACTATAATTTGGGGTTTGGAAACCAAAAAGTAACATATACTGCATCTAATGACAAGAGTCTCTTTAAAAATGGATATTTTTAGGATGTCAGTCTCTGCTCTTTTAATATGGAAGAGACCTGAGCCTTACCAGTTAATACAGTAGACTCTTTAACTAGTTTCAACATTTTCTGAAGGTCAGAGAGTAGCCAATATTGGCCACACGGTTCTATAAGACTTCATCTCCCTGAGTCCACTGGCTTCGCAGAAAGAGAAATCAAGCGTTTGTCTGCTTAGCATATGACTGGATGTTGCAAATGTGTATGAAAGCCATCAAAAATTATGTCAACAGAAAATTATCCTATCCTCTCAGGTATTAACTCATGAAAATAATTCCTGTTTCAAATTAAATCCTGATGGCAATTATTTTTATTTAATTGGGCCTCAATATGTAAGTATATTCACAAAATATATAAAGCTCATGGTAGTAACTGACAGAACACAGGACTTCTGAGAGGCAGTATGTTAAACATATGTTGTTATAAGAACTTCCCTGAGGCCAAGCTTTCTAGGTCAGAATCCCAGATCCACCACCGTGTAACCCCATGAAACCATGAGCAAATCACTTAAACCTATTATACTTCAATGTCCTTGTTAGTAAAATGGGGATAATAATAATACTTTCCTCATAAGATTATGAGGATTAAATGTGTACTATACAATTAAAATTCTTAGGGCAGGGCCAGGTACACAGTAAGTACTCAATAAAATTTAGTAATTATTATTCACAGATTAGAAATCCGTCTATAAACATAGTTTATTTCATACTTATTAAACATATTATTTTTTAAAAGAATACCCATTTCCTGAAATTGCTTGACCTTACTACACACCCCCCCCCCGCCCCCCCGCCCCAAACCACCACCGCAATGGTGATGATAGCTTAATTCTGATGGCCACAGTTCATGTTGTCTGAACCATTTACCAGGTCCATAATTCTACACAGGTCATTTTTCACATTTCAGAGCCATCGTTTTTTTTCTGGGTAAGAGGAATAATAGGACCTACTTCATGTGGTTTAAAGTGTTATACAAATAGTTATTATTATTACTAAATCCAAGGTCCATTGAACATTCATAAAGTGGACACCCTAATTTTATATTCCAGACTCCAAAGTAGCTCAAGGGTGACATTAGCATTTGTGGCTTCAAAACCTGAGGGGCTCACTCATAAGGGGGTGTCTTTAGAAGGATAAACACAAGGTTTCGCACCATACAAGTAGATTCCGTGATGTGGGGCATACCAGGCAAGGAAAGAAGCCCATGTTACCAAGAACATGGCCCCACAACAGAGGCCCCATAATCCATCTGTATGATGAGTAACCATATTATCACCACTATCTTGAATCCTCACTGAGTCTATGAAATAATATAGCCCCATCTCCACTGCTAATGACAGATCCATCACGCTTACTGTTTGCCACACCCTGACAAATGTCTTAACTAACACACTCTCACAGAGACTTAATGTAGATTCAATTAACTGGCAGTTCCCAAGTTTTTTAAAACATCATGGTATATACCTGTGAATACATACCTGCCGCTTAGTCCTTTTGGGTCTTGGCTTCAAAATAAATTTTGGTGAAGTGATGCTTACTTGTTGGAATTCTAAAAGAAAATAAAAAATAAATTTAACTCAGTGAAATTTCTAGGTTTCTTTCATACAAGGCAAAGTTGTATTAGCCCTTCCTAGAATAAGCTTTGTATTTATACTTTAATTATTAATTAATAATTGTAATTATTAAGTAATTATAAATTATAATCATATAACTATATGGTCATTATGAATTTTATAATATATAATGCTGCACTTAATGATAATGCAGAATATTAATCAAAGCAATTTTGTTCATATTAATACTGAATAAATATATCATGAATTAATACAATTCAAAAAATCTCAACTATTACTTCTCTTCTAAGTTATCACAAAGTTTTTCTCATATTTCTCCTATAAAACCATCACATTCTTTATTGGAATCTTCAAAATAGTCAACTAGACCTTCACAGTCACTACAGACTTTCATTAAAGAATGGCACACCAAATATTGATGAAGATGCAGAGTAATTAATTCTCGGACAGTGCTGATAAGAGTGTAAAATGGTATAACCACTTTGGAAAAGGGTCCAGCAATTTCTTATACAAAAGTAGTTCTCAAAGTGTGATCCCTGGACTAATGGCACCAGCATTACTTGGGAACTTGTAGGAAATGTAAATTCTCATAATCCTTCCAAGATGTACTATATCAGTAACTCTAGAAATTGGTGCAACCACCATGAAAAACACTGTAGAAGTTCCTCAAAAAAATTAAAAATATGCTCCAACGATCCCACTACCGGTTACACAGCCACAGAAATTCAAATCAGGATCTCAAAGAGACATCCGCACTCCCATCCTCACCGCAGCATTCCTCACAACAACCAAGACACAGAAGCAACCTAAATGCCCATTGATGGATGAATGGATAAGGAAAACGTGGTATGCATCTAAATGGGATATTATTCATCCTGCTATTTGTGATATCACAGATGAACCTGGCAGACATAATGTTAAATGAAATAAGCCAGACACAGAAGGATGAATACTACATGATACCACTTAAATGAGGAATCTTACACCATCAACCTCATAGAAGCATAAAGTGGAATGGTGGTTGCCAGGGGCTGGGAGAGGGGGAAATAGGGAGGTTTTCGAAGATACAAAGTTTCAATTTATAAGATGGGTAAGTCCTACTGATACACTGTGTAACAGTAGTTATAGTTAGTGCCTGTAGTTAACAATACTATAGTATATACTTGAAACTTCGCTAAGAGTGTAAATCTTATGTTAAATGTTCCTAACTAATAATAATAACAATAATAAAGAGAGAGCAGGAGGAAACTTTTGGCATTGATGGATATGTTTAGGCATAGATTTCTGGTAATAACTTCATGAATGTATATTTATCTCCAAACTCATCAAGCTGTATACATTAATTATGCACAGCCTTTTGTATGTCAATGACACTTCAATAGAGTTTTTTTAAAAAAGCTCCAGAGATGGGCGAGCAGTCTACGTTTAACAAGCCTTCCAGGTGACTCAGACACATGCTAAAGTTTGAAAACAACTGTTACACAGTTAAGCATACTTGTATCACTACCTATAACTTGGTAATTTCACTCCTGGGTATTTGACAGAAATGTAAACAGGTGTCCACAAAAAGATTTTTACAAGAATTTTCATAGTTATTTTATTCAATATCAACCAAAAATTAGAAACAACCCATATGCCCATTAGCAAGATGAATAAAAAATTGTCATATATTCATATAGTAGAACATCCTTAATAATTTAAAAGCATAAACTATTGCTACCCCTGATAACGCAAATCTCATAGGCATGTGCTAAGCAAAAGAAGCAGAACATAATACATCACTGCATTTGTATGAAGATCTATAACAAGCTAAACTAATCCATGGCAAAAAAAAAAAAAGCAGAAAGGAGATTGCAGACCTGGGAGTGGGAGGCAAAGTCTGGGAACAGACACAAAGGAAGTCACTGGGGCAACGGAACTGCTCTACAGCTCAGTAAGGGAGTATGTGTGTGTCAAGACTCATTGAATAGTACACAAGATTTGTATATTTCATGGCAGTAATACTTAAAAACCTGAGTGCTAAGGAGTCCATAGAAAATAAGTAAGCTTTTCTCAAGATATGTTCCTAAGGCACTAATCTTAAGATTCCACATACAGGGTGGGGAAAAAGTAGGTTTACAGTTTTTCATATGGAAAATAATGCAATTATTAATAAATAATAATACAATAATAAACTCTGTTTTGCATTCTCACAACTGTAAACCTACTTTTGCCCCACACTGTGCAAGTGAAATCACGTGGTATTTGCCTTTTTCTGTCTGACTTATTTCATTTAGCATAATTCCCTCTAGGTCCCACCATGTTGTCACAAATGGTAAAATTCCATTCTTTTTTATGGTCAAGTAGATATATATATATCTATAGATATATTAGATATATCTATAGATATATATTAGATATATATAGATATATATATTAGATATATCTATATATAGATATATATATTAGATATATCTATATATAGATATATATATCTATATATATAAATACATATATATGTATTTATATATATACACAATATCTTCTTTATCTAATCATCTACTGATGAACACTTAGGTTGCTTCCATAACTTGGCTATTGGAAATAATGCGGTAGTGAACACAGGGGCATATATATTTTCAAATTAGTGTTTTGGATTTCTTAGTATAAATACCCAGAAGTGGAATTTGCTAGATCATATGGTAGTTCTATTTTTAAGTTTTTGAGGAACCTCCATACTGTTTCCCATAGCCAGCTGTTCCAATGTGCAAATCCCGCCTACAGTGCACAAGGGTTCCCTTCTCTCCACATACTGGCCAACACTAGCGGTTTGTTGATTTATAGATAATAGCCCTTCTTACAGGTATGAGGGGGTACCGCACTGTGGTTTTAATTTGCATTTCTCTGACGATTAGTGACATCAAGCATATTTACCCATGTCTATTGGCTATCTGTGTGCTCTCTTTGGAGAACTGTCTATTCAGGTTGTCTGCTCACTTTTTAATTGGGTTGATTGGTGTTTTGTTTTGTTTTGTTTTCTGGTGCTAAGTTGTGAGTTCTTTATAAATTTTGGATATTAACCTCTTATCAGATGTATACTTAGTGAATATATTCTCCTAATGGATAAGTTGTCTTTGCATTTCAGAGAACAAACTGGTGGTTGCCAGATGGCAAGGGGGTTAGGGGACTGGGTGAAAATGGTGAAGGTATTAAGAAGTACAAATTGGTAACTACAAAGTAGTTGTAGAGATATAAAGAACAGCATACGGAATATAGTCAATAATACTGTAATGACTCTGTATGATGCCAAGTGGGTAGTAGAGTTATTGGGGGATCACATCATAAATCATATAAATGTCTAACTAATTTGTTGTACAACTGAAATTAATATAATATTGAATGTCAACTATAATTAACCAAAAAAAAAATCATTAGTCCTAAGAGATATGTTAAGTAAAACAAAAAGTTCTAGTATCTAACCGGTGTGGAGAACACCTAATCATATTCTGTCTTTGGGAAATACATAATGCATGGAAAGACAAAGGTGCTGATAATCTATAATCCAGTGAAACTGTATTCAATTAAAAATAAATAAGCTTACTTTTGAGCTTAGTTTACAAAAATTTCAGTTTTGACATTTACTTCTTATTTTATTCTAACTTACCATGGTAAATCCAGGAATTTGAAAGACAAATAACACTCTGAAAATTGACAGTGCCAACTTTTTTTTTAAAAGAACCTCGGCATATGGGAACGACCCCCTAACGAACTGAGCTGCCTGGCCAGGGCAACAGTGCCAACTTCTGACGAGAAAGGAAAACCAGAAACTAATTGAAATGAACCTGAGTTTTCAAAGAATATGTTCAAAACTCATTTTTAATAACAGCTGCCAAGTCACTTCCAAAATTTCTGTTGAATAAAGTTTTTTCAAATTACAAGATTGTATCATGGCAAGCCTCATGCTCCACCGCATGAGACCGGAGTATGAGGGCTCCGCCCTATTGGCCTGTGAAGATTTGGGTGCAACTCTCAAACCAGCATCTATAAATAAAAGGGCCTATAAACACACATGAGAAGGGAAGACTGATTTCACAAGTAGCACATAAAATAAAAATGTTAAACTATAATAGTTCTTCTTTAAAATGCTGGGGCATTAAGAGATGAGGACAACAACAAATGGGAACATGACTAATTAAGAGTTCATCCCTGTGTTTACAAGTCAGTATTTCACCAAGAGTGAATTTCTGTATGTGATCTGTGCAGACCACTTTTTGCTCTAATGGTGTTTCTCCTATAGTATCTTACTTGGAATCTATGATTTTAAGAAGTTTTCCTTCAATGTACTCAAGTTATATCTTTCCAAACTCATCCACTATAAGCATGAGGTTAGTCTGCATTTTATTCTCCCTCTTGATGACACTTGACTTTCTCTCTAAAATTGTTATGAGTAGTTGTGTGCTAATAATATTCCACCTATAGATTAGCTCTAAAGCATCAAAATAAATTATTAAAGTTTTCTTTTTTTAAGTCATGATAAGAATATCATACCAGCTGGAAGATCATCCAAAGGAAATTCAAAGAGTCTGGATTTGTAAACCGAATGAAAATGGAAATCCGCCTGAAATAACACAAACAACAGAAATTAAGCATGTACTTCCAGCTATCTCCAGGCGCAGGCAATTAGAGCTGGAGAAGCTGGAACCCTTAAAAGAACCGTAACTTGACTACACATTCTCCTGGGTTTAAAGGGGCGATGAGCCATGGCACAAAAGCTCCCACGCACTCTTGTATTCTCCCAGGACCAGAGCAGCATCCTATTAGAAGCAGAATGCCTTCACAAACAGGGAAGCCAGAGCCTACGGTAATGGAAAGTAAATGAATGGGCCTATTCCCCCAAGGAGAGGTAAGACATCTGGGAAAATGGGTTAATGTCTTTTATGACTGGTTCCCTTCCACAGACTCCCTGCCTTGCTTTTAGAGTCAGAGAGCTTTGCTAGGTAAAGACTACAGAGCTAGCGCTTTTCCTCATATTGGGAGCATGCTGACTGGTGCAGCAGATGCCTGAATGAGCCTTATTCCAAAATCCAAGTGTTAACACTAAGTTCTGTGAAAAGCCAACAGATAAAAAACCATGTTTTAGCTAAGAAAAAAACTGATGAACACTCAAATAACTTCATCAGGTTTCATTCAATTACTACAATTATAAGGGTATATGAAAGTTGAGGACATGTGGAAGATGTTAAGACAGAAATGAAAGAATTTGGATGGGGCAGAGCTAGAGGCCATTATAATTATAGCTCAGGGACACCAACTGATTTCACTCAGCCATCAATGACATGGTCAAGCAAAGTGACAGGAGAGCAGGCAGTGGGGACCCAGGAGATAATATACAAAACAGATAGTTTCCCAAACAGTATTGTGGATGGCAAATGTTTCTTGAAGTTATTTGCCCTTGAGCGTTTGACCAATGTACCATGATACAAGGAAGAATGTGTGTACAGAGCTAGAATAGAAGTGGATTATGTTTTTCTAGAATCTATAATATTAACTCAACCATTTTCTAATTTGTGGGAGATGAAAAAGCCTAAATTTCTCTAAACTTTATCAGCACAGGGCTTCAAAGACAAAGGGCAATAGAAAAAAAATCTTGAATCTAGAAAAGAAAGGGAAGGTGGGATATCACAGATCCGTGGTTTTGGTCTGTTACAGAATAAATGTTTGCGCCTTTCCCCTCTTAATCCATAAACTGAAGCCCTAACTCCCAGTGCAATTGTATTTGGAATTAGGGCCTGTGAGAACATGATAAAGGTTAAAAGAGGTTGTAAGGGTAGGGCCCTAATCTAATAGGGTTTGTGCCCCTATAAGAGGAGGCAGAAACACCAGAGCTCTCTCCTTCTCTCTGCCATGGGAGGACACAGCAAGAAGACAGCTGTCTGCAACCCCAAAAGAAGTCCTCAACCAAGACACTGACCCTGCTGACACCTTGGTCTTGGACTTCCAGCCACCAGAACTGTTGGAAAATTAAATTCTGTTGTTTAAGCTACCCAGTATTTTGTAATGATATCCTGAGCAGACTAAGACAGATTCATAGCACATGATGGTGGAGATAGAAATGGAAGCTTCAGAACACCTCTCTAAAGGAAAGTATTTTCAACTTAAAGGAGGACTAAGAGACAGATCTTTTTTAAAAAGAAAAAAAAACTTGCAGTTTGATTTATTCAGTATTTAATTTAAATATATACATTTAAATAAAATAAAGCAGAGAGAAAACAGAGGAGGAATAAAGCTCCCAGAATCAGCGTTCACATTTCCCACAGCAAACAAAAAGAGCACTTACTTGGGAGGTGTCATTTTCCTCTGGCTCAATGAGATAGGTATGGTTCCCATCATAGAACATCCCACTGCCAAGAACAAGAAAATAATTAGGCATAGCTATCAACTCCTGCCTCAAAACAGAGTCATTTTAAAATCAGCAGCAGCCAGAGGGCCCGTTTACTTCTCAACACCCACTTCCCAGTCCCACCCATCACTACCACCACCACACCACAAACCACACACACACCACACCACAAACCACACACACACCACACCACGCACACCACATACCACACACACCCCCCACATATTATACACCACACAGACAGACCACACCATGCATCACACACATACACACAGAGAACCCCGCATACCATACATACACCCCATACACCACACAAACGCACACCACATACCACACACACACACTGAGGAGAGGGAAAGGCCCTTCCCTCTGATTTCCCACAGCAGAAGGGTCTCCTCATGCAGACTGTTCCCCAGGCTCAGAATGACCATCCTCTGATTGCGAGCCATTATTCCTCTCTCCCGCATATAATTCTAAAAACTTGAATATGCAAATAGTCAACTGGAGAGCTAGTAAAAATGCAAAACTTTCAGGGTGGGCCTTCCTCAGGTGTCTCCGCTGGACTCATGAAGCTGCATTTTAAACAAACCCCAAGTGATTCTGATGCACGTGTCAGAGGCTATACTGAGAACTGCCTACCTACCACACACATGAGAGATGCTACAGTAACAAGAGCTGACACATTTCAACAAATTACCACGAACTAAATTTCCACAAATTTATGAGGGAGGAACAATGACTATTTTACAAGTAAGGAAACCAAAGCCCAAAAAGATGAAGTAACTTGCCTAAATTATGAAATCACTGAGAGCAGAGGCAGGAATAGACTTCCTTCCACAGGCAGATTGGTTTCTGAACTGCTTATCTACAATTGGCTACCGGCCTTCACTATCATTCACTGAACAGACACTTAGAAAGCACGTACAGTGCACTGGTCTCGGTGCTGGGAATACAGTACTGAACAAAACAGACCACTTCTCTGCTTTCATGGTGCTGATGTGCATTCTAGGGAGGACAGAAAATTCATACAATCAACAACTAAATATATATGACATGGTGATAAATTCCAGGGCTGAAAATAAAGCAGGTTAAGGGCAATGACTGGTGCTAGAGGACTGGATGCAGGGACCAGAGACAGAAGGTTGTTAATTCACATCGAGGGTTAGAACGAGGCTTCACAAAGAAGACGGCATTTAAGCAAAGACCTGAAAGAAGTGGTCTGGTGAGCCATAAGGATGTCTGTGCAGAAAGCACTTCAGAATCAAGCCCTAAGGTAAGAGAATCTTGGTGTGTTCCGGGAACACTGAGGATGCGGTGTGGCTGGAGCAGAGTGGGCGAGGGAGGAGCGCTGTAAAATGAGATCAGAGGAATGGGTGGGCTCTAGGGCCTTCGCTTTTACTCTCAGAGAGATGGGGAGCCACTGCAAGGTTCTAAGCAGAGGGGAAACACAACCTCCCTTAAATTTCAGAAGCAGCGCTCCAATGGTAATGGCATTTCCATTAGTACCATCTAATCCAGGCGAAAGGAGATGACAGCTTCGATAGTCCTAATGAAAATAGTAAGAATTGGTCAAATCCTGGCTATTTTTCAAAAGTAGAACCAATGGGATTTGTTCATTTGAAATGACGTATGGAAGAAAGAGTTGTGTCAGTGAGGACTCCAGGTTTTGACCTGAGCAACTGGAAAAATGAAGTTGCCACTTAATAAGGTGAAAAGAGCTGCAGGAAGAACAGAATGGGGTTGGCGCCAGGAAGCCGGATGCAGGGAGCAGGGTGCAAGTCTGGAGTTCGGTGCTGGACTTCTTAGACTGGAGGTGGCTCTCAGCCGATTGCGAAATCCTCTGGAGGGCACTGGCTACGCGGGCCTCAGCTCTCACTCACAGAGAGCCTGACAGTCACTCCTTTCGGTGGAACGGGTCCTTCTACTGAGATCAAGCCCCTGATGAGGCTGAAGGGATGTGTCATATCATTCGGGCAGGGGCGAAGCTGTAACCTTCTGCAGTCATTTTTTAGTGTTAGGTGGAAATGACTGCAAGACTTGAGAGCTGTTAAACAAGGGACAGTATTTGTCTCTCACTGATGGCTTACTGAAATCGGTTCGTTTCCCTGGGCTATAATCATAATGGCTTCCAACTCTGCCCTTATCCAAATTCTTTCATTCACGCCTTAACATCTTCCACATGTTCTCAATGTTCATATACCCTTAGAACTGCTATTCTCACATCTGTAAGGTTTTCAAACAAGAGTGCACTTTCTGAATTTGGATAACACCGTATTTGGAATTTAAAGCTAAACAGATGCAGTTTGTAATCTACAGGGTCCAGCACAAATAATATCCCATTTTATTATAAAGTCTTTCATTACAAAATCTTAAGTGTGTAATTCTGTAACATAACAATATCACACTCAAGCACACCACCATATGACATTTTAGGTGAAATGTTTGAATTAAAACTACAAATTATTACACCCATATTATTATCCTATTAACCATACTTCAAGCAGGCATTACTTCTGCCAGACCCTTTATTGCTGGCAATACATGCCTAAGGAATCACTGGGGCAAGCCTTCTCAAAACAGTAGACCAAATATGGCAGTAACCTTCTTTCTGCTCCTGATAAGACCTGGCCAGACCCACTGAGAAAGTTATATAAAACCATTCCTTTCATAAAGTCCACATGGTAACACTAATTAAGTTGCAAGCAGTTTGTTTTGTTTAACTAGTACTGGGCATTATTTCCTCTTGTACTAGGTTAATGTCCAATGTGAAAATCAATTATTTTTACTGGGTTTAAATATCATGATACACAGTGTAAAGTAAAACAAGATTCTGTCACCATCTAAATCTACAAGATTCTCGTTTGTGATATGACAATGTGCCATTATTACAATTTCTTTAACAATGAAAAGGCATACTTGTTTTATTTGCTTTGAGAACTGATACCTTTCTGTTATGTTTATATTAATTCCAGTAAGTATGTTGAGACTATAACATGGAGTATGCTTGATAAAAACCTGCAGCTAGGGAACTTCCAGCAAAGATGGAGGCATACATAGATATACCTTGCCTCCTCACACAACCAAAAGAAGGACAACAACAAATTTTAAAACAAAAAATAACCAGAACTGCCAGAAAATTTAACCACATGGAAATCCAACAACCACGAAGTTAAAGAAGAAACATTTATCCAGAGCAGTATGAGGGGCAGAGATGGGCAGCCAGGCAGAGAGGATGCGCGGCAAAGTGGCGGCTGGAGGACCAGGCAGGTGAGGTGGCAGCTGGCAGTCTGGACGGTCCCACATATGTGTACAGATAAACTGCAGGAACAGCTAGGGAGCGAGACAGGCTGCACATTCCAGGGCTCCAGTGAGGGAAAAGAAAGCTTCAACACCTGTGGAGGTAAAAACCTGTGGGGGTTGTGGCAGCAGGAGAAACTCCCAGCCTCACAGGAAAGTCTGTTGGAGAGACCTAAAGTGTGCTAGAACGTACACAAACCCACCTGCCGAGGAATCAGAACCGAAAGAGCCCAGTTTGCTTGTGGGTAGCGGGGGAAGTGATTGAAAGACAGTGGAGAGCCAAGCAAGCAGCATTGTTCTCTCTTGAACCCCTCCCCCCCCCCACAGCCTCACAATGCAGTGACCTGGGTTGCCCTGTTGCCCCACGTACCTAAGGCTCCACCCCTTCCAACCTAACAGGCATGCTGAGACAAAGGAACATGGCCCATATGAAAGAACAGATTAAAACTGAAAAAACAGAACTAAGCAATGAACAGATAGCCAACACATCAGATGCATAGTTCAAAACACTGGTAATCTGGATGCTCACTGAATTGGTTGAGTATGGTTGCAAAATGGAGGAAAAAGTGAAGGCTATACAAAGTGAAATAAAGAAAAATATACAGGGAACCAACAGTAAAGGGAAGGAAACCAGGACTCAAGTCAATGATTTGGAGCATATAAGGAAGAGATAAACATTCAACCAGAACAGAATGAAGAAACAAGAATTCAAAAAAATGAGGAGAGGATTAGGACAACTTTAAATGATCCAACATCTGAATCATAAGGGTGCCAGAAGGAGAAGAGAAAGAGCAAGAAATTGAAAACTTAGTTGAAAAAACAATGAAGGAGAACTTCCCCAATCTGGCCAAGGAAATAGACTCCCAGGAGATCCAGGAAGCTCAGAGAGTCCCAAAGAATTTGGACACAAGGAAGCATACATCAAAGCACATCATAATTAAGTTACTCAAGATTAAAGAGAAGGAGAGAATCTTAAAAGCAGCAAGAGAAAAGGAGACAGTTACCTACAAAGGAGTTCCACAAAGTTCCTACAAAGGAGCTGATAAGACTATCAGCTGATTTCTCAAAAGAAACCTTGCAGGCAAGAAGGGGCTAGAAAGAAGTTTTCAAATTTATGCAAAGCAAGGACCTACATTGAAGATTACTCTATCCAGCAAAGCTATCCTTTAGAATGGAAGGGTAGATAAAGTGCTTCCCAGATAAGGTCAAATTAAAGGAGTTCATCGTGACCAAGCCCCTATTATATGAAAAGTTACAGGGACTTATCTAAGAAAAAGAAAAAGATCAAAAACTATGAATGGTAAAATGACAACAAACTCACAAGGATCAACAACGAAACCTAAAAACAAAAACAAAAACAAAACTTAAGCAAACAAGTAGAACAGGAACAGAATCACAGAAATGGAAATTAGAGGGGAGAGGGAGGAGGAAGAACAGGGAAAAGGTAGAGGGAATAAGCAGCATAAAGAATAAGTACAAAATAGACAGGGAGATGTCAAGAATAGCACAGGAAATGGAGAAGCCAAAGAATTTACATGGACGACCCATGGACATGAACTAAGGTGGAGCGAATGCTGGGGGGTAAAAAAAAACAACTGCAGTTAGGACCTGGTCATAACAACTGAACTAAAATTTTGAAAGGCTGCATCGCAGTATTTTTAAAGAAATGAGCCATTCTTATGAATTGCCACAAGAGGGCAATAAACTTACATTTGATTTCATTCTTTTTAGAGTCCCACAGTTAATAGGATTTTCTCCTAACATCAAACATACCAAGACCAAAATATAACCCAGTAGCTCAAATTTGTGGGAAAAAAGTGCTCTTGCAGGTTCTTTATGTAGAACACATGAATCTGATTATTTTCCCTTTGTGTTCAACTGAATTAAATCAAGGAAAATGAAAAATCTCAATATATTATATTTGGTAATTTATAAAAGATGAGTTATGTATGATATAACATATCTAAATCATTGCAATTGAGACAAAATAAATTATTTCATATTCAGTAATATCTACCCAAAATATTTGTATCAGTAATTTCTGTTCAGAATGTCAAATCAAGATGAGAAGCAATAATAAAAATGAAAAGGAGCTAGAATAAATTTTTCCAACATGCTCATAAAAGCCTAAGATCACCAAACATAATCCAGACCATGTTCCAAGACACACAGTGGGTTTTCTGGCTGTTTTTGTTTAGTTTTAAAATGAAAAGCTTTATAAAGGTAAAAGTAAATTTTACTTAGTTAAAACAACTGAGGTAGACTCTGAGTTCCACTCCTGATCTAGTCATGAAAATTTCCTTAAAACCTCCTTTTCATCCTCCTTCAGGTGACTGTGTAGGCTTAGCAGCAAGCGCTTAGTCAGGTTCTGAGCCCTCGTGGAGCCCTTACAGGACAGCAGTAACCTCTCTCTGACTGTCACAGATTGTGTGCATTTAAAAAACTGGGAGGCAAACTGGAATAAGTACTAGGCAAGGTGCTTACAAATGACTCTGGATTGAGATTTTAAGAGGAAGGGAAAGCCTCTTATTTTTTATATCACTCTGCTACAAGATACATTTGCTGTCACAAATGTCGACAGGCCCAGTGTACTATTCCTAGCCGACAGCTGTGCTCATCTAGAAATCAGAACAAATTTACTGCTCTAGGCAACTTCAACATTTCGACTTCCAGATAAGAAAACTGAGGCTTTCAGATATGAGGTATGGATTCCTGTTTGTAAAAGGGTCTCTCTGTTCAAAGGATATCTTTAAAATAAGGAAAATTGTCTCTTAGAACAAAGAAGCAAAGTCCTCCAACGTGTCAGGCACGTGGTCCCCTATTTCTGGCTATTTAGCTGATCCTCACTCTCCCTCCTTTCTTCTCTCACACACCTGCTGCCAGAGCCTGACCACAGGTACCCTTGCGACAGACTAGCTACATTTTCTGGGCTTCCCCATTAGATCTCTTTCCTTGATGTCTGTAAGACCTGTCAATCCAACCCCTCTCTCGACCGATTCTATCAGACCTTGTTCTGGGGCCCACCCCACCTTCCTCAGGGACATTTCTCTGGAGCCCTCCAGCACCGCCTCATCCTTCAGTGCCCACTCTCAGCTTCCATTTTTTGAAGTTTTTTTCTCTCTTAAAGAAAACAAATATAACTATAATATTCCATAGTAGGAAGTTGAGCTAGATTTAGCTTCCCCCCTGGACTGAGCTCTTGGGGTCAGAGCTCATGTCCTAATCACCTTAATATTCCTACTGGCCAGCACACAGCAGACACTCAATAACTGCTGGGTAGGTGAAAAAGCCACATCTCTAATGAGGTAACAGGCAGAAAGTATTTTAAATTTGCCAAACAAAGATTTAATAAAACTGAATTAAAGTGCTGGCTTGTTCTGTGCCAAAAAAAAACCTTTTTTAAGGGAAATAAGTAAGGAAGAACTGAGATGATTTAGCTTAAGTAGAAGGCTGAGGAATGACAGTAGCTCTGTAAGGGGTTACAAAGCAAATGCAAGACGGCCACCTGTGCGTCACCATTGTCAACAGGACAGGACGAGGAAGTAGATGTATTCCCATGTTAAACATCAACAAACATTCCTTGATAATGAAGTTTAGGAGAAAGGAAGGAAGTCCCCCTGCCCCCACCAGGAAGGATGAATGTCGATCCTTGGAGATTTCTGAGAGCAGAAGAACCCTCCCACGGTTTGCAGAGAGTTAGGTGGGATTTTAGCTGGAAAGGGGGCTGAAACACATGAGCTCTCGAGGATACTTGCAGCCTTTTCTCTTTGCATGAGGAGTCAAGACTTTCCATCTACTGAAATTTCTATTATTCTATAAACATATAAAAACTAACATCAAGGAGGAGTAAAAGTAGAACTACTACCCAGAGGCTAAACATCCACAAAAACAGAGACCAAAATTACCCAAACCACTCCTGTCTCAACTTGGATGAAATTAGAAAAATGCTTCAAACATCACTACAAGGTATCATATTATAATTCCAAAGCCCTGGGTTTCTGCAACTCTAATTTTAAAATATGTATGGTTTGTTTATAAACCACAGAAGAGAAAAGATCAAATCCATCACTGATTTCAAGTTATTTCTCAACATAAAACAGCGGGTTTGATTACAATGAATTACAAATAAAGAAAATAAGTAATTTAAAGAATGGATATTACAAAAAAAAGAAAAATTCTGGGACACTTACTGAAGTCCGTGGCATGTTGACAAGGCAACAAATGAGGCAGGGTTTCCTCGGATGTGGCCCTGGTAGTAACAGTGTTCTCCTCCCTGAAAACAGAAATAGAGAACATAAGCCATTGCCATCGCAAGGAGAATCCGCCGCGTCCCTGCACAGGTTTCTGCCACATGGCACTTCCACATGTAAAGCTCTGGACAATACTTCATTATTCAGATTAGTATATCAAACCATTTCTAACAGAATTCCTCATAAAACTAGTGTGCTCACTCCAAATCAAGACAGGGCAATAAAAGTTGACTTAACTCTCCTTTCATGTAGGTGATGAGAGAAGGAACAAAGAAACAGGCACTAAAATACACACGTGGCTCTTGCACCAAAGTTTCATCATCTGTTTCTCTGGTCATGAGAAACTCAACATTGAGCAGCAACACGATGATGCTTTCCCATAAACCTCAGTAACAATGCATATAAATCTTTTAGGAGTCACTTAAATTAAAATGATGGAGGAGAATGCCTGTTTTTACAGTGTTTCTATCAAAACTTGACAAGTTTATATTATTTGTTTCTCCAACTAGGAATGGCTTTACTGTTAAGCAGTCTAGGGTAGGGTTTGAAATTGAGAAGTTTCTTCTAACAGCCCGTTACATTAAACAAATTCTACCGACTCATTTTCTCGGATTAAATGTTCTTGGAAAACCTAACGGTAAATCCTCTGCCATCTCAGGGTGGTGCCTTCATTTTTAAATACTTGCTACTCATCATGTGGTCTAGAAACCAACAGCATTTACATTGCTGGGATCGTGTCAGTAATGCAGAATCTGAGGCCCTACCCTGGATCGCCTGTATGAGGACGGCATTTTCACAAGGCTCCTACCTAGGTGATTAATTCATGCACATTGAAGTTCGAGAAGCACTGCCCTAAATGACCTTTCCCATCCTCCCCTCCCCTCTCCCCACCATCAATTTGCTATTTCTTCAGAAACTGAAAGCTTTTAATTAAACTGACCCACTGAGATATGAAAGAATGAAATAGGATAGACTAATAGAATAGGTGGCTTGAAGGGGCAAATGTTAACTACTTCACAGTCTGGCTTAAGGACTAACCCCACTTAAAGTATTCCATGCTTGACAAATGGAGGGGGAGAAAAGGAAGGCATGGTGATAGAACAAGGCTAAAGACATTTGCTTCCCTGCAATTCCAGGGGAGGCAGCCTGGCCTAAGACTGCTGCTCCTAATGAGATACTGCCACAAGATGGAGTAAACCTCAGCTTTGACGAGAGGGTAGAGAGCAGATAACATGGTACAGAATGTGGTCCCTGACCCCGTGACACTTCCAGTTCCCAAGGCAGCATCAAGCACCATAGACTGAGGATTATGGTCGGATCTCATGGAGGATAAAGTTGGGTGGTACTTCACATGTGTGTCTGACAGGGGTGGAACTCAGAAGGCTTAAGGATAGAAACAAAGCTGGGTGCTGACTTCCTGAGTAGGGTTGGTTTGGTGTAGCTGTTAACAGTGTGAGCTATCAGCTCCTTCACTTACTAGCTGGGCACTCTCAAGCAAATTACAAAACCTTTCTCTGTCATCTGTCAAACAGGGGTAATTCTCTCAGAGGGTTGGTTGTTCAGATGATTAAAGAACAAATATGCATAAGGGGCTTAGAATAATCCTTGTTACTTCGTACACACTCAATAAATGTTTGCTGTTGTTATAATTACTGTATGTCAGTTATTATCCTACTCAATTTACATACACAATCACTTTAAATCTTAACATCAATCCTACAATATTATTCTCTCTTATACGCAGGAGGTCACAATCTCTGTGAGCCAAGCCTGGCTCTCTGGGAAGTGGCCAGTGTCATCATCCCTTCATTACTTATAAGTTGGATATAAAACCTGTGGATTATACAGTACAAATCTAAGCTTTCCCCTAGGCTGATTTTTTTTCAATTTATTTTTTGAGTGGGTCTGGAGGGTAAATTTAACAGAATTTTAAATATCTTCTGTTGGAGCTGTTGGACTGGTGAGTTATCCATAAGATTAGATTCTAACTGAATGACATGTCTTTATGTTTCAAATAACTTTCACTTCCTGGACACAATCTAACTGGATCATAAATCAACACTCTAGCTTTCTATTTGGCCAGACACAAAAGGCCAACAGTCAATGGCGTGACCTGAACAGAGAGAGATTCTTATCTAAAAGCATAGGTTTAGGTCTAAACACACAGTAAATAAAAAGATAGTAGGAACAAAGAGAAATAGAAACAAAGAAGCTAATCAATAATTATGGTATCAGATTAGGGAATAATGGAAGTTGACAAGTCACTGTATGTGGGGAAATATGTCAGAGAAAAAGGCATATAAAAAATGTTTTATAAATTACAAAAGTTTTCTTTAAAATACCAATTCTGGAAACATGTTAAATTAAATCATAACCAGGACCAAAAAATTCATGCTTTAAAGCAATATCTCATTATCTTAGGGCTATGAGATGATTAGATAATGGAAAATAGTCTTTCACTAATTTCTAATTCTGAAAAACAGGAGTCAATCCAAAAACAGCATATGATCAGGACCCATCTGCACAAAAGCCTAACGTTTGCTGCAAATGAAGCGAAGAGCTCAATATGGTTGATTCATGATCAAGTGTTTCCATGACACTTCAAGAGAAGCATAAACACCAAGGGTGAAAAAAATCTCCTCAGTTTGGCCTATTATAACACAAATTGTGAAGCTGTCATATACCAGTAGTATATGTCATTTTTCTAAATAATGGTGGATATTAATTTTTGTGTTGCAATTTTTTTTTCAGGGATTATTCACCATAAATCAATACTTACTGAAACTAAGAACCAAAGTAATGGAGCACTTTTAACATACCTGAAAATTTTTTAGTGCAAGATAAAGGCTTTCATGTTAAAAGGCTTCTTTAATTATACAAATACATTTTTAAATCATTGAAATAAACTTTAAAAATTTATTTTTCATTTTTAAGAATTATTTGTCTCCATTATTTTAATAATAATAAATACTCATGGAAAAAATTCTAAGAATTCAGAAGGTACATGGTACAGAAAATTAAAAATATGCCCTTCATACACATTGTCTAGGCTGCAGTTGCCTCCTTAAAAATAAGCGCTTTTGAGATTTTGTGCACCACATCAGGATCTATGCATATTTAAGTAAATGGTTATACACATAAATACATAGATATCCTTTTCAAAGTACAAATGGATTTACACTATGCATACTGTTCTGCCACTTGATTTTCTTTCCTTAAGGTAATCTTGATATCTTTACATATCAATACCCCATTCTTTTGATAATGGCATAATATTTCACTATGGGAGCGAACAATAATTCATTTAAACAGTTCTGTACTAGTGGAATTTAGAGTATCTCTATTTTTTTTGCTATCATAAACAACACTGCAATAAACATCCTTTCATAAATTTTTGTGCATTTCTATCAGTATATATGTAGGAGAGATTTCTAGATGTGGACCAGGTAAGTCAAAGAATATGTGCACTGAAATTTTTAATAGGTATTTTTAAGAGACAAATGCAATTATATTTCTTTGCACTTACATCTGTTTTAAAAGATGTACATTTGAAAATAATAAACTGTATTTTGTTTAAAATTGTATAGTTCTATAGACCACTATTTAAGCCAACTTTCTGAAGTCTTATCAATTATAAAGGTTCTCCATATTTTTGTAGGACTTTCTTGAGGAAACAGTGTTTTGTGCAAGTAGCTATTATATATAATAATCTAAGACAGATGTTGTGGGAAAAGAGAAAAGCCAGCACATCCTATTAGAGTTCGGCTCTTTATCTGACTGCCAGTCACAGCTTTTTCCTTACTGTCTCTTTTGTTCCAGAAATAAATCCATTGTCCTTGAAACTTTCTTCATACATCTTGATTTAATAACATAGTTTTAACAGTACAGATGTTTATTTTTAGCTAATTAGATATATCTAAAAAAATTGCCCACCTCTAGAAAAATGAACCATATCATAATGATACTTCATATGTCTATTGGTTTCTCTTCCCAGTAGACAAAAGTCTTACTGCAATTTTTATTCTGGGAAGTCAAAATAATCACTTACTTGCAAAGTCAAAGACAAACCCTACTTTTATTAAACAGCCAGAAAGATCTCAAAAGAAAAACACAATTTATAATTAGTGTAATAAAATGATAGCACAAAGGAAGTTACCCAGGCTGGGTTATAAAACTATAAAAATCCAATAAAGGGAACCAATGGGCACGCAGCAGCGAGGCCAGAGTCCTCTGAGCTCCATCCAGACCCTCAAAGGAAACTGTCAAGTGTTATCAAGATTTTCATCACTTCATCAGCTCCAAGATGGCCAAGACCACCTCCTCCAAAGAGTCTTCTCAGACTACTTTCTCCTGATAGATTACTTCTCACTAATCCCTCCTTTGAATTATCATATGTGTATATTTTTAAAAACTGTGTCACCTCTCTTCACACATACATTCCGGCTAATGTTTTGTTTCTCATGAGACTGGTTTTGTTTCAGCAAAGCGATGTGCCTATGTTTGTATTCCCAAGAGTGCTATTAGAGAGAAAACCTCCCTGTTCCTCAGTCTCTTCATCAGTAAAATGGGGATAATATCTACTCAGGCTGCTCCACAGAAGCATGCAGGGGATTCCGTGAGATTACAAAGTAAGGTCCTGGGAAGTGCTATAAAAATAGGTCAGAGGTGCCATCAGGAAATACTCAATGAGAAATTCTGTTGTGTCCTTCTGAGCAAGGATTCTCATCATTTATTTGTTAAGACTAACATTTCAGACCACTGACTAATAATGAAGATTACTGTGTCTCTTCCCAGTGAGGTTATGTAGGCAGCTCTGAGGTAAGGCCAAGAATCTGCATTTTAACAACATTTCCATGTTTTCCTCACTCCAGGGACACACTAGAGCAGTGGTCTCAACCTCGGCTGCAGAGCAGATCCACCTGGGAAGCTTTAAAGTCCCAACGCCCAGGCCATATTCCAAACCAATGAAATTGTGATCTCTGGAGATGGGGCGCAGGAATCAGCACTTTTTTAAAGTGCTCCA